GGCTTATCCTGCTTACTGGAATGGCCCGTTTGGCTTGGATATCTAGTGGCCAGATTGGGTTACTTTACTTATATTTAAATTGTTAGGAACGCTGCTCTTAACATCAAGAGAGCTTAGGTACTAGTACCTACTCCCCTCACCGTCATCAAAGGTTTGCAGTGCCACAGCGGTGGCTGACTTCGCAATCGCGATGACCGCCCGTCACCCGTGTTTTGCCGTGCGTGTTCCTCGGGGCTGGCAAGCCCGACCATTGCAGGGTGGCTCGTAAGGTGTGGCGACTTTGCGTACGTCCGATTCCAACTTTAAGAGACTACCGTACTACTGCGCAGGGCAATGCATTCCTCGGACCCGGCGTGTCCCCCGAGGCCGAGTTATCATTCCGTGCTGCAATGATCTATGCTCCTATTGCTGAGCATTTGGCGTTGCCATATTGTGCCAATGGAAAAAGGGATCGTCTTGCCGTTTGGAAGCAGGGCACTCTTAGTCTTAAACAGCGCGCTATCAGTTAGGTGAGGCTATCCGTTGTCCTTCAGACATCTCACTGCAAGTTACCTAGTCATGATCTTGATTCCTACAAATCCATAGGGAGGTGGCCACCCACTATGAACCTGGGAGATGATGCTTTTCTCAGGCTCAACCCAGAATGAGGCGACCTCGCCTGCATCTGCTTCACAGATGTACTAGACGTGGGCAAAGGGGCGAAGAGCATATGCGATGCACCCAGAATCGGCATGAATATGACGACTCGTACAGGAGAACGCAAGATCTTTTTCGGGACGCCCAACATACTGTATATAGATACAGGTTCTGCTGGCTTAAAGGCGCGCTTACGTCCAGTCGATAGTTGTATACTTCATATTCACCATGATTCCGCCTCCGCTTGATCCTTCAATGCCCCCGTTTCTTGACCGGAGCACTTCAGATTCCCTGTGATGCGGCTAAAACGCCTGATTCTCCTGGCTTCTGCCGGGGTGAGCTCAGGGCAGACACTGGCCGAAGTGCTCACAGCCCAGAGCGCGACGCTTTCCATGCTCAACAGCTGGCTCTCCTCGCAGGAGCTCATCTTCACCATTCTCAGCGGCGCCCAGGGCGTTACCCTCTTGGCTCCGAGCAACGATGCCCTGACGGAACTCTATAACTCGCCCCTGGCTAACCAACTGGCTCAGGACCCGAACCTGCTCACGGCCTTCCTGGCCTATCACGTCCTCGACGGCATCTTCTTCAATTCCCACTTTGTCAATACCCAGCCACACTTATCACTCCCGACTCTGCTGGACATTGAGACCTTCTCAAACGTCTCTGGCGGGCAGCGGATCATCTCTACCTCTCAGAACGGAGCCGTGACCTTCTTCTCTGGTCACGGAGCCCAGGCCGCGGTCCAAGGAGCGGTATGTTTCCATTCCATCCTTGCCCATCTTCATCTTAGAGACTGACAGCCAATCTTCCTCAACAGGATTACAACTACGCCGGCGGGACTCTGCACATCATCGAGTCATGCCTCACCATACCAGGCAGCGTGACCAACACGCTCATCGCGGCGGGCTTGACCGCCGCCCTCGGCGCTCTCCGGCGCTGCAAGATGGAGGACCGGCTTAACACAGACACGGACGTGACCATCTTTGTGCCCAACAACGACGCCTTCAAGGCCATTGGCAGCCTGGTCGACGGCATGACGCTCGAGCAGCTGACGACGGTGCTCAACTACCACGTCGTGCCCGGCAAGGTGCTGTACAGCCAGCAGATCTCGGGGGGCGGCCAGGCCCTTACCGCCGAGGGGGCCATGCTGAATTTCAGAACGCTGGATGGGGAGCTGTTTGTCAACAGTGCGAGGATTGTCCAGCCGAATTTGTTGATTGCGAATGGGGTTGTGCATGTCTGTGATGGGTGGGTTATTTTGCTCCCTTTATCTTCAATCCTGAACTTCCTTCTCGGGTTTGCCTCTCCCCATACTAACTTGCTGATCATCAAACATAGGGTTTTGAATCCTGCCAACGCCACCGCCGCTCCGAATCCTTCGGCCTCTACCCAGGAACCCGCCTTCGCTGGGGCCAGCAGCACGGATGGTGAGGTGCCTTTTACTTCTGCCATTCCCACCGTGACCAGTCCGGCTACTTCTACCGTCAGTGGCGGTAGTGCTGGTGGTAATAATAATGGTGGAAGTGGCAGCAGTGGCAATAGCGACGGCGGCGGTGGTAATAATGGAGGTGGTGGCAGTGGTGGCAGTAGTGGCGCCAGGGGCCCTCCTGTTGCTGCTGCACCGAGGACATCTCCTCTTGAAGTTGCAGCATTGCTTGGTGGCGCGGTTGTTATGGCGTTTCTGTGAACTCAACAACGTGTCGCTTCATAGCTGTAAACCATACGATAGTGAAAGCTGAAGCTCGTGAAGCTGTCTGAATATGTAACTAGTCGCAAATGGTAGCTGTGTGTCTTCGAAGGCGCAAGACCATTCCTTTGAAGTGACATGGTGTAGTGTAATACGTGTGGCGTGGGATGGGGCCAAACGGAGGGGTGATGTGCTGAGATGGCTTAGCGTTTGGGTCGCGAGCTCATGGTCAAGATGCCACCAAGCATCATGCCGAGACAACACCATATCTGATCAACCCCAAAGCAGCCCCCATCAAGATCGCCATGGGCGCGTTGATGCCAAAGAACCGCCCCCCAACAAAGCTCGTGGCCACAATGACAACCCACCACGGATCATCCCCTAAACTCCTTCCAGCTTGAAACCCCTCGTCAATATATCCCACCCCAAATATCCTGTACACCGCCGTATATATCAATCCCACCGCACCGGCGTTGACCCCTCTCAACAAACTCTTAACCCACCTTCTGCTCCTCGCAGCGCTCCAAATGCCCATCGTCCCATGGACCAGCACCAAACCGGGACTAAAGATCCCCACCCACGCAATCAACGCACCAACAACCGAGGGATACCCATTATTAACAGCCGTAAGACTCCCCAAAAAGACAGCAAAGTTGAAGTTGGGCCCGGGAAACGCCTGGATCAGCGCGAGGCCAATCAGAAAGTCGCGGGGGCTGACCCAGCCCTCGGCGACGACGTACTCGCGCAGCAGCGGGACCACCACGGGGCCACCGCCAAAGATGATTGTACCAGCCAGGTACATGTTGGCAAACAGCCGGTAGAGTAAGGGCGGCGGTTCTCCGGGCGAAGAGGAGGCGAAGCCGGTGCTGCGCACGACCATGATGGCTATGAAGCTGAGAAAGAAGGTGGCGATCACGGCCGTGCCGGATTTCCAGGAGGTAGAGAGCCTGTACTCGCGGGGTATGACGCGCGGTTCGGATTCGGAGGTTGAGTGAGGTTGGTTGAGGTTGTGTGGTTCCGGATGGGCATCAGCCTCAGCTGCGTGGACGGGGAGCTCGGAGACGGGGATGGATGGAGGCCGGCTTGTTGGGGATTCGGAGTTATCCGATCGGTGGGATGCCACATTGACCGACCGCGGATCTTGTACGCCACGGATGTGGGAAGACCATGGCATTGTCAAGCGCTGGGTAGACTTGATCAAAGCCCGGAGCGGCCGTTGAAGCCAGCGGTAGTCATAGATGAGCGTTGCAAAGCCCGAAACTACCATCAACACGGGGAAATACCACAGGGCATTGTACAGCATCCCCGCCGCGCCGCTGACAAAGACGACCACGCGCGTGAGCTTGTCGGTAATAGCCTTGTTGGACAGTTCGACTGCGGCCAGGGCAATCACGCCAACGGTAGCTGCGTTGAGACCGGACAGCAGGGCGTAAACCGGGCGCGGCAGTGTCTCGTTGATGCTGGCAACGCCGATGGAGAGCCCATACATGCCAAGGGCACCGGGCAGGCTCCAAATCAGGAAGCTGGCCACGGCTGCCATGAAGCCTCCGTGGATCAGGTTGATGCAGTACAGCATCTTGGTGCTGGCGGGCCCAGAGAGCGACTGGGAGATGCTGAACAGCTCCTGAAAGACTTGGTCGTCGATCCATTCTGTCTTTTTGACGAACTTTTCGTTGAACTGGGATAATCCGGTCAGTATCTTGTCCGTTTTCCCAAAAGGGGTACAAGGGAGACGGTCTGGCAGACACCAGACAGGCGTCGTTCGTGGATGGAATTGCTGAAGTACTCACGATTCGAAAGTGAACGGGGGGACCTCCGAAAGCGGTCACACCTAGGTGCCAGTTCACACGCAGCACTTTCCATGCTCGATGTCCTAAGCCACGGAGCTGGCGGGATATCGGGGCAAGTTTTGGGTTGCTGGTGTTCATCATGAAAGGGCCTGGAGGCTACAGCATCCTATTACTAGAGTTAGACTTCTGAGTATCATATCAAAATTTGTGCTGCATTTGAGGGGTCAGAAAGAATCCTTAGAGTCCGGAAGGAGCTTCGTACTGCCGACAGTGCCGGGATACAATGATGCAATCGAGACCTAACCCATTTAGGTTTGTTGACGCAGCTGGCCAATTTGAGTGATATTTGCACAAGTGTTGTTGGGTGTCAGGACTCAGGTGCAGGATAGGGAGTTCAATTCCATCGAAGTTGGCGAACAAAGGAAAGCGTGAGTGCATTTCAAGGTTGAGGTACGGGGTATTAAATACAGCTTATTCCTGACCGGTATCCGGTTATGCGCTGAGGTCGCGTCTTCTTCAAACCCTAAGAGGGTTTGTACAAAATAGGTATCTTACCCCCTCTGCCATTGAAGGCATGGTTAAGGCTAGATAATAATAGTATATTCAAGACACTGTAATACAGGCAAGCATTACTTTCCGAAATTTCCTGGAAACATAGTCAGCGTCTCCTCCCGCTTGGATGAAGAGGGACATGGCTGACGTACTGCAAGGAGCGTTTTGGTCCATCCTGGAAATGCTGGTGTTTCCAGATGCAAGTCTCGAGTCCCGGTTTCATTCTTCGCTAAGAAGGTCCGTGTTCCTCGAATCTATTCGGAGAATTCGGTCTTGACCGATGGATACGTCCGAGATTGAACTGTGTTAAGGCTTCTCTCTTGCGGGGTAAACCTGGGGAGGCCGAATCGACGATGGAGCGAGTTTTCTATGGGGACTTTGAGGAGTGGTGCACAAGCCGCAATGATGAGGAGGATTTCCTCAACGCGGCTCCTGTGGTGGCAACGTCAGTCTCAAAGCCCTCTTCGGTTTCTGGGCAACATGTCACGAAGCGAATGGGACCCACCACAGATATAAGGGCATCATGTCCCCGACCACATTTGGCGACCTCGGGTCAAACGTGTGCATTGTCATGATCTTGGGGAGGCCAGCTGCCATCGCTACCACCCCAAGTCCCATGAGGACAGTAAGCAATGTTTTTTCCACCGACGAGCGAGTGAGCTTCCAAATGATGAGAGCAGGAAGCACCGCGAAGAGTACGTCGCTGACCATGCCAATGCCTTTGCGAACAAAGGACGTGTTAGCCCACGGCGTCGAGAAATCAACAGCACAAAGTGACCCACCAACAAAGGTGTATGCCATCATCCATATCGCATCGGGTGGGAAGCATCTCCCACCGGCATCGTGCGCCCATATGCTTCGAATCGGTCGGCACTGGACGAGCTCGGCAATGTCGGAGGCTACGGCTATGACCACCTGAATGCCGATGCTGAACCAGAGCACCACTCTCCACATCCTCTGCTGGGTAATTTGCAGCAATAAGTACGCGACTGAGATTCGGGCGAAGGATGACGCCCAGAAGGCCACGCAGAAGACGGTGAATGTGGTTGCTCCGATAATTTCGATGTCGTCGGCCGAGAGATAAGAGCTTGGGCGTCCGAATCCATGAGCCACGGCAACGGTAGTCAGCGCAATCACCAGCGCTTCCGCAACCTGCTCGTTCTCGCGGTTATAATGGCCACCTCGAGACGTACTAGGAAGGGGAACTCACGAACGCGACCGCCACGGTGTAGTCGCTGGCATTGAGGCGGTACTTCGGCCTCGTCCGCGTGAACATGCGAATGCAGAAGACAACGAGCGCTACGGCGAAGAGGGGGTACAGAACGGCGAGCGTGCGTGTTCCGATCGAGAGGTCCGGAGAAGCATCCACTCCGGACCCGGCCATGGCGGCAGCATCGGCGCGCCTACCGAGTTGACGACGTGTGAGCGAGGCCCGGCAAGTCGGGTCCAGAGAAAGTCGACGATGGTAAACAAAGAATGTCAGACGCTTTGCGGGAAATCGTAAGCATCCCGGATTAAACGACCACCAAGACCGCAGGCACGCGGAGGATTGATCATTAGGCGACAACTGCCAGCTACACCCAACTGAGTTTGGCGATGTTGTCCCAAAATATCTTACGCCTTGAACAGCCCGGCCGGCGGATCGCTTTCGCTATCGTACCCGTGACGGAAGAGTACAGAGCACTGGGGAAGCGATCACCATCATCTCCACACCTCATCTCTAGATCTGCGATTGGTTAGGATACTGGATCACTCGGATCCGGTGTCTTGGGACCAAGAGGCTGTCACTAGGCCAAGGCTGGCCTTGCTTAATTGGGGAGGCTCCTTGAGGCTGGGCTGTGCAGGGGATGAACGATAGCTTGAGAAAGTTTCCTGATTGGAGCGGAGCGTCGTCCGTTCAGGAGAAAAGAAACAGTCCGAGGCCCGAGCAAGCAGAAGCCACACGCAGGGCCGGGGCACTTTCCGAGCGCCAAGCAAAGGGGGTCTAGCCTCATCGCGACCAAGCCCACGACGGCTCGGGGACTCTCCCCAGCGCATCCAAATCTACCGTTATTAAGCATCCCGCCGTTCGGGCCGATCGGCGACCTGGCAAGAGCCACGGCTGTGTTTGGCTGTGCGCATCTTCATCGATGAAGTCATGGGACGCCCGTAACGAGTCATTCGGATGCTTTCGGACGACGTGATGCACCCGCGCGCGTTGAACGTGGTGTAAAGGGATGTTGCTGACGCGCCGCGAGCGAGCAGTTTTGGTATCCGCTGTCGAGGCTTGACCGGTCAAGCAGGCAATGAAATTGGCACACGGTTTGGGCGGAGCACAGACCCATTACCTGAACAATTGGGTATGGTCTCGCGGGGTGAGAATGCAAGATGTCGGACGACGGAAACTTCGTACTCGACCCGTTCGATTTCCTCATCACACTTGATGAGTCTCAAGTTCCAGCGGCCTCTCAGATCTTGCCGCGGATTCTTCTTCAACGCGAACTCGTATGAACAACCCGAAGCAAAGCCCATGGACAACGTTGTTGGGTTTGTGGATTTTGTTGGGGATTGAGCAGGGGAGAGGATCACGCTAGGGTTGCGTTGCCATCGAAAACCCTAACTAACCCTGAGACGCGACTCTTATCAGACCCACCTTTTGGCTCAGCCAAAACTCCCTCCGCCCAATCAGTTCGAAGTTCCAAGCTTGAAACCAAGTTCGCGCCCCAAACCAGCCATGTCCTGACGACGAAGGAAAAATGATGAGAGAAAGAGCGAGGGAACATAAGGAACAGCAATGCCATTAATCACAAGACGTAAACCCTTACTCTTCCTCGCCACTGGCCTCTTTCTCTTCTTCCTCTTCTCATTTCGACGGTTCGAACCCGTCCAACCCGACGGGCCGAGGCCTAATGCAGGCAGTCAGCACCTAATTCCTGGCGGCGGCGGCAGCGGCACCACCGGGTCCAAATGGGCCCGCATACAGCCCCGCTTCCCCGTGACGGACATGCGCCCGCTGCCCACGGGACGCCCGCAGGCGCTTCCCAAGGTGCAGCACGAGTTCGCCCCGGAATCCTCCGCGGAGCGCGAGGTGCGCCTCCGGCGACGCGAGGCAGTCAAGGCCGCCATGCAGCGCTGCTGGGCGTCGTACCGCAAGCACGCCTGGCTGAGCGACGAGCTGACGCCCGTCACCGGCGGGCGGCGGGATGTCTTTGGCGGGTGGGGCGCGACGCTCGTCGACAGCCTGGACACGCTCTGGATCATGGGCTTGCGCGACGAGTTTGACGAGGCCGTTGCCGCGGCGACTTCGCGCATCGACTTTGACAAGGTCGCTGCGCAGGATGTCAACGTCTTCGAGACAAATATCCGCTACCTCGGCGGGTTTCTCGCGGCGTACGACCTCAGCGGCGACGAGCGCCTGCTGGCAAAGGCACGCGAGGTCGGCGAGATGCTCTATGTTGCCTTTGACACCCCCAACAGGATGCCCATCACGCGCTGGAACGCGCGGGCCGCCGCCTGGGGATCGAAGGCCCAGCTTGCGGATGAGAATGTGCTGTTGGCGGAGATCGGTTCCTTTTCGCTCGAGTTTATCCGCCTGTCGATGCTGACGGGCGACCCCAAGTGGTTTGATGCCGTGGAGTGCATCACCGAGGCACTGCACGCGCAGCAGCACAAGTCCCGCCTACCGGGCATGTGGCCTGTTATCGTCAATGCCAGAGGCAAAGATTTTGGCGGGCACTTTGACTACACGCTCGGCGCCATGGCGGATTCGCTCTACGAGTACTTGCCAAAGACGTACGCTCTCGTCGGCGGCCTGCTACCCGCCTACCGGGAAATGTACGAGGCGGCCATGGACACGGCCATCCGGCATAACCTCTTCCGGCCCATGTTGCCCGACGAGAAGGATGTCCTCGTGTCCGGGTTGGTCACTGCCAGGACAGAGAACGGCAAGCTGACTACCCATCTTCGGCCAGAAGGCCAACATCTGGTGTGCTTTGCGGGTGGAATGTTTGCCCTGGGCGGCAGGCTCGTCCAGAACGACACGCACGTCGAAAAGGGGGAGAAGCTGATGGACGGGTGCGTGTGGGCTTACCAGGCGCTGCCCCTTGGCATCATGCCCGAAACCTTCTTCATGGTGCCTTGCGAGTCTGCTTCCCAATGTCCGTGGGATGAGGTAAAATGGAAACAGGCGGTGCTGAAAAAGGAGGGCTTAAAGTGGCAGACGACGGACACCACGCGGGCGGATGAAATCATCAAAAACAAGCGCCTTCCCAAGGGTTTCGCTTCCATTGGCGACCCACGGTATATTCTCCGGCCCGAGGCTATTGAGAGCGTCTTTATCCTGTACCGGATCACAGGGCGCAAGGACCTCCCTGAAGCAGCGTGGAAGATGTTTGAGGCGATTGAAGGCAGCACCAAAACCCCGCTGGCGAACTCGGCGCTTGAGGATATTACAGTCACGGACGGGAAGCCGGTCATGACGGACACGATGGAGAGCTTTTGGCTGGGAGAGACGCTCAAGTATTTTTACCTAATGTTCAGCGAGCCGGACCTGGTGAGCCTGGATGAGTATGTGTTTAACACGGAGGCGCATCCGCTCAAGAGGCTGCTTCCGAAAGAGAATGCGTGAGGATGGTGTCAGAAGTTGGATACCATTGAGACACGGCCGGCCCGTGTTACGGACTGGTTGTACATACGACTCTCTGGCTGGCATTTTGGTCGGATCCCTGGCGGAGATACCCGAGTCGTGCCGGGTCGGAACGGACCCAGCCAGCCAGCGGGGCTACTGCTTTCGGAAGTTCCGACATCGCATCGCTCGGAAATCCGGTCAGTTTGTCAACGCATTTCTGTATCGTAGTTCCGGAGAAGACAGGTACAAACAGAGACTTTGGATAGAGAAGGGAAATTTATTCGCAAGACCGCATTCAGCAAATCCGCAAAAGTCTCCAACGCCAATTTATGTCGCGGTCGACTTGCGCTTGACTGTCATCTTGGCGAGGGGTCGGCATTGACCCCGCCTGAGGGTCTGGACGGGCTCAGATGGAGCATGGCCTAGCGTCGGCGGAGGCTACAGGTATATCAAGGGGACAACCTCCTTGCCTCACAGCTGGTCAGTGAGACTCTCAAGTCCAGGTGCAGACAACCTCTTCGTCCTCACCTTCGCCGACCACATTACCCCACCGCTTGCACCAATTGCTAGCATGGTCGTGCCAACCTCCATCACCGTCTCCCTCCGGGACATCGCCAAACTCATCGACCACTCCCTCTTGCACCCGACCATGACAGACGCCGAGGTCGACGCGGGGCTCGAAATCGCAAAGAAATACAACGTCGCGGCGGCATGCATCAAACCGTACAGCATCCCCGCGGCGCGCAAGGCACTTGCTGGCACCGACGTAGCCATCTGCGCGGTGATCGGCTTCCCGCACGGCAACTCAACAACCTCCATCAAAGTCGCCGAGGCCACCGAGGCCATGCAGGCTGGGGCGCACGAGATCGACATGGTCGTCAACGTGGGCAAGGTGCTGGGCGGCGACTGGGCGTACGTGCGGGAAGAGATCGGCGCCATCAACGGCGCCGTGACCGGCCTCGGGGGGATTCTAAAGGTCATTTTTGAGAATGACTATCTTCGGGAGGAGCATATAGTCAAGCTGTGCCACATCTGCACTGAACTTGGTGTTGCATACGTCAAGACGTCGACTGGGTACGGGTTTGTCAAGCGGGAGAATGGCATGTACTCGTACAAGGGCGCGACCGTGCCGCATCTGAAGTTGATGCGGGAGAACTGCGGGCCGAATGTCAAGATCAAGGCCGCGGGGGGAGTGAGGACCTTGGATGAGTTTCTCTACGTCATGACGTTGGGTGTCTCGCGGGTCGGCGCTTCGGCCACTGTGGCTATCATGGAGGAGGCTAAGAAGAGGGGGATCACGGAGACCCCGGCGGAGGTCCCGGTTAAGGCTATCGCAGATACACAAGGCGGGGCGTACTGAGTGGCGGGCTTGTAATGCACCGTGAGGTAGTTCGTCAAGGTGGAAAGGGGGCAATCATGTTGGGTACTACTGAGTGCAGGCGGCAAATACTACTCTTGCCGAGAACCTCCCACTATCAGTCTCAATCCTCCCCATCCCGCGCCACAACACCGCCCGGCATGTTGTCCAACCACCCATCAATCCCCTCGCCGACCGCCGGCGGCTTGGTGCAACCATTCATAGCAGAATAGTTCTGCACGGGCAAGTAGCAGATCTGGTCGCGGCAGTTGCCCCTGTCGAAGGCTTTCTGCAGCGAGTCGCCTCGCCAGCCAAAGACGTAGTCGGCGTGGTGGCCGTGCCCGACCCGGTCGCCAAAACTCCAGACAAACGGCTGCCGACCTGGATCCGTCGGCCAGAGCTCCGGGTCATTGAACGGCCGCGTGTCCCACCGGATCTCAAGGGTTATCATGGGTATGTAGACCGGGTGGCTCGCCGGGCATGGCGCGCCGTTGATGTACGCTCTGGCGCCCCCCGGCGGGAAGGCAACGTGGCTTTTGTGGTCTGGACTGTCGAGGTTCTTGCCGTCCCAGCAGGGCGGGAAGGGGGTTGTTGTCATGATACCGCCGGGGCAGGGGCCTTTTGGGAAGTCGTAGGTGAGGTTGTAGAAGCGGGTGTACTCGTCTTCCATGCACGTGTATGTGGGACCGTCGAAGAGGCTGGGTGTCTCGCCCGGCGGCAGGGTTTGGTACGGGGCACGACTGTCCGGGTCGCCGACTTGCATGCGGAAGCCCGGCATGAAGGCTCGGTATCTGATCTCGGGGTGTCTGTCCTGCGGGGAGTAGTAGATGGTGACGCCGCCGTTGGCCTCCTCGTGGTACAGCACGCCGAGCTGCTTGACGCGCATGTAAGAGCCGTTCCGGGCCTGGAAATACATAACGCCGGTCCAGTAGTTGGAAAAGTCCTCGGTGATGAGGCATGTTGTGCAGCTCGACATGTCGGCCGGATGGTTGGCCGGGTCCATGGTTGCGTTGAAGCCGTTGCCCCCTACAATCTGGTGGAGGTGTGACGAGCCCGTCTTGCCCGGTTCGACGAGTCTATACGTAACAATAAGTATCATCTGAATGCTGATACCGGTTGCCGCGGCACTATGTAATAGGTGGACTTACGGGTCGATACGATCCAACACCAGCTGTGAGCACGGCATCTTGAGGGCGGCCTGCCTGAAGGGCGGATCCGTGGTTTGAGCCATGGCAATGGCGACCGTTACGCCTATTAGGCCAATCGTACGTTTCCAACACATGACGTATGTATCTCTCATCTGGCTGCAGCAGGATGTTCAACCGGACGAAGAACCTAGTTGAGATGTCCTGAGTCTACTCGACTCATGTTGCGTTATCTATAGCTTCAGAAACCTACTAGTACTTACATTCCTACTAGTACCTTATGTACTGACCTTGTGTCCACCATGGGGTAAGACTCAAGCCCCGGCGAGCTTCTCTGGCCCCTCTATATAGATTGCCATCATTTGTCTGCTGCCCGGGATCAAACCTCATGGTCTTGTTGGAGGATTTAGCCACCATGTTTTCCGCCTCTGCAGTGAGCCTGCTGCAACCACACACACACCAAACCATACCACCGTCACCACCAGTCAGGTTGGCAATGATAGTGGTCTCAGTGTAAGTACGAAATACGAACGAACGGGTAGAACTTAAAGTTACGGGTTTCCTTCTGGAAAATTGCTGCCTACATGGATTCTTTCTTCCGCACACGGCCATGCCGCCACATGCAGTGACGTGGGCAGTGTGTGAAAGCATGGGAAGTTAATGAATGTAGTGAACCCCCGGCAATGCCCATCCGTCAACAAGTCCCGCCAAAATACCGATATCTCAGTATCTACTAGCTACTTACGTATTATACTACCCCTATTTGTTACCTACCTTAGGTAACCCGAGACGCAGCCAAGTGCAGTACATGTAGTCCAATCTGGAGCTTGGGTGCTTGAGCTAACACACAGCTTGAACTTCTGACTTGACTAAACGAAGTTCATTGGGATGGACTCTTAGGGGGTCCGAGACCAACCGAGTTGAGAATGTAGCTAACGTCGTAGCTAGTGGAGTAGTATACAGCCAAGGCGGTTTCTTGTGTTAGCGTTTTGTTCACCTGAACTTCGTCTTTGTCGGCACATGTAGCAGTGGTCCCCTGCATCTCTCCTTCTCTCCATTGTTCCAAATCCTCGACTCCTTCATTCTCGATATTGAAGTTCGCTGAAGGCGCTATGTTTGCCTGCGCCTGCTCACTTAGCCGTAAGGCTTACCTCCGAAGCCCTTCGTCAGAAGAGATCATTGGGGAACACTGTAGTGTTTAACACATGATGAAGATTCGTCAAGAATGGTCCTAGCTATGGATTTGCGGTATATACCTGCTAGAACTCCTAGCTCGACCTAGCCTATAACAAAGGTTGGACGGTAACTCCTAGATAGGAGGCAACTAGGTGCACGTGCATGTATCCATAGGCGCATCTGGCAACCTACTTCTGCATGAGGATCCATTTGGGATTGCTAGTTGCTTTTCACTTCGCCATATCCGGGTTTGTTGGTTCTTTGTGGAAGTTGGACCGCCTTCACTGCAGGACTATATGTAGGTTAGGTAACATGTAAGCTGCTGTTGGTGCAATTGACATGGAAATGCATGAGTGATGGCCAGCATGACAAGCAGAAATAGCTCCGTAGTGCGTACCGTTTATAAGAGATGAGTGGTAGCGAGTCTGGCGGCCCGCCTATAGGCTGTCTTCAACCCCCGGCAGTTCAGGGGCTTGAGGTGCCCAGCTCGACACTATTGCTTCCCACCTGTTGCCGAGAATGCAACATGGCCAGCCACCCTGATATTTCTCACCGCGTTCAAGGGGCCAAGCGGACTTATATACGGATATATCATGCCGGAGAGAACTTGGAGATTCATCATTGGTGACCGCTTGTTTACCTGAGGTTCGACTCGGTGCCATCTGATCAGTCCAGTCCTCGACATCGTCATCATGGCTCGGAGCAGTAGTATCATTCTTGTCGCCGCCACGCTCAGGGCATTTGCCTCGGGCCAGAGTGCCGACCCCACTTCGCCCACGAGCACAACCACCACGTCGTCCACAACCGTGTCGATCCCGGGGTTCCCATCCGGCTTCCCAACGGGGCTCCCGACCTACAACGGCACGGGCCCGACCATGCTCCGGTTCGGCTGCCACCAGCTCGTCATCGACCGCATCGACCCGCTCGTCAACCCAGGGTCCATCCCGTCGCAGCACCAGCACCAAATCGTCGGCGGCGACGCCTTCAACGCCTCAATGCCCCTGTCCGACATCAGCGCCTTGTCAACCTGCACCTCGTGCAGCTACAGCGACGACTTCTCCAACTACTGGACGTCCAACCTGTATTTCCGCGCGCGCAACGGCACGTACAAGCGTGTCCCGCACAAACCCAACAAAGGGAGCGCGCCGCCGGTGTTCGAGGACCCGTTCACGCCCCGCACCAACGGCGGGCTGGTCGCATACTACGTGTCGCCCGGCAAGGGCGAAGTGACCGCCTTTGCGCCGGGTTTCCGCATGTTCTTCGGCGACGCCATGCTGCGGTCCGAGCCGCAGGGGCCGTGGAACCTGTCCACCCAGACATGTTTCCGCTGCTTCACGGGGCCCGATTTCGGGGGTGATTTCCTCCGGCCGTGCCAAGATCCCCTCGTGGACACCATGTACCTGCCCAACAAGCCTTGCTACGGCATCCGGTCTAATATTCTTTTCCCGACGTGCTGGGACGGCGTGAACCTTGACAGCCCCGATCACAAGTCGCACGTCGCGTACCCCGTTGAGGGGCCGCACATCTTTGACGGTATCGGCACGGCGGAGCAGTGCCCGCCTTCCCACCCGGTCAAGATCCCCCAGCTGATGCTGGAGATTATCTGGGACACGGAGCCGTTCAATGACCCGAATGAGTGGCCCGAGGACGGGTCACAGCCTTTTGTTCTGAGCACGGGAGACGCGACTGGGTATAGCCAGCACGCGGACTACATCTTTGGGTGGAAGGGGGATTCGCTGCAGGTGGGTATGGATGCTGGCTGCGTTGCCGCGAACTGTCCCGGCATGGCAACACAGACGGTGGAGGAAGCGGCGCTGTGCAAGGTGCCTGAGCTGGTTGGAGAGAACTACGAGGGCTGTAGGTTCAACCTTTCTTCATGCTTCGTCCTTTCTGGCACATAACTGATGGCGACTGAACAGGGCTGGAAACGCTCCCCGGAAATCCGCCGCAGCCTCCTGTCACTACTACTTCCAACCAGCAGCCTCTTCCAACGGGTAAGGGCAAGGGCAAAGGCAACGGCAAAGGCAAGGGAGGACATTGACAGTATTGCGTCTAGTACGAAGGGTGCCGGTCTCAAGCGAGTGACCTTGAATAATGACCTGTGCGGCAAAGATAGAAGCGGCTCTCAGCCTCAGCCCAACGATATACATGAGGTTTTCAGTTGTTATCCCTCCTCGAGTCTGGTTCATTCGGGTACGGGACTCCGGTCACGCCAACCTCGCCCACCGTGATGTGCGACGACCCGCTGCTCTGGTATCCCTCGGTGGCCATAATCATGTAATCGTGGGCTCCCAGCTTCAAGCCACTGCTCGTCCAGGCCGCGAAGTGATTGCCCGTGGTGATCTGTCCGCCAACACGCTTCCGCTGGCGAATGGACCAAAACTGGTAAAAGGTAGCCCGTCCCACAATCGAGGGCTGGTTCACACGCTGCGTCTGGTAGATGTCGTACGTGCCGCCGTCGCTCTGCACGGTGCCCCTCCGTTGTGCCCCGCTGCTGGGGTTGTACGTCCCGTAGCTCTCGACAATGTAGTACTCGATCAGCGGGTTCTTGGTCCACCCGTACAGCGCCAGGTACGAGTTGACATTGGCACCGTTCCACGTGCCGTTGTACTGCACCGTCTTGTTTCCGCCGGGGTTCCACCCCTTGCCGCCGACCCAGTTGCCCACGTTTCGCCATTCGCTGCGGTACGTCCCGTTCACGAGGTTGTTGTAGGTGACGCTGCCCCGGCCGTCCGACCAGAACGAGTAGAAGTAGCCGCTATGGAAGCCGTTGCCTTCAGGGTCGCCTGCCGCGACTGCGGAGGTGTCGCGAGTCTCAGCATGGAGCCGGCTGCCCAGATCAATAGACCTTCCGAACAGCTGTTGGTCCAATGGAATGGCGACTGCGAGAGCCGCGAGAAAGATGAGTTGCTTGATCATGGTAAAGGGGGTGCCTGTGAGTAAGAACGGGGATTGCTTGATCCAACACTCGCCTGGCAACCTCAGGGAAAGAACTTGAGCTTAAAGAACAGCGAGAGGGCCTGCTTTTGACTCTTGTTGTATTGCCGCCCGGACGACAGGATGAGACATCAGGTCTTTGCGGCATCTCGAATCGGCATCTCGAATTAAAACATTGATGGGATCCACCATTTTACCAGCGGGTAAAATGTCCGAATAGACGAGCTTCCTTTGGCCTCGTCGGTCAGAGTACATGGATGACCTCCGGATAAAAATCAGGAAGCCGTGTGGTCACATTTGGGGATACCTGGGGAATTTATAGTTCAGAGTCCAGGCATCTTGTGACTCTGGTCATATAACCCGGAGGACCACCCTCAAACCCATCTTTTCGGGGAAAGCGCAGAATTAATAAAATGAGAATTGAATGCAAGGTTATGGAAGGCATGGAGTAAAGAAGCTGAGAGGAGGAAGAAGATGCGGAGAAAGCGGAGAAGGATCTGGCGAGAAGAGATAGAGCGTATGATGACTACATCACACTAGGGGAGAGGGACAGCAGTGGTGTGCGCCTGTCCAACACCAGGTTCGGTGCTTAGCAGGGCATGATTCCTCTACCTACAGGTCCAGATGGAGGCTGACTTCGAAAGACCACCCGAGCCCAGAACTGCAGCAAGGTTTGACAGCCATCTTGCCGTCATTCACACCTCGATCGTCTTTTCCGGGTCAAAGCCTGCTGACTGAGCAAAATAGTAACCTCTCTGGTTCGTCACCAGCCTCAACGGCGCGGCATCGGGTCCCCTGTCCACGAAAAAGTCGCAATTGTAATGGGTATGCCCAAAAGCCCACACGCAGACTTTCGTGCTCTTGAAGAACGGCTCCCCGGACAGCTCCGTTGAGAATCCGCTGGAAATAGGGCTGCCGGCATGTCTTGGGTCCACCGCACGAGGATCAGTTGACGGGCTCCAGTGGGTAAGGATAATGATCTTCACGTCCTCGCTCTCCAGGTTTCGCACTTGCTCGTTCAACCATGCAAGATCGCACTTATGGGCGTTATTGTGAGCGTCGACGTCCCAGCCTTGGCGAATTTGAAAGAAATCGTTGAGCCCGAAACTCACGGCCATGCTGCTCTCTGCGGGCACGTGAGAGAAGAGGCTGCAGCCGAGTACGACAATGTTGGTATCGGGTACTCGGAACACTGTGCGGTCGAGCAGGACGAAGTAGCCGAGAGAGCTGTCGACGTGGACGTCTTGCTCGAATTCACGGAGAATGGCGAGTGTCTCGGGCCAGGTGGAGTGGTAGGCTTCGTGGTTGCCGAGGACGAGAAGGACAGCGCGGAATTGTCTGAGCTGTTTCTTGAAGAAGGCGAGGTAATCGTCCTTGTGCGCGGCAATGTTACCGATGTCGCCCAACAATGCCAGATAGGGCGCTTTTGGAGTGATCTCGAAGATGTCGTAGCTTTTTGGAGCCTCCAAGTGGAGGTCTGACAAGATATGGAGAGACATGCCTGACCGTTCGTGATGGAAATTGGAAGGAGCCTAGATGGAAGTCATGGATCTTGGACTCCCGGAATCGGTGAGGGACCTCCCCACTACCTACCTAGGCACCCGATTCCCGATTACTCGATGATTGATTGGCAATTGTCTTAATCAAGTGTCTCCAGCGTTTGGGAGTGAAACTTCGGATTTCGGAAGTGCAGCTTTTTTCTTTCTCTCGCCAACTCCAAGATCCCATGGTTTAAGGCCGGGAGAGGATGCTGTGCAAGGCAGGGACGGCACAGCGCACTGAACAGGCGTGGGGCTACAGCCGGTTTGGGCGCACAGATGGGGAGGCTTTGTTGGGGGAATTTGAACCCTAACCACCGTCGAGGCTAGCTGTATGTACAGTACAGTACTGTACATACTTACAGTGCAATACTGCAATACTCGCAGTGGTGGGGCAGATGGCGATTATGAAGCCCTGACGAGTACAGTAGTACTGTATGGTGGAAGCCAGTGGTTAAACGCGAGTTTACAGTGGAGCCAACCAAGAGACTGATGAATTTCATTGTCATTGTGTCAGTTCGATGTTGCAAACTTCAACAAACTTAGCTCAAGAGTCAAGTCCTCCTGCTTCCTGTTTTTTGCAAGCACATCATTGCAAGTCTCTTGGTTTTCTCCATCATTTGAGCGCTAATGAGCCTGCGAGGTGGGCAGATCTTAGCTTGCACGAATCGACAACGACGACAAGCTTTATCCTTTCCTCTACCGATGGTCACTCTTCCTCTATTCAGGTGCGCCGAAGGAACTTGCGAAGAGCTGACCCTGACTGGCCATTTCTCTATCTAGGTATACACCCTGAAGCGGCCATGTAGCTGCCCCGATTGGCTCATCCTTAGTACAGTACAGTACATTGTCCCTGACAGCATCTGACCCGAACCTGCCAACGCCACATGCTCCAATAACGATCAAAGATTCAGCTTAAACCCTAATAACATCGGTCTGTGATGGGTGAAACAGTCAGTCTTGTAACGCCCTCTCAACTTTCAAGTCCTCTCGCAGTCAGAGGCAGCACCAATGGAACTAACCTACCGAGGCACATACACCATCTGGCCAGCAACAGGCGCCTTATTCTGACCATGATGACCAGCCCGAGTCTGAGCTGTAGTAGCCGGAGTCATGGTTGACACAGCGTTCGCATATTTGGGTATCGTTGACGTGGTAAAGTGTTGTTTTGTGTACCTGGGTGCGCGCCACGCCCCCGTCGCTCGGCACATCGCAGAAGGGTGCTCTGGAGCACAACACCACAATTGGGACAGACGAGTAGGCGGTATCGGCACATCTTGGGTCCGGCTATGACGAAGGGCACCGTGACGGATTAGTGAATAAAAGAGGCTGATACAATGCGCAGTGAAGAGTGGCCTAGGACTCGGTATTGAATGAGGTTGAGGATATCTTGACTGGTTAATGCTGCTTGCTCAGCAATAAGGAGCAGTCCTTCTTCTCTCGGCTGTCCCTTTATATATATCTCCAGAGAACCTCCAGTACAGACCAGGGTGAAGGGCGTCCCATCTCGACTTGCTCTCCTGGACCTGAACGATGCCTTCCCCTTAACCCCACCGCCCCTCAGGCTTGAATTCAGAGCAGCCGTCGGGAGTATAACGGCCTGGAGAAGGCCGGCGTCACGATGATGAGAAAGCGCGGGAAATGTTGGATAATCCAAAGTTTGGTCAGAGGGACGCCGCCGTGGTGGCATTCAACGCGAACTTCAGGTGACATGGCGTGGGGCCTTCACACGGTGGGAGCAAAACTCAGGTCCGGAGGTAAAGGCCAGGGAGCTCCACCAGAGCCCCTTTCTATGCCGATGTCGCGGCATAACAACCACTATTAGGTGTCCGCATGGGTGCCGTTGCGACTAAGAAGTCGCAAATGTGACGCGATGATACCTGAAGCTGGCGTGTATCTCGTGTATGGCAGCGACTCTGGTTCTAGTGGCCGCGCCTACGTGCAGCAACACACAGTGCGGCCCACTCTTGGTTGTTAGCGTGATCTCCATCACTGTGCCTACGCGCCTAACACCTCCACTAGGGCGGCTGTTCGGGGTCTTGAGCGGAACGCACAAGGGGGTATAACGGGGAGCCCCACCTACGGCATTTCACGCCAACCTCACTTCCACTAGAACTTGAGAAACCAAGGTGAGGTGCTCTCTTCGCTCTCTCTTTCAGGCTTTAACGTCCAGGCTCCGTCGCCCGCTCGCATCATCGTAACGTCCCCAGTCTTATCAAAGCTACAGCACACGCATCCTACACTTCAGTTTATTACCTGGTCCTGGTACTCGTCCCACAATGCACGGAGACAAAGAGTACAAAATCGATAACGACAGCCGCGCGGCCTTGCAAACCAACACCGGCGTACGATTTCTTCTCCGCGCCAAGTTGAAGCCAGGGTCTCGACACTCTTCGGATATCATACCTTGGGCACAAAGCCTCTCGGAAAAGATCGCCAGGGCCATGGCGGAAGCAGCCGGGCACCAACTGACCCATTTCGCCATGCAGTTGAACATGATCCGGTTGCTAAGCCACAAGCATTACGCCCTCATCTGTTTTGACCTTTTTCTCCACGAAAGCGATGAGCAAGTACGAAGCCAGTTCTCGCAAACGCTCCAGCAGCCAATCCACGAAATCATCAAGCGGGGAAACAGCTGCCATGTCATCCGGAGCAAAAAACTGGACGAAATGGTAGCAAACCATTACAGGCGTCTGCAGGACTCTGACAGCGGCCCGCGGCCGTATTTTACGGATGGCCTCTATCCGCCACTGTATGTCGATGGGAGACGGATCGAGACGTCTAAGGATGGAACACCTGACCCCGACGAACCGGAAGGATGGGACTGGGAGCGCGGGCTGGTGTTAGGGCCGGAAGAGGAGGAGGATGAGCTGAAGGGGGAAGGGGAAGGTGGCCTTGGTGAGGGTTAGTAAGAGAGGGGAGAAAGGTTTCCATCCTCTGGAAGTAGGCAGAAGAGCTTGCCTTCCTCTATGATACGGCAGTACCTGTAACGGAGGATGGTGTGCAATGTTCGGTTACGTAAGATGTATGTGTACTGTCAAAGTGTTTCCACCGTGTAAACGGCGCAACTAACGTAAGGTAAGGGGGGCCGGGTACTACCTAGAGCTTAACAGATAGTAACTTATACCATTGCATGTGATCACTTTCGCTCCCTCAACTCAAAGCTCTAAACAACATCGGCTTTTCGTTTCGCTTTCATCCTGAAGCACAAGATATCTGAACGCCCTCATGAGTTCGGTGTTTACCACCTTTCCTATTGTTGTTACCGCTTCGACTGGCACCTCACCTCCACACTTTTCGCTTCGCTTCAGAAAAACAAGACATCTGGCCAGCCTCATCAGCGCAAACCACAATATGGCGGCGCTTTCCGCTAAAGAAAAGTTCATCGCGAGCGTCGCTCAAACCCTCAACTCAAGAGAGATTCCCTGCATTCTGTGGGCCACTGCCTTCTCCACGTCCATGGCGTGCCCACCATCGTCTCTGTAAGTGAACCTATGGAAATGCCTTGAAAGAGAATCGTGAGAATTCGGCTAATGCTTGAAAGTCAATCGATTTCGTCATTCCCGATGACCAGTTGAAACCCGGCATCGAGGTGATTGTCAAACTCCCGGACGTTGTTACATGCCAAAACCCGAGCCTCCGCCCTAAATCGTCGCCAAAGCGGCCCTCACCACCGCCTGCAGCCCACGTCCATACAGTGGCAGACCCGGAAGTCTCGGTGGAACTCTATTTACAGTCCGACACACTCTGATTTTTGCCGCCTGTTGACGATACCATCCTATCGCCAACAGCGGGCGAGCTTCCACCACACTTTGTCCTCGCAGCAGATCACACGGCACTCCCACCCTGGCGGCCAGGTCGTGGAACTGGCTACCTCAAATTCCGCACACCTCCGGTCGTTGTTCCCAGGTCTCATGTGTTACTCGAAGCCTATATGCGAATTTACGCCCGGGACTTTGGCAAATGGATTGGAGGTAACACACTTTGCATGATCTGCTACATGATTGAGTATGTCGACAACGACGGGTATTTGGATGTGGACCAGCTTCCGGAACCGCTCCGGACATTGTACTTGGAGCTCAGAGACGAGAAAACGCCGACGCGCCCGTGGTCGGAGAACTTAAGGGCCGCGCTTGGAGTATCTGATTGAGATTTCCAACCTCACCTAATCCTTTCTCCAACTGCCAAGCGTTCTTTATCAGCTCAGGCCCCTATATGGCCCCCAGTCTGAGTCCAGAATCCTAACATCTGACGCTCCCATCATGATATGTACTAGCAACAGATGGACAATCCATCCAAGACATTATTCCATCCCCCTTTTGAAAGACTAGATCTTAGACCCCCTACCCTTGACCCCTCCACCAGAAACAAAAGGGTTACCCCTATCCGGATCGCCAGTGTCGGGTAGGTTCTTCTGCCGGCCCGCACCCAGCGATGACGATGATGTTTTTCCTGACGAAGCTGATGTGGGCTCGCCCTGCCTAGTATTCTGGTCCGGATCAGGCCCGTCGCTGGTTTCGGCCTTGAGATCGCTGGGGTCGCCCAGCTGGGACGGGTTTGCGCCCTCGCCGCGGACCTTTTCGGCAGCGAGCTGCCGGAGGGGTTTGTGCTTGCTTTGTGTCATGATTCTCTGGGCTGGTACTAATGATAATGATAATGACTGGCTGTTGAATATATCTGTTGGTACTTGGTAGCCTGGGGAGGGCTTATAGGTCTCACTCGCGAGGTTGATTGTGAGATTGTGGTTGCTTTTCAAGTTGTTGTTGGTTTGAGGAGTTTTAGATATGTCATGTAGAGTTTATGTTTTTGTGAAACGAGTGTTGATACTACTTGTGGCTCTGGAGAGGTTAGTGGATCTACGTCAGCACAGGAGATGACGTCGCTGATACGCAATGGTTGTACCTCGGTTCACTGATTCTTCCCAGCTAAAAGTGGATGTATGGGGTAAGTGGGATAGATCATAGGACGGGGCCTTTGTCAACTGTCCAAGGTCCTGTCAGTACTGGTACCGAGGTAGCACTGTAGGTATCTAAATTAGACCTCTCTCATCATCGTAGTTAGACGATTATACATTACATCTATCAAAGCGCCATCATTAAACCTAATCTTTCCAGTCATGCCGCCGATCTTGGTCTCTATAAGCCTACCAGATCCGGATCCATCATCATAAGGCATTCCACTCAAGGTGCATACAGTCGTAGGTCCCCGTAGCTCACGCAATAGCCGTCATCTCAAAGGGTACAATCTTGGTCTCATCGACGATGGCGCACCTGATGTCGCGGCTGGAATAAATCTGGCCCAAGGTCCAGTTGGGGTTCTGGTATGTTGTCTCGGTGCAGGCAAGCGTGAAATTAAACTCGCCACGGCCAGTGAAAGTGACACTCGATTGCTGTTAGCCTGATGCTACTCACCATTACAACTCAAAGCACAAGGAGATTCAAACATACGGGTACTCGGGCTCATTGTCGTAGCATGTCCACGTCTGGTTGACTCTCAGCTGGTTCGTCGGCCGGGCGAAATCGAAGCTCGTGCTGCCGATCCGCCCCGCGGCCTCGTCATCGCACTCGTACTGCATGGTGCCATAGAAGAAGTCGCTCAGCTGGTTGCTCGCGGCCTGGCAGTGTGTCGCGCTCTGGTCGGCCGGGTTGAACAGGTCGAATGAGACGTAGCCCCATGAGTTCTGGTGCGCCGGGGTGGTGAAGATGTAGGAGGCGTGAAAGTCAAACTGGCGAGCCAGCCAGGCGAACGACTGGAACGAGGTCTCGCTGCAGCCGGCTTGATCCTGCCGGGGACTGTGCTGAATCGGCGAGGCCGAGACGGAGGCGGCTGTGAGGAGCACGGCGGGAAGGAAGTTGATGAGCTGCATGATGGATTAAGATATGGCCGGGAGGTGATGTGATACTGAAAGGTGAAGAGACAGACTTGTCTGGGAACTTAACTTGTTTGGGTCAAGAGGTTATGGACGACAACTGGGAAATCCGGGACAGGACCTTTAATATGAGCTGACAACCTGGTTACTGGTATGTAAAACAGAATACTCCGCATTTGGGCTCGTATTGGAGGCATGATCGACTTGCATTGTGGAGGTGGCCGACCGTTATTGCCATCCTGCGCCTTACTAAGTCCCAGGCCGCCAACCAGACTGCACCGCTCCAGCGTTACCCGTCTTCTAAAAGTGGCGTTATAGTTGCAGATCCCCCCGCTATGGGCAAGGGCTGGGCGCGTTGAAGTGTAACGTTATGACATGGATCAAAACTGCTTGTTTGGTTGGGTGGTTCGAGGGATAAAAGAGATTCCATGCATGCAACGACCGCTCGTATTACGCTCACATGCAGCTGTTGGAGTCTCTCATTGAATTTATATTGTGCTGTAGTACAGTATGTACATTTGGTCTATGGCTAGCGAGGACTAGGTGTCCCTAGGCAAAGTGCTTTGCTTGTTAATTCATCCAGTATCCTTCCTAAGCGGGCTAACTGGTCTACCGGCTTATATTCAAGGCTAGCAACCCAGTATTTACGGTACCTGTATTACACTCATCCATGTTGGTAGGCAGAAAGCTGGCACTGACTGTACTTTGATCGCTGAGAGATCAGAGATCGATAACATTGAATTCCAGACGTGGGTACTCCGTACTCAGTAGTACTCAGAATCCATCTGCCTGCGAGCGTCCGTCGCAAAATGCAATCTGCACATGTGTATGTACACGATGCCAAGTAACCTGAACTGATCTGTACTGGCGCGGCAGGAGGCCGGCCTTATGTGGCACCTTGCTAAGATCTACGTCCCGAGGCACATGTGCAGTGGAGCTGATCAATCTGCTCACTTGCTGACTTAAGGGGTAGGTCACATCAAGATAAGACAGTTGAACGATCATGACATTGAAACTAGTAGATTCATGATATCAAATGAGTCTATAGTGCTAGCTAGTGCAATCTGTACTAGGTACATATTCTCTTCCCAATCTTGTAAGTGCTGCCTACATGAAACTGAAAGTACCTCCTTACCTTGAGATAGGGGTGAGTTGGTGCTCTTACTGCTTTGTGCGATGGTCAGGGGGATCTAGATGTAGTGGTAAGGTAATTGGAGGCTTATATCCCTTCCAAGCCCCCATATTTTCCGTCAACATTCTACGTATTATATAGGTACGGTAGGTACCCTAGCTTCCTCCCAGGACTCGTCCGACTGCCTCATGTCATACCGCTCCCCTTAGACGCCGGTGGGAGCTCCAGGGAGTGCTTTCAACCCTAAGAACCGTGTTAGCATCCCGTTTATTCCCGTTATCTGGGGCGATTCCGGTTCACTTACAGCCGTCAATCTGCTCGTCAACAACAGTAGGAACCTTGCACCTGTTCATGGCCGAAACGCTCTGCGTCTTGAGCGTCGGGCAGTTGACATAGCACGGCGAGTCCATGGCCCGCTGCAGCGAGTCGCCCTTCCACCCAAACATGTAGTCGCCGTGCGAGCCAAAGCCGGTCCTATGCATGGATGTGCATCAACCTGTCAGCTTAACCCCTTTTCCATCTCAAGCTTTGGTATGTATCCGACGGCTACCTACGTGTCATCCATGGACCACACAAACGGCTGCGAGCCGTCCTCGGGCCAGAGATCTGCAGCATTAAACTTGGACGTATCCCAGATAGTTTCATACATAAGCTGTGGCACGCGAACCGGGTGCGAGGCCGGGCAGGGGCCGCCGCTCTCAAAGGTGCCCGACTCCGGGTAACTCATGTGGCTCATGTGGTCGGGCGAGTCGAGGTTCTTGCCGTCCCAGCAGGTCGGGAAGCGGACGTTGGCCATGATGCCCGCGGGGCACGGCTTCTTGGGGAAGTCCATGGTCTCGGGGAAGCGGGTGCCAAGGTCCTGCAGGCACGTGTAGGTGATCTGGCGGAAACGGGCTGCGTCGGCCCGGCTGCGGTACGACGCCTCGCCGATCAGCATGCGGAAGCCCGTCTTGAACGCCGTCACCTTGGACGTCTGTTGGTAGTTGGCCAGCCCGTCCTGCATGTAGTAGACCGTCATGCCGCCGTTGGACCCTTCGAAGCCGATGTTGGGGATCTGTGGTACGCGGTGGTAGCTGCCGTTGCGTGCCTTGAAGAAGAGCACGGCTGTCCAGTAGTTGGATAGGTCTTCGCTGAACTGGCACGTGGTGCAGGTCGCCCTCTCGGCTATGTCGCCCATGGCTGGGTCCATGGTGACGTTGAATGCATTCTGCGTTAGAGGCAAGATAAGTCAGCTCGGTCGTTTATTCCTGAAATTTCCGCTAACTTACGCCGCCAATGATTTGGTGAAGATGCGGGGATGGGTTGATGCCCGGTGTGACGAGCGGATCTAGTCGCTCAACTACAAGCTGCGAGCAGCCGAACCGGAGCAAAGCCGCCGCCGGTGCGACGAGGCCCAGGCTTGCCAGCGAGCTCCAGTGCATCTTGTCCTTTGGGTCTGACTCCTGATGACGGCAGAGCAATTAGCTACCTTCAGTGAGCGCTGCTGAGTGAGCGAGACTGGCTGTGGAGAATGACAGCGTCGTCGGGGGCCAGAAGGAATAGGCAAAGGGGAGAACCGAGATAATGCTCATTATATGCCACACACAGTGTCCGTCTATATCACCACTTTACGGAGACCACTTCTTTCCCCCGAGCAAACGCCCGGCTGGCTGCCAAGTGCTTGCCCCTTTTACGCTCCCTGGCACATGTGCTGAGCCGAAATCTCGTCTGCATAAACAAGCTTGGCAGTGCACCTCGGCCCGGATCGACTACGATAACACAACATTGGGCGACTGTGAGGCCTGGTCTCTGGTATTAGCCTGGATACAATCTGGCTCAACTGCCGGTACTCTAGGACGTGTTTACTAGGTGCCCACGTTTCTGGGCAATCTATTGACCCCCTTATAGCCCGTTCCTATTTTCCCGGCTGCCAAACCCCCGCACCAAGCACAAGTTTTCCGTTATTAATCATCATTAGGAAGCTATTCTTCCTCCCTGGGCCTTGATATGCAGTTCTCGGTTATAGAGACCCGGTTTTTGTTGTGACTGTTAGTCGGTTGGTGGTGCTTTTGGAGCATGGTTCTAGAATGAGAACCTACCTATATTGCAGCAACGCCGAAGCATCTCGAATCCGACGAACACTTTGAAAGCCCAGTAGAAGCTTTTATGGCCAATGAATGCTATTGGTGATTAATTTTTCAGGTGATAGTAAGCCGTTTGCTCTTAAGTCGTTCCTGCATTTGCCATGATCTACTTGGTCTTCCCTTTTCAAGTTCCCCAATGGAAGGACAGAATGCGAAGGCAGGCACACATTTTAGCCTGGAAGTACTAGCAGCTGCCAAGTAGTAACGTACATTCATACTGATAGGGGCCACAAGGCGAAGGCTGAGGTAAGCAGCTCATTCAGCATCAAGCGGTGCCTTCGGCGGCGTGTCGTTGACTTGGACGCCGCCGCGCTTCTTCTCATGGCTGTCCGGCATGGGCAGTGCCCAGCCGCCCTCGTCCTCAGGGGTAGCAAGCCATAACCGGAGGAGGTGTCGTCGGGGTGCGGGAGGGGCAAAGTCTGTCAGATTCAGTTAAACTGTCACATAAACTCCACCCTGAGAGCGTCGCCACGTACCTTTATAAGCCGTCCGGGCGTGCAGGAGATGGGCATTGCTCAAGAACTGAATATCCCCGACCTCCAGAACCATATGCAACGCCTCCCTTTGGCAGGTCTCCTCAAGGATCTGCATGGCGCGCTCCTGCTCGGCACTCAACGGCGGAACGAGCCCGGCATCCGAGAACCTCGTCAACGACCGCACATAGTACGGATCCCACTTGCAGTACACCCTTCCCTTCCCTCCATTCTCCAGGTACACAACCGGCTGACGGATCCACTCCTCCTGGCCATCCGACACCTCCCCCTTCCGGTCAAAGTACCACACCGCCCGTGTCAACAATTCCGCGACATCCGGATGCTCCCTTTGCAGGGTATTCCACACATGATGCACACTAACAATATCACTCTCCCCTCCCTCCTGAGCACGGTGAACACACAACAACCCGACCAAATCCCCATCATCCGAATGAAAAAACTGCCTCGCCGCCGTGCGATAGATGCGCACGGTATGGATCTGCGTCGGGTCATCACCCACGTCCTTGACATGGCCCAACACATGACCCCGCCCATTCTGCGAGAGGAAATATCCCAGGTACGTGCCCAGCCCCATGTAAGCGACAGCCGTCTTCAAGGGTCCCCACGCGTCAGCAGGGAAGCGTTTAAACAGGACAAAGCCCTTGCCGTTGAGCAGGTCGTCGCGCAGGTCGGTGAGGATTCTTCCGAGCGTGGGCAGCGGGAAATTGTGCCTGCTGATCCCCGTCAGGGGCGTGCCGCGCGCAATGAAGGCGTCGGCCGCGCGGCTCAGCTCCGAGATTTCCGAGTCTGTGAACGGGTGCACCCACCGCTCCGGCCGGCCCGCGAATTCGGCGGCTGTCCAGACGGTGGGGCCGGTGATCTCCTTGGGAAACGAGGAGTAGGGCTTGAGCTTGTCATAGAGGGGAGCGTGCTGGCCTGAGGTGCGGATGCCGTCTGGGAATATGTGTCGCGGGGCGTCATCGTTCCGCTTTGATAGTTGATGAAGCTGCTGCTGCTGTGGTTCGTCGACGAGGAGGCCGGGAGCCATTGTTGCTGTTCAGATGGCCGAATGAAGTTGTCTTACCAGGGTGTGATGGCTGAAACTTGGGGACAAGAGCAAGGGCTACTCCAGTGCTTTGCTGTATTTGTGCGTGTGGGTTGAATGCTACCGGCGGTGCAGCTCAGATAGGAAGGGGACATCAGTGCCAGATATACTTGCATGTGAGGTAGCAGTGGCATGCCCATGATCACCACGCTCCGAATATAGTCTCCGATAACTGATGTCAGGTCGTAATGACGTGATTGGCTGATCCTGGAACCTATCAACGGTATTGATGGGGTGTTGCTCTCCACTGGCTTCCTTCCGGCGGTTTTGGTGAGGCTGCTAGGGGATTGCGAGCTGTGGATGATGCATGGCGTGCTTCACTAACACTGGTGTCCAAGACGAGACTGGAAATTCCGCCCCGCAAACCGCAATGCTGCTGACACACTAATGACAGCAAGGCAACGAAATGCCCTAGTCCGCAGTTCCATCGGGCCTTGAGTCCCCAAGACTACTCCAACTTGGGAGCTCTCCAACTATACGCCGGCCTAATGTCGCCCGGCTTAAGCCATGAGCTATTCATCTCCACCACATCAGTCTCACCCACATCCCCTCCCTCTCCGAGCAGAAACTTCCCTATGTACGCATCCAAAAGCCCTTGCTGCTCCTTGGGGAACTTACACAGCTCATGGCCTCCCCTCAGCGACACGGCCATCCTCTCCGACACCCCAAGCGCCTCATACACCTTCTTGGTCGCGCCCATGCACTGGAAGCTAGACCGGGGTTGGTTGAAGGTTAAATCGTCCTGCAGGACTAGGAGCGCGCGGGGAGCCACCAGCGCCGCAACCGAGTGGCGGTCAAACGGCAAGCCACTTGGGTTATTCATAAACCGGTCTAAGAAGACACGCGCCTGCCCCTGGTCTGTCCCGGGACACTCCACTGAATTGCAGACGTCGTACCGCGGCTTGTCGTCGTCCCGCAGCCGGTAGCACGAGTCGGCCCCGGCGCCCGTCTCCTGCACCACTGTCAGCGCCACCCGCTCGTCGAACCCGCCCGCTGCCAGTGCCGCCCGTCCGTTGCGCGAGCAACCTGTCACGCCGAGCCGTGCCGGGTCGATGGCGACCGCACCGGTCTTGGCCGCGAGTGAGACCGCGTCAATCACCCGCGACACTGCCCAGACGCCGACCGCAGTAGTGCCCGCGCCGTGGCTCGCGCCGTACAGGTCGAAGAAGCGCCCAATGTTGCGAGAGGAGCTTGCGAAGTTGGCCAGGGAGTCTAGCGGGAGATTGACCCGGGCCACGTTGGCGGGGATGGGGATACTGGGCGATCCGCCGATGACAATGAAGCCTGGGTAAGGGCGGGTACCCGTGGTAGGGTAGGTAATATTGGCGGTGAAATTTGTCGTCTTGCTATCCACTCTGATGGTGATGATGAGCTGGTTGTTGTTAACCACCGAGGCGTCAAGCGAGGTGGGTGGCCCGGGGATGGGTCCGAGTTCGTAAGTTTGTGCGAGCTGGGCGAGCTCGCTTCGTCGACAAGCCCATTCGGATTTCTTGCTGATGCGGTTCCCCTCGACGTTGACGAAAGGGTCGGGGAGCTCTCGGGTGCCTCTTGGCTGGGCGGGAGTCAGGGAGAAGTCAGGGGGAACTGGAGCGCAAGGTTCGGCAAGGGACCAGCTAGCCGTCAGGGGCAACAGCGAGGCGAGGGTTGAACTCCACTTCATCATGATATCAATCTGGTATTGACGGCGTTGAACGGTTGGCAAAGTGGATGCTAGGCACACAGGGTTGTGTCACTCCGGCGTAGGACTCCAAGGATCCGGGTGATCTTGTGCTGACGTACAAGATATACTGGAGGCTGCTCCGTGATTTTGAAAGCTCCGGGGATCCCTCAACCTTGGAATTTTGAAGTGCGGGAGAAGGGGAAAGATATACTCCGTACTGACTATGGTAATAGTCAAGTCACAGGCGCTTGGCAGTCAGCGGTAGCGGTGGCAATGGCATATTCATAGCAGCCCCTTGATCTGTTGGCCCATCGATGCTATGAGGATGACCGGAAAGTCACTCTTTAGCATTTAGCCTGAGACGCGGCGTGGTAGCATTGCAAGTTCCTCCCTCTTTTGGTATCTTGTCAGTAAGGCATCACCAAGGACCCCTCATATATTATTGGTCTCCGAAAACACGAACCACGCGAACAGCTGAGCTATCCACGGCTGCCCTCAGCGGAGTTCTGGCGCAGGAGGTAAGCTGCATCTTCCCCGTAGCCGCGCAGCTTTTCGGACAGGACCGGATTCAGCGGCCCAGGCATGAAGCCGAAGCGACGCCAAAATTTTGCTGTCCCATAGACAGAGATGAGGCAGGTAGTTGAGTATTTGTCTCCGACCTCAAGCAGCTTGTTGATGCATGCAGATGCCAGGCCGTTCCCTCGAAGCGTGGGCAGGATAGAGACGTCGTGGATGTAATACTGGTCCGCGTCCGAGGCAATTGTCCCAAGCATGCTGTCCAAGGCGGGTGGCTGGCCATTGCGAATAGGGTGCGAGATGGCGTAGCCGCAGATATGCTCGCCGTTGACAAGGACCAAGCAGCCTTCGGGAAAGAGCTTCACGCGTTCTGCAAAGACATCCTCGCTTTCTGGCAATTCGCGGTGGACTTCATCGGCAACTTGAGTGATGCCCTTGACGTCGTCGAGGGTTGCCGCTCGCCAAGTAGCCATGGTAGGGCGGTTGAGGCCGAATTTCGTGGGAGGGACGTCGGGATAACGTAAGATAGCGTAGCGGGAAGCATTTGACGCGCTCGAAGTACGTAGTTTGGTTGGCGGGGGGAGCTGCATGTGGAGAGAAAATTTGGCTCTCTCACATTCGCCAGTCTCCTGAGACTGAGTCGCAGCCAACCAACCTGTTTAGAACTCCCGCGCTCAACGGCATCGCGCTTCGAGCGATTGAGCAGATAGTGAGAGTCATTGATCATGGCAAGATTCGTTGGAACTTTGGCGACGGGTGATAATGTGGCCAGGTCCATCGACGCTTCCAATCCACCGCAGAATCGAGAACCGCGATCTACAGTGTGGGATCGGAACATTGCTGTCCATAACCTCATAGCCGCCAAGCCTAGGCCGGACGTATTACCCTACCACTTCCTCTCCAACTCAGAGAGCGCCTCAAACACCTTTTGAGTTGCCTTCCCCTCCAAGACAGACCTGTCATACTTGGGAATACGGCTTAGCACGAAGTCTGACACGGTTCTTTTGTCCCGCCCCTCGGGCCTACCAATTCCCACACACAGCCGTGCTGTCTTCGCCGCGGAGCCTTGGACAAACTTGCTGGGCGAGGCTTGAACGCTCTTCACCCCGTTGTGCCCTTTGTGGCTGCTATCCCACTTCCTGACCTTGACGACCCCAAGGTCCAACTCGAGATCGTCGTGCACCAGCAGAACTGCACCCTCTTCTTGGCTGAGCATGTTGTCCTCGAAGTGTTGTCGGATCGCCGATGACACCCATGGGCCGGAGACATTCATTGAGGTTGGGCTCTGCACGAGCGTGTATCGGTAACCGATTGAAACGAGAGCCGAAGCTTTGCCATACCGCATATCTCCAAACGCAGGCTGGTCTCGGCCTAACTGCCTCTGGAGAGACTCTAGCACGATGTGTCCGGCAGAGTGGTACGTTGAACGTAGGTTGCCCGGGTTGCCGAGACTGATAAGGAGTACCCGACGTAGCGAAGACATGGTGCTAGTGGCCTGCGCGCGAGGTGTTAGGGGAGTCTGAGGTCGAAGATCCTGTTACCAGGGAATTCTTCTGGTGCACGTCGTGTTCTAGACAATCGGGACGACACGGCAGCGGTTGCGCGGGGGGGTGCTCGAGCGGAAAAGGAGAGAATGCCCCACGATGAGCCAATGCCTGTCTTTCCCAACAGTTTCCGAGCACCCGCCGGTGGCGTGCTGCTCAGTTCGTCTGTAAGGTGTTGCTTGCTGGAGGAAAACGAAGGGAAAATTCCATGTTTCTAAGTTTCTATCGGCTAGCTCCGGCTCCAGAGCCATGACCCACTCACCCGCCACATGCGCAAGCCACAACTAGCATGGTCGTCCGGTAGTGGGAGCTTCAGGGATGGAGACCACTGACGTCGTTGCTCTGCAGCGAAACACCGGCGCACAATTGCCCGGCACTGCCCTGCAGTGGAAAAGAGCACCGCCACACTGAAAGTCGTCACCCTTCAGATGCTCCAAGGCACAGCAAGGATCTGACTGGACGTTGGAGGCGCATTCCTCCAACATTTCAAGTCAAAGTGTATCCAATTCACAAAGATTCTCTGTCATTTCGCACCGAACCACAACGCCATACATTACCATTGATTGGATTTACTGAAAGCGCCCACTGTAGTTGCCCACCATGTCTTGGGCGGGTACGAGACCCCGTGGCGGCCTTCCATACCATGTCCCCGCTCATGCTGCTGACGCTCCTCGCCAGGGTTCAAGAAGAATGTCAACCGCGCGACGACGCAGGTGATGATGAAGACCGGTTAGTTTTATGGTCCCTCCCTAAGATGATCTATCGATGTCCAAGAGCTGCGCATCGCTAATGTGGATCGCAAACAGGTCATGTCGAGAAGACAAATGACCGTGATTACGAAGTCGAGGAAAGGTACTAAGACCACGTGGGGAATGCGTCAGCGAGACAACTGCTAAGACATGCGACAGGCGGTTCAGGACAATGGAAGCGGCGTCGTTACGGTTACAGAAAGAGGCCAAAGGATATCTCGATTCACTGCGAGGTGCGAGCATAAAGTGGCGCTGGATATGGCTCGGGCTGACACAAATATTGGCAGCGATGACGGCTTCACAAATGCGGATCGCCGAAACCATCGACGCGTTCTACGGGGACTCGGGCGCCAAGGACGGCGTGAGCAGGAGCTACAAACAAGCGGTGGAGGATCTCGATGCGGAGACTATAAAGGCTCTGGATGGACCGTACCGGACAACCGTATTAGAGCCCATTACCCGGTGGTGCGCCTACTTTCCCGACGTAAACGAGTGTATGTCTTGCCTCCCCTGTGCACAGAATCTCTGTCTAAAGCTGATGGTCTACCAGGCATCAAGAAACGAGGGCACAAACTGCTCGATTACGACGCTCTTCGCGCCAAGGTCAAGAAACTGGTCGAAAAGCCCGACAAGGACGTGACCAAGCTGCCACGCGCCGAGAAGGACATGGAGATGGCCAAGGCGGCGTACGAGCAGCTCAACGAGCAGCTGTGCACAGAGCTGCCGCAGCTCATCGACCTGCGCGTGCCCTATCTCGATCCTTCCTTCGAAGCCCTGGTCAAGATCCAGCTGCGGTTCTGCGCCGAGGCGTACAGCAGGATGGCCCAAGTGCAGCAGTACCTTGACCCCGACACGCGGGACCAGTACGCTCAGGGCCATCTGGACAGCAGAGTTGAGCAGGTGCTGCAGGAGATACGGGAGTTAAGCATCAGCGGGACTGTCTGAGCTTGGTTTTCTGGGATAACCGGGGGAGTCGACCATTGTAGTTGGTCGGGGCCACTGGTCGCAGGGGAAATGAATCACACTTTTGATGGCGTATGGGGTATGGCAATGGTTAGAGATGCAAGCTCTTTGAGGCTTTGAGCGCATCCACGGGAGGTGTGATCGAACAGATGATCACCCGCACTGCCATAGAGGCATGCAGGGATCGAGAGATATCCTTGTGTTTTCTAGGAGCCATCTGAAACACGGCCGTTCGCAAAGCACGGTACCGTACACCAAAATGAGAGTTCGTTGTACTCACATGCAGTACTACATACTCAGCGATGAAGTTATTGCCATGTTGAAGGCTATAGGGCTTGCGCAAGCTTGGAAGCTAGAAGCTACAGTAGAAGCTAGACACCCATCCCAGCATACGCACCCGTATGTTCAAGGCTCGCCTTCGCGATAATGAGGCTAATTATCGATCACCGAGATCGGATCAACGATTGTCGGCTCTCAGGGGCGATCAACTTCGCACATCCTGCGTAGGATCGGCCGAAGCGAAATATGAGGGAAGCGGATATGCCAAGATCTCATGGACAAGCCTCGCTTGGTTGTTTGTGTTGAGGCTACGGATCCTCCGTCACCCGTCGCAGAAGCGATGCGCCGAACATATCTCCAACAGATCCAGATAGCTCAGTGGAAGGCGCAAAGCTAACATCAGGATTGATAGGTCTCCTCAGAACTCGCCGATAAGTGGAATGGCAGCACAACGACTGGGAGCTCTGGGGTTGAGGCTGAAACGGCTCCCAATGATGGGACGCTTTCGTAGTGGGGCTGCATGGCCCCGCGCAAACGTTTCGGAAGCGCTTGTTCGCTGGCCAGGACTGGCGACCAATGATCAATCCGGGGGACACGGCGCTCATTGGCGTTTAGCTGACGTTCAATAAGACATGTACAGTACTTCACCGACCGCTCCTATTCCTGTTGCGCAACGAGGGTCTAGCTAGACGCCAGAGCTTTTAACATTTGACCTTGGAAACAAGGACGACCATTACAGGCTGTCCGGCCCGGTCGGCGGGAGCTGGGGTCATCATGGCGGGATTCCAGATACCTTACCGATGCTCAGTCTTGCCACAGCTCCATGCATGTGGCTAGACTGTTCCCAGAAAACAGGAACCTTGCAACCTCACGCACAACTGGTTCCGACAGCTTGGAAGTGCGCTGCAGGTTGGGGAAATGGGCTGCTGCTTGCCACTCAAGCGCCTGGGCCAAAAACTTGAGTGTTCGGTCAGGCAGCGGTGGTCACGACATACCCGAACTCCAAAAAGAGATTTTGGCAAACTTAGCAGTCGCGCGTCTACTAAAGTTAGAGCCAAGGCAAGTCGGTCGAGGCGGCGGCGAAGGTTGACATAACGAAGTGCGCTGTCCCTCGTTCCCTCGATGCTGTCTTGTTGGGGACTTGGATTGTGCTCAGCCAGCCAGCGTCCTTTCATCTTTTGTCGTAACTACAACTCAGAGGCTGGGAAGGAGCATCCAACATCGATCAATCAAGTCGGTTGCTTGTTCCATCCTAGGTAGGCTCGGTAGGCTCCCGTCCATAGGTCAGGTACTTCGTAGGTTCCTTCCTTATCATTTGGTGTGCTGTGAGCATCCCAGGTTATGGGATCCAGCCCCTTCTTTGATATCGGCAGGTACAGTACAAGCCAAAGGCGCGGCCAATTCGTGTTGATCTGACCCCTGGGGTTGCAGATTGGCGCCCCGCAACCCCAGGGTCTTGCGGTGATTTCATTGGCGATCTGTTGCGATGGCCCGGACCCTTGTTCCGAGTGCATCGACCAGGGTCGCAATTCAACCGTTTTGGCGAGTTCGCACCATCAAAGGTTCGACCTAACCTCTTATTGCCACCCTTGGCAGTAGTTGAGCTCGCTCCTTTTATCATCCCTTTCTCCCCCCTTTGCTTGACAATTTCTCCAGTCCTCTCGTTTGTTCTGCATTAAGTCCTGCTTGTCTACAACTGCATTGTACGCAGGACCTGCATTGTCGCATCTTCGCAAAACGCCACCCTGGTACTTTGATTCTGGTACCCCGGCTCAGCACCCAACCACCATCAATACAACAATCAGAGGGGTTGGTGAGCAGTGCTGTGTTGGCAGCTTGACGGCCGAAAACAAAACTACTCGACTGCGCATAGCAGATACGCATCAAAGTCTCTCCTTCTCTCCTTCCAATTCATAGACGCCAGATTGCAGGTCCTCAACCAAACCGCCACCATGAACATCACCAAGAAGTTTGACCGCGCCTTCCAATGGGCAGGCGAGAAGATGGGCGCCGAAGCCAAGACAACGATGTCTGAAGATTTCAAAATGCTCGAGACCGAAATGGCACTTCGGTTTGACGGTAAGGTGTCTGCACTCTTCGCTGCCGCGCAATTACTAACAGCCTGCTAGGCATGGAACGCCTCCAACGATCCATGAACTATTATATCAAGTGGATTGGCCGGCGAGTGGAGCCCGGTGAAGACAAGGATAAGGGTCTCCCAGTTGGTTACCTCGGTCGCACCATGGTTAGCCACGGAGAGGAATTCCAGGCCGACTCTGAGTTCGGGAACAGCCTGATAACAGTGGGCCGTGCCAACGAGAGGATATCGGCAATCCAAGAAAGCTTCGTCGCCGAGGCTACCGCTTCATGGCTGGAGACACTTGACAGGTCCCTGGCCATGATGAAGGAATACCAAAATGCACGCAAGAAGCTCGAAAGCCGTCGTCTCGCCTATGATGCAAGCATCACCAAAATTCAGAAGGCAAAGCGAGATGATTTCCGGCTGGAGGAAGAACTCCGTGCCGCAAAGGCCAAGTACGAGGAGTCCTCGGAGGATGTCCTCCGGCGGATGCAGGACATCCAGGATGCCGAGTCTGACAGCATCCGGGGTCTGAACCAATTCCTAGATGCCGAACTTGACTACCACGAGCGATGCGCCGAGGAGCTTCGACGTGTGCGCAACAACCTGGGCAGCGTCCAAGCCATGGGATCGATGGATGGCTATGGAAGGGTAGACCGCCGCCCAACCGGCCGTGGGAGGTCCAACACAGGGTCGCGAGCGAACCCCTACAGCATCTCTGAAGTCGACGAAAGGGAATCAAGCGCACCGCCAGTCCGTATGCCCCCTCGCGCCAACACATCGTTCGTGGCGCCCACCATCGGAAGAGCGAACAGCTTCCAGGGCGGAGCGAGCCTGGAGCGAGAACGTGGCGGCGGCCGCATTTCCGGTTCCAGCACACCAAACCCGATTCGCAGTGTCAACCAAAGCATCCCGGACGTAGGCTCCTTGCGCGGGCAGCTACGACCGGTGAGCAAGATCGTCACTACACGAGACGATGTTTTTGCCGACCGAGATTTCGACACGGCAAGCGACACGGGTAGTCCAGAATGGGGTACCCGAAGCACGAGTCCCGAGACCAGCGTTGGCAGCCTCAGCCGTACCTCTAGTAACGCAGCGGTGAACGTCAGCGGCCTGGGTTCCCGGAAGGCGCCGCCACCTCCGCCCCCGAGCCGCTCGAAGAAACCGCCACCGCCAGTTCCGGCGAGGCGGGACACTGGCTACTGAGACTTGTCGGGTCGGATTAGCACGTGGGGAAGGGGACGGTCAAAGAAGGAGCGGTATGAAGTCGGGTGTCTGGCGGGCGTCTGGCGTTTTGGTCTCTGTATCGGTATGCTTTTCGTGGGCTGGATCCGCGGGGTGTTTGGTCAAGTGTTTTGCTCGTGAACCTTATTAGAGGTCTAGACAGCGTAGCCCTATCGCCCGCAAGGCATAACAAGTACCTGGTAATCGAGTCACCGATTATACTTATCAGTGGAATCGGGGCACCTAGAAAGGAGGCATTTGTGACAGGGCCGCCAGCAACAAGGGTATCCACTAAACTCTCGGTATGTTCGTGGTGAGCCGAGTCCGTGTTGTTGCTGGCGCAGGATCGGTTTACTCTGACATCATTTTGGCTCTTCCTCCCTTACTTTCCTGACGGTGTTGGAAGGGGATCTCGCCAAAGTCGCATGGTGTTTTACGGAAGTATGCATGCTCAAGCCGAGAGATTCAGCTTGTCCATGTGGGATGGAACCCCACAGTTGCAGCAACTCCGTGCAGCCGTGCTCCACTCTGCAACGTTAAACATGGGGTTAACGTTAACATTGCGCTGAAGACCTCAAATCTTTCAGAGCTTCCATCCAAGCTGGGCAAAACGTTTGTCAACAAAGATACCAAAGCGCATAACGGATCTAGCCAATGCGACCTGTTCCTGTCGCCGATGATAGCGCCAATTCCATGATTTGATCCGTTCCTTGTGGGCGTAGCGAGCTCTCCACCGCAGCAATTGAATTCCATCTCCTACCGATCAGCATTTAATCCGCACTTCGAACTGTCGCAGCGGGTCGTACAACCAGCTCAAACCAAGCTGCCCGCCATGGCAGCCGAGGATGCGCGGTATCGGCAGTCCTCACAGTATCTGCTGTGGTCCTTTTCACCCTCTCAATTAGCTTCCATACGGGAGAATACCAACGCCGCCGCCCGCAGCGCAATCGCCGCCCGCCTCTCGTCCCTGCCCGCGTCATCCAGCAATACCCTCTCCGCGCCGACATCGAGTGCAAACACTCCCGACCCTGAAGGCAGCTCGACCCCCGCGCTGCCAGAGTTTCTGACGCCTGCGGAGGAGGCCCTGCTGGTAACGTTTTACACGTCGGAGCTGCTGCGAGCGGGCGACCATGCCAACATGTCGGACGAAATCAAGGCCACCGCGGCCGCCATCTTCCGGAGATTCTACGTCGTGAACAGCATAATGACATATCCGCCGCAAGAGATGTTGATCGTGGCGCTGTTCTTTGGGTGCAAGGCTGAGGGTCATTTTCCAAGCATCTCAGAGTGAGTCCCTACCCTTTAGAATGCAGACGCCTTACTAACCAATGATTTTCCCTTCGTTTAGGTTCGGAAAGACCTTCGGGAAGGAAAACCCCGACGACATTCTGGCCGGCGAGTTCCTGCTCTGTCAGGGCCTGCGATTCGCCCTTGAAGTCCGGAACCCCTTCCGGGCGCTCAAGGGCGCCGTCATGGAACTCGGCTTGCTGCCCGATATCGAGGCAAGTGACTCGGCGCCCCACGCGTGTACTCCCTACGCCAACTAACCTTTCCCTTCCGCTTTGCACAGGCTTCCCGCCTTGCCGCCGCCGAGCGCCGCGCCCGCGAGATCCTCCGCTTCAGCCCGCTCATCACCGATGCCTACTTCCACTACACGCCCAGCCAGATCATGCTCGCCGCGCTATCCCTCGCCGACCGCGGGCTTGCCGAGCGGTTGATACAGGAGACATTCCACTACGTTGCGCCCGCGTCAAACAACAGCGGCGCGGATACCCCCATGTCCGATGCCGCCACCACAACAACAGCGCCTTCCAAGCGGGCACCCGCAACCCGGGTAGGTGGGGAGGAGGACAAGGCCACTATAATCGGGTCACACGTCCGGGACAAGGTCCTCGGCGCCATCGAGGCCTGCAGGGACATGCTAGCAAAAGAACTGCCTGAGCGAAGGGAACATTGGACTAATGTGAGCTCCCCCCCCCCCGGCCCCCTTTTCCCAAACAACAACCCAGCCTTACCCTTCACCGATCCATTGACTAACAAAACCCCCTTCTTGCTCCCCCCGCCAGAAAACCGTATACAAAGCCCAGCTCCAACCGCTGCGCAAGAAGCTCAACAAGTGCCGCGACCCGGAGCGCTCCAACCTCGTAGGACTGCAGCGCGCGCGTCGGCAGCAGGCGGCTCGGAAAGACGATTCAGACGACGAGGACGATCTGGACGGCCAAGCAAGGGGAGGCGGTGGTGGTGGTGGTGGAGGGGGCACGACCCTGGAGGAGGACGGAGCTGTGTTTGGCGACGCCGCCAATCTCAAGGGTCACAAGGGAGGAGGAGGGCAGGTCAAGAAAGGGTTGGAGGACCCTTTCGGGCCGCCATTGTGAGCGAGCCGAGCGAGCTGAGCGTTGCAGGACTGGCTCAGTCTCAGTTTGTGCCTATTTGGAAGCACACGGCTTATCAGCATCCCTTGGCTGGGGCCCTGCACATGTGGGATCTGCATTATTTTTTGGCGTCATTTTGGAACTGGGGCATCTTGGGATTGATCATTACGGTAGAAGGGTTGGGTACTGTTTCGGCAAGGCCGAGGCGTTAAGAGAAACATGGATTGGGGTCCAGTGCATAAGGGGTAATGGTATATTTGCTTGCTAAGCAAGGCGAGAAGCCTGGTAGTCGAAGAAAAGTCAGGCTCTGTTGCCTAGAATCACAATATCCCTGGTCCAGGTTTCGTGCTCTCCAAACTAGGTCGGCTAGCTGAGGCTCTACAGCGTTCTATGCCTGATATCATATTCTTGACGGGAACCAGTGGCCGTCCCATCGTCTGCTACGCCACGTCCGACACCTACTTTGGCTCTAGAGTATTGAGTTGACGGAGCACGTCCTAGAGTAGAAACAAAGCTGTCTTGATTCTTTGCGCATAGCCCAGGCTCCTTCGGAGCCTTCCACGGTCCAAGTTCTCCCGGAAAGCAAATCAGAATCGAAGATAAAGGCAAGACACGAGATTGAGAACCCAAGACCGATAATCTAACAAGCCATCAGCAGAAAAGACTAGATTAGCGAAGCGAGGACATTGTTGAGTAAGGCATTCTGATTCGGCAGGTTATTTGTCCTTCTCGCGCTCTAACTCAGGCATCATCACCATCGCCACCACGTTGTGCATCGCTCGCGAAGAATAGGGCGCCACGAGCGCTAGCCGAGGAGGTCCAGCAAACCATCGAGAGACGAGCGAATAGTGTATCCGGCAACATTGCAACTTCCGATCTCTGTAAGCATCCTACTCCTAGAGGAAGCTGTGCTCCTTGAGCCGGGCGCATAAGCTCGGGACCACCCTCTTGATCTCGAGTCCCGCAGTCGGCAGATTCTCCCATTTTCTCGCCGTCTTCACGATCATGCTGCTCTTGAGCTGAAAATGTCTACGTATAACGTCTCCCAAAACCGGGTCGTCAATGGTTGCTTTAATACTTGTGGGGTTCCTATCGTTTGGGTTGGCTGAAGGATGCATGTATGCTGGAAGCCCCAACCGCTCATTCAGCCAGGAAAGCATTGCGTGTCGAACGGTGTACAGTTCCACCGTTCTGTTGTACTCTTCGGCCAGTACGTTGCCAACGCCAGGACTGAAGAATGTTCCCGGCTCATTGTAGTAAGGCTGGCTGTTGAAGATCATTGCTGGAAACACACATCAATACTCGCATGGTGCTTGTTGTCGATAATAACTCACCTTGAATGGAAACCAGAATTTGCAAGATAGTTGAGCGATCCGGCTCCCAAGGTTGGCCTTTCCATGTTCCGAGCAAAGACAGACAGACTATGCGAGGTTAGTTCCACGGCCACGCATCATGCCAAACGCATTCTTACTTCTGCCATCCGCGTACAAATTTGGGTTGAGGCGGGCTGTCCCGCCGCCAGTCGTTCGAAAGTGCATCTTGGGTGGGGATTTCGGGAAGTCGTGGTTACAGAACATGTCAAATTCGAAAAGGCCGTTCTCATAAGGGGTGTCGTCCGGGCCAACGATCAGGATCTTCAAGATGTCAGGGCGGCCTTCACCGTACCTCACGTATATGCCCTCGGGCAAATCAGTGCTGAGAGATGCTACCTGGGTAAGGATTTTCTTCATCCTCCCAGGTGCTTGATTCTTCTCGCTGAGCGCCTTCGCGTCCCCGGCAAAGTAAAAGCCCTCTAGAATCAAGTGGTCGGGGACCTCCTTGACACCATGTTCTCGGTGCCATGCAGATGCTTCCTTTGCAATGCCCTGGTAGACTGCCTCAGTCGACGGTGCTCCTATTCTCAGTTGCTTATGGGCTGAAGCTGAAAGTCGGTTAGCGTCCTCCTCTGTTTCCCTCTCCGCATGTTCTGTGTGTGGATTCTTGGGTCGGAGGGTAGCAGCGAGGCCAGATACCCGTTGTATCACGGCTAACAAATCCTCAGATTCGTCCCCTTTCAATTTGCCAAGCCGCCCTGAGGCCTCCGCAAACTTCCGGTAAGGGATAGCCAGCTGCTCAATGATGGCGAATATCGACTGCCCAGTCTCATATTTTGCTGTCCCCCAGGCGCCCTGTCTCAGGGGGGCACTAAACAAGAAGCGAGGAAGTTGCTGAGCGTGAGGGAAGAGGGTTCGTTTGCAAAGAATGAGCGGGATTGTGGCCTGGTGACCTGCAATCATCTCTAAGAAGTCGACAACGGCAGTAAGTGGACCACGAATGGTGTTAACTTCTTCGATGGAAGCACGAAGGAGCATCTCCGAGGCGTGGTGCAGCATCGGACTTCTCGCGATCATGGCTGCCAGGATTCGTTGTGGACGAGGATTGATAAATGTTGGTTTAGCGTTGAGCGCGGCTGGCAGGACAAGTGAAAGAGCCACAAAGTATAACTCTAGATCCTTCATGTCGTTCCATTCGTTTGCCGTAGTCTTCGCGCATCGCGGTGAACAAGCATCACCGTAACCCGTCCCCTTTGCCAGCCACGTAGTCGGGGCAGATGCTGCTGCGCCTACAAACGATTTCCATTTGTGAATGTGGGGGAGGTCCAGCTTCTTCTCGGTGTTCGCGTTCGAGTAGGCGTTGGACTCTAGGCCACACAGGAGAGCAAAGATGAGGAACATCTGCCCTTGGTAGCAGCACTGGTCGATCTCGAGTTTCCTTCCTGAGGCTTCATGGCGTACAACAGAAATCTCTCGCTGGTGCGGCTCCCCGTGTCTGCCCACGCAAACCCAGACGCCGCACCTGACGCAACGTAAGCGTGGATGAAGAAAACCAGACTCTTTCAGCATATGTTTGGTCAACCGAATGACTGTATCACCGTCAATCTTGATCTGCGTATGGCAGATATCACATCGGAGAGATCGTAATCGCGCTCCATATGCGGCAAGTTCTCCGCTCACGAGATGGTCCATGGTACCGGAAGCGTTAAGAGCATGGTTTCCCGAGGTAGATGACGCTTGAAGGCTTGGGGACGGTAAGGATTCTGCTGCTAAGGGTTGGTCGCCCGAAGGCAAGCCTGCCATACTGCTAGCGGCTGGCGCAAAACCGTCCAAGTTTGCGGTGCGGGGCACGCTAGCACCGACGGAGGGCGGCGGACTGGAAGTAGCGTAGCTCGGGCAGGTCATGAAGTGAGAGAGATGAGGTTTGCTGCAGCCAGAAGCTCCCGGAGACCCTGTGAGATCTTGAGTAGGTACGTTTACTGTCAGTCCCCCCACCATCATCCCAAAGAAAGCTGGAGAAAAAAGGACGAAATACAGACCGATAGGGTTTCCTGCCGTTCCGGGTAGGCCACGTGCAAGAGTGACGGGATCTTCACTCATGGTTCCAGACATTTTCTTGTGATGCCGAGAACCTTCACCTTCACCAGTAGTGTGCCGCTTTTGTGAGCCAACCATGTTGGCCCACCTCTGGTATGTCTTCTCGAATCTTGTGAGAAGCGAACTCATCCCCGCAAGGCCTGACGAGTAGCGGAGGAGGGTACTGTGGTATGAGTCCGAATGGGTCGGTCAAAACGAGATATCTAAAGCTATTTGTTAATCTATTAAACCGTTCCCGCCCATTGCAATCTCGTGGTAAGTCGGCCTGAGTTGTCTGACTGGATCGATCGATCTCAAACCCAATTCCAGGATTGCAACGTAAAGCTTGGAGGGGATGGCAGTTGCCGCGGTCTACGGAGTCAGAGGACCTGTGATGGGTGGAATCGGACTGATGTCGGAGGTGTTAGGTCTTTGCCCAAGGATGCCACTGCAAACGCTTAGGATAAACATCGAGATGGAGTGCCGCTCCGATTCCTGTAGGGGACTCACGGCGGTTGCCATGTAATGTTCCCGTTTATGGCGATGGGATAGAGTCAACCCGAGAAGGAGCGACTGCCTTGTTGCATTCAGCAAGAGTCAGTCAGTCCCAGCCCAATCACCCAATCTAAGGGAAGGGCGGATAGGCAGAATCGCAGCTGCTAGTCGCTGCTACTAGTTTGCTGCCAGTCCTACCAGTCCTGCCACCCGACACAGTGAGGTGGGGCTTGAAAATGGTCCACACAGTTGGCCTGTTTGCTCTTCCAGTCATGTTGCGGAGCTTGCCTGCAGACAGTGCTGGGCAGCCTGTCGGAGGGGTTGCTTACCTGCCTTCGAGCTCTGGTTCGTAGCTTCTTGCATGTGGCTGTTTGAGCCGTAGTCGTGACTCGTAAGCTGCGAGAGAGCAGTGCCTTAAAGATCGTGCTGTTTTGCCCGGCCAGTTAGGTGTGGTTTTAGGTTAGCCTAGACAAACTGTCGCCTGCGGTCCTTTTCTTTGAACTTGACTTGTCCAGTTACCGAACGGGTACAAGCACCTCAAGTGAGCACATCACGCGGCCAATTGGGACATCTGCCGATCCGGTCGCTGCCTTCTTGATTACCATACGGCATACGCATTCAGTCCATGGCATCACTTGATGCACGCGTCTCAGTTCACCTTTCCCAGCCTTATGGTATTCTTTGGGCACAAGCTGCAGGTCTTGGTCACAACAACACATGGCATCACCATGCGTCGACGTCCATGGATCTGCCTTGAGGGCTCAAACAGAAGGACACACCCTGCAGAAGACTGGGATTTGGCATTGGTGATTTTCAATTCATGGTTTTCAAGGAGTGCTGGAAATGTTGAGCCATGACATTCATCAGCTAACGCGTCAACAAAGATGAGTTGTGCCCGTTCCCGGCTAACCGCTTTGGCTGGAATTCCTGAGGCTTGAGCCGGAAGCATTCACCACAGAGTCTCTTGAAATGGTTAGAGCAGACCCCAGTTCGTGGACCACAGCGTTCTAACTGCTTGGCAGAAGTTGGCAGCCTGGCTACGATAGAGCCAGACCGAGTCAGGGGAATTGAGCCCACAACCAGACGCAGCGTCATGTGCGGGTAATGTCGAATGGCAAGCCCTGCAAGGACATGATCCACAGCTCACTTGAAGGTGCAGGACTGCCTCATGTAAGGCACCTGCGGTTCTGCAGTGGAATATCCTACCTTCCTGAGAGAAGCACCTATTTAGGTCAGTTCTACTGACGCCGATAGTCGGCTAGCCCCTAGAGTTCTTGGTTCTTTCTTCATAGTTCATATATACACGCAGTGGCAGAGCAAGATGCGGTTTAGAAGAGCTAAGTTTAATGTCTACTCAATATTGTCTCATATGATTGATTAGCTACAAGAGTTATAGAGTATGGACTAAGCCACGTTTCCTTGAAACGCTCAGCATTCACTTGGTCCTGGGAACGACAACCCAAAAACCTTCGGTTGGGTCTTATACACTGCATCCGGGTGTACAGTACATATACACCACAGCTCGGAAAGATCATGGGCTGCTACCTGGTTCCGTAGCTCTAGGCCTCTGGCCGTCTAGTGGACGTATCCATGCTCTAGAATATCTCTTCTATGGTTCGAGTTTTAGCCTTATGAACACTTGCCCATTGTGAATCGCTGGGTACTCTGGCGTACCTAGGAATCTCAGCAAGTCGCGAATAAACATAGGTATATCTGTACCTTGCCTTTCGGTACCAATCACGGGCTGAATTTAAGAAAGAGACTGAGGTTGACAAAGACGATACAAAGCCCGCAGTATAATGATTCTTACGAGGTAGGAGAACACTTTGGCACGTGGCATAAGTCGTTGTTTCCACCTCGCCTTGGGAACTCATTTCGTATAATCTTGCCTGAATCTCGAAGCTTTTGGGAAGTTTCTACACTTGTGGTATTTCTCAAGCTCAATCCCAAAGCATTGACAGGGCTGATAGCAGCTACCGCAGCGCCTTCGCTGCCCTTGGTATAACTCTACTTGAGAGCAAAGACGGAAAGACACAAGACACAAGACTTGACTCCTCCTCTCACGGGCATCCAAGCTAAGGTTCTGTCAATCTCTTCAAGTTGGTTTTCAAATATTATAACGCTCACAAAATCAAATACCTGTCATATTGCCCAACATGAACTCGTAACTAAATCTGGATAATGGCTCCTTCCCGGTTCTCACATCTCAGACTTTTTCTAGAATCAAGGACCTGGCACTCTGAATGACTGAGATTCGCTTTAAGCATCCCTGATTCATGAACTATTTGGTAAGATAGAAAGAACAAGCGCAGACTGCCGGCAACGAAGGGGGCTAGGTGATGACTGTATTGTGTCTGTGGGTGGGGGTATATAGGGAAGTTTTTGGTTTCTGGTTGCCAACAGAAGCCGGTACGTCATTGAACCATTCCAATGGCGATTTGGCGTAGCGGTTCCAGCGTGGGCGTAGAGAAAATACCTGGACGGCGTCTGGTCGATGAATGTTACTGTCCCAGACTGCTGTCTAGGCTCGCATGCCTGCCTCTCTTTTTTGGGTTCGATTCCTCGATCAGTCACTTTTTTTTTTGTTTCAACTCTTGCTTGCAGCCCATTATACCATCGTGAGAGCTAGCAATGACTTATTGACCAGTTCTCACTGCTCCAGCTGGTGGAAGTTGAAGTGGTGAAAGAATAAGCTTCTGCCAAGGCGGATCAGTGGGTGCTTGTGGAGTACGGATATTGAAGTGCGTTCTCAAAGCCGATACGAATCCTGATCGTAAACATAAACTGCATTTCAGCTTGGAAGAAGAGCGAGTCCTTGAGCTGTACTTGTTATAAACATATTTAAGTTGTCTCTCACACTGAGTTTTTGTGCTCACAGAGGTAAGGTACCAGGTAGTCATCCCCAGTCGCCCCACCACGCTCACCTCAATTCATTTGATTTTTGATCCCGAAGGTCAACCGCCATTGCCAAGGTGGATTGCCAAGACAAAGAGCGTTTGCCAAGAGATAAGGGACTATCTCCACCAATGATAAGACATCCCTGGAGCTGAGAGTCCAACGACACAACTTGCAGATAAGACCGCCGAAACCCCCCCGAGACAAAAGACCAAAGCAGAGAAGGCTGGGTCAAGCATTCGAGCGTGTTGTTCATATGTTTCCTACGCAGATACCCGTGTTGAGACATCTCAAGATAGGCGCCACAGCGGCGCAGACACGAAAATTGGTTATCGCACACCGGGGCTTTGTCAAGTCGAGATTTGAAGGCGATAAGAAGACTGATGCGACATGCCTTCTCGTAATCAGGGATTCGGCTTAGTGACGTGCGACTCGGTCCCTTATTATTGCTGCGTGTTTCTAGAGCTTCTTCCGTTGGCCAATATCATTACATTTTACATTTTTAAAGAAGAGGAAGGAAACGACCCAGGAACCAACATACAATTTGTATGCTACCCTGCAGAGTCTGCAGCGTGACAGCGTCGAGTCGAACGACTCTGGGCTCGCGCCGGGCACAACAGCCAGAAATGGACAGTGCGATTGGTCCGTTGGTAGGTAACACAACATTGGCAACGGCGATGGAGCTCGCTTCTCCTGAAATGACACTTGCCGTGTCACGACGGGATTCGTAAGACTCGATTGCTTTAGGCCGACTCCAGGCTGAACTGTTGCATGCGTCTCATGGAAGGCTTCCACACCAACAGCACTCATTAAAATCCTCTGACCGCAGTTTTTGCAAAGGGATTGTAAAACTAAGCAGTCACTGCCTCACTTGACCCCGTGACCCCCGAAGGATGCCCGGATCCGGGGTCCACTCCTAAGTTCTGCACCCCCACCAAGTCCTCGAGCTGCCGAGCAAGCGATTCGCGAACAGGAAGACGACGCCTTATCTCTGCCACCAACGAACCAAGGCTCATTTGCGCTTCGAGGCTACGCCCTGCCCAGAAAGAAAATAATAGTGTATTCCCAAATCGGACTGAGCCGCCCTTGCAGTTGATAATGACAAGGATGGTCTTATCGTATATGCACATGGGAATGGAGCTGCTGGGCCTCCTTCCAACGGCACCAACGGGCATATTTACCCTGTCGTTCCGCATGGGCCGGGACAGAAGTCGACCCTGATCTCTTTCCTTCAGCCCGTCCCATTTCTTTGTGTTTGAGTTCGGGCCCAATTGGGAGACTTGCTACAGGACTTTTTGGCTTTCTCAACCATTGCCATTTGCCCTGACAATTCTTCATCATGTCGGCCGGACCGCTTGTGGAATATGCCGGTGTTACCGGTGTTGCCGACGACGGTGGCAACGCGATGCTCGAGGACCTGAACGTCTACTACTCGGTACGTATCTGAGTTGGGATACTCTCACTCGTCCCTGTCACTAACGAGAACTGCCTTGTTCCAGTCGGGCGATTTCGCATGGATCGTTACCTCCTCGGCCCTCGTCCTCCTCATGATCCCTGGCGTCGGTTTCTTCTACAGCGGTCTGGCGCGCCGCAAGTCGGCGCTAGCATTAATCTGGTTGTCGTTGATGTCGACAGCCGTGGTTGGCTTCCAATGGTTCTTCTGGGGCTACTCGCTCACCTTCTCCCACACGGGGAGCGCCTATATCGGAGACCTCACCAACTTTGGTCTGATGAAGGTTCTGGCTCAGCCTAGTGTCGGGAGCACCAAGGTCCCGGACCTTTTGTTCTGCCTTTACCAGGGCATGTTCGCCGCGATCACGTTCGTCTACCTCGATCCTACCCTCTCCAGCCAAACCTCAAGCTCAGTTGTTAACTTCCCACAGCCCGGCGCTCGCCATCGGCGCTGCCGCTGACCGCGGCCGCATGCTCCCCTGCGTTGTCTTCATGTTCATCTGGGCCACGATTGTCTACGACCCGATTGCGTACTGGACCTGGAACGCCAACGGTTGGTCCTTCAAGATGGGTGGCCTTGATTTTGCCGGCGGTACTCCCGTCCATATCAGCTCCGGTGCCGCCGCCCTCGCCTACTCGCTCATGCTCGGAAAACGGACCGGCTATAACAAGGTCAACGGCCTCCCTTACCGCCCCCACAACGTCACTCACGTTGTCCTCGGTACCGTGTTCCTCTGGGTCGGCTGGTTCGGCTTCAACGGCGGCAGCGCGCTTGCCGCCAACCTCCGCGCCGTCATGGCCTGCATTGTGACTCACATTGCGGCCTGTGTCGGCGGCTTCACCTGGTGCCTGCTGGACTACCGCCTCGAGAGAAAGTGGAGCACTGTCGGCTTCTGCAGCGGTGTCATTGCCGGTCTGGTCGCTATCACCCCTGCCGCTGGCTTTGTTCCCCCTTGGGCGGCCGTCATCTTCGGTATCGTTGCTGGCATTGTTTGCAACTTCGCTACCAAGCTCAAGTTCCTCATTGGCATTGACGATGCTCTCGATATCTTTGCTGAGCACGGCGTTGGCGGCATTGTTGGAAATTTGCTGACAGCTCTTTTTGCTTCGTAAGTTGATCATCGTGATGGAGCAGCAGAATGATTCTGGCTGACAGCGACGATAGCGATTACATTGCCCATCTGGACGGCTTTACCACGATTCCCGGTGGCTGGGTCAACCAAAACTACATCCAGCTCGGTTACCAGCTTGCCGACAGTGTGGCTGGGTTCTCGTACTCGTTTGTCATGACCTGCGTCATCTTGTTCCTCATGAACCTCGTTCCCGGTCTGTCGCTGCGCGTCAGCCCCGAGCAGGAAGAGATTGGTCTCGACGATGGCCAGCTCGGCGAGTTCGCGTACGACTATGTCGAGATTGCTCGCCACATATCCGGCGACGTCACTGGCATCTCTGGCAGCCCTAGCCATAGCATCAAGGGTGATCACCCGGAGAAGACTGCTTAGGCCACCTAGGGGAAGTTGAGATATCCCAGTAAGGGAACTTGGATATTCGAGATAAAATGTAACTCATTGCCTTCTAGCGTGATACCTCTAGTAATATAAGATACCATTCTTATAATCATCCAACTGGTTCCAGGAGCTCTGGTTGCCGAGCTCGGTTCGTTCATCACATCACGTAACTTTGCTGTGTTGTCGTCCTGTCGTCAAAAAGGTGGGCCAATAAGCGGCAAAACAGATGGGAACTGTGAGGCTCGAACTCACGACCTCAGGATTACTCTGGTGTTTGACAACCAGATCACACATTCTAAGTATGAGACCTGCGCTCTTCCAACTGAGCCAAGCTCCCTCTGGATGACGATTTCGCACATTTGCCGGTACTTAGGGAGGCTGCATGCCCGCGCCAAGCTTATGAGCTATGACGACATCATTGCCACCAAGACCTTCAAGACAGCGGACACCAACATTCTTTGGAGACAAAGCCAGAGACGCCATCGGACATGCCGTAGCAGCGTAGGTAAATTCATCTGAAATCTGAGGGCCAGGCCAGATTTTCGCTGGATCCATCACAAATACTGTCGATCACAAACGTCGCATTCTCCCAAATAGGCAACTCTCAACTGAACAATACTTACACGAGATCTACGCTTATCGATATCTACACCACACGGTAGCAACTACACCGCGAGCCCATCCATCATGGATTCTGCAGGCGCAAAATCAGCCATGTCAAACGATATGAAAGAACTGAGGGAGGGCAAGGAGGAAATCACCAACGAAATCCGCGGCCACCTGGCAAACCTCTCCAACCCAAGTGAGTCCATCAAATGAAACTATGTGCTTATGGAGGATGCGTAGAGTCGTAGACAGCTAACTGAAGATGCCATAAAGATACCAGCGACAAGTCCAAGGACCATAGCAAAGAAGAGCTAGAGTGCCTTGGAGGAAGGGATACTCTCGAGGCGCATCGGAATAAACCAATCAGCAAGAGCGCAGCCGAAGAGTTGTATGGGAGCAGGGCTGCTGCGGGCTGATTGTCAACTGTTGGTCGGGACTCGGGAGATGGTGTTTGGAAGCTTGGTGTTAATGTTCTACTTTAGGATTCGTATACTATCATGATCTAGGATGAATTGAGCATACAAGCATTGAAATCTCTTTCATTAAGTGTTGACCGTTAATACCAATCTTCCCCAACCATATTGTAATCCTTTGATCAATATCCAAGTTATATTGATAAGAAACTCCCTAGGACAATGGGGCAAAAAGAAAGCGGCATAAAGCTCGGGCGGGAAAGCCATCATTCTTAGAACTGTTCAAGAGGCGCGCCTTCCTTCCAGGATTCTTCAAGTTGCAGCTTGAAGAATTCAACTGTAGAAAGAACCTCGAAACAGAACTCGAACCGATGACCTCCCGCCCTACGAAACCGTGCAGAACGATTTCATAGTTAGCTGGATATCCACTTGGCCACAGGACCACGCCCTGTGGTGAGTCTAACTTGCTTTATCTTGCGCTAGACCTTGACTATATACCCTTTCCCGCTTCACTCCCTCGCTAGTCTAATCCATGTGCTCCAGCTCCGTCCTGCGTCCCCAGTATGATATCCTTCGGGTTGTGTAATTCGGTGACCCAATTCGTCCGGTGTCCCGGAACGAAGCTGCACAAGTGCTTCCTGGAGCACTCCATCTCAGTCTTGAAGCCACTGCTTAAACCACGCAACCGCCGAATCCTTTGCTCTCGCCATGGCCTCCCTCTCCCCCTTCCTGTCCCGGTTGCCCCTGACAAAACACCCATGCTCCACCCCCGGGAAGTGCTGGTAATCAAACGGCACCCCCTTCTTCTGCAGCTCTGTAAACGTATGCAGCTTCAGCTCCTGCGTGTACTGGTTATCGATCTCAGGAGCCAGCATCTGCACCGGCACCTCGACCTTGTCAATATCCTCCTTAGTCAACCACGTCGGATGTCCCGCCGTAACGCAGTCAACCAGTCCCCTCTTCCGCCCGTGACTATCTTCGCCTCCCTTCTCCTCCTCCACGAACTCACCGGACGCAAGCCGCATGACCGCCCACCCGCCGTAGCAGAACCCCGCGGCGCCGACCCGCTCATGCCCCACCGCCCGGATCGCCCTGGCGCAGGCCACAATCTCCGGGTCGCGCACCGCGCGGCTGTTGCGTTTGGTAAAAGACGGCAGGTCGAGCTCGGCCCATTTGCCGGCCTCGATCAGCTCGGCGGGGAGCGACTCGCCGCCGAAAAAATCGGGCACGTAGACGGTCGCGCCGACCTCGGCTGCGTACGCGTCAGCCAGCAGCCGCACGTTCGGGTACCGCCATCCAAAGAGGTCGTGGACGATCAAGATGGCCGCGCGGGACGGCGAAGACGAAGCGGTGGCCGCCGGGAAACCCGGCGGGTAGGCCATGTAGACTGGGTTGCTGACCCCCGCGAGCGTCGTCTCGCTTCCCGTCGGGGTGCCGTCCCAGGGGAAGGCGCGCAAGCAGCAGGGCTGGATGGGGTTGGTGGCCATGGCTGATATCGGTTCTTTGCTAGTGGTATGTTTGGAGGGAGCAAGGTGTAGGAATGTCTCGTAGTCGTAAGCTACAGTAGTCTCTGAAGTTGCGGTTACATCCACTGGAGGTGGCAGGAGCCTTCAGGTAGGAGGTGATTCAGATGATGCTGGTCTGTTAACGACGACTATCTCCGAGCATGGGGGCCGATCTTCAGCATGACTAATGCTGTCGGTATCCTTCCAAACCGAATCCCGACCCGTATATTGGAGAAACTTTAAGTACGGAGTGTTCAAGTAGAGGTTTCGGTGGTCGTGGCTCGGTCAGACTGCATAGCCGATTGTGGCTTTGGCGATGCCGCGGTCGCAGGCCGTTCTCGGGTTACCTCGGAAGACTAAATATTGTTTACTGTGATGTGAGGGTAGAGGAAGCCAAGGACGAGAGCTGCTGGTTAATGTCTGGCGAGTGTACGGATAGAAGGGCAGAATCTGCTGTGCTTCTTGATCGTCAGATCGTGTATCAAACCGTTTCGCTACATCACTTTGATCATGGTGGGGTTGGACACAGCGGGGTCGAAACTTGACAGGACGCGTTTGAGCTCATGAGCCAGTGAGACCTGGCACGCGTCAGACCGAACGCCGATTTGAATTCCAGTTTGAACCCTTTGGCAGATACTGCCAGCTAGCAAGTACACATTGTCTTCGTGGGCAAATACATAGCATTCTCTGAACCTTCATGCCCGTTGCCAACTTGAACTCATGACTTCTTCCCCATGACGCCGCATAAGGCGACGTTCACAGTGAAAAAGATGGTTTTGAACAGCAAAAATTGCGGCCGGAACGGCCCCGAAGGACAATTCATGACAGAAAGCACCACGATGTGCAATGCAGGCTCTCCGCCATACGGCAGGGTTTTCTTGATCTCCCCGCAGTCAACCAAGGTAAGTATGAAGAGAAAAGAAGAGAAGAGGAGGAATTCTTGGGGAGGGGAGCAATGATTATATAGGTACCTACTTGCTGGTGGATCGTGCGCGTTTGCTGATTTGCAGACACGCACGGGCCTCTTGCAGGTGGTCAGTGCGCGTCTGCAATTCTTGCAAACATGCACGGGCCTCTTCATGGCGCGTGCGCATTTCTCAGAGAATTTGGGAAGAGGAAGTCACATCTCTCCAACTGCAAATATCACTGCCAGCTGGTACTCGCAGGTTTCCCAACATAATCTCGGAGTGCGTTACTGGGACATGACCGCCTACCGCGAAAGCTGTCTGACTATTGACCCGGGAGCATGTTTCTACCGAGTTGAAATACCTGCAAATTGGCTCCATTCAGCGGCGTGTGTGCCAAGTGCCAAGAAAGCGGCGATACTTAATCACAGTCAGAGGGATCGAGCGCCCAGGAGCTCATCCTTCCATGATGATTGGCGGCAGCTAACGCCGGAGGATTGGATTCACATTATTGAATTCAAGTTTCCTACTAAAGATCTATTAGGCCATGGGGACTCGGCCCTCAACCTCGACTAGAGCTCCCGGCGATTAAACAAAAAACCTGGCGGCATGCGACCAATGCAAAAATGCCCGACGCCTTAAGCATCCTCCAACGGCTTCCAAGTCAGCCACACCCTCTTGCCCGGTTCGGCGTACGAAGTCAGATGAAGGTCCTGTGGCGGGTCTTCCGGGGTAGGAGGGCTCTTCCCCCACGTGGCCATGAGTCCGTACTGGGCATAGCGGAAGCAGTCTACCCCGGGTATGGAGTTTCTGAACTGCCAGATCTACAGTCGTTGTCCGTTAGTCAGCCATCGCCTTGAGCTGGGACATATGGATCGACGCACCCCGAAATATTTGTACGGCTCGTTCCCTGGCTCACAGTCCAGTCGACCGCCCAGCATGTTGCAAGGGCCTGATGCGCTGGTGAGGGTGAAGGCAACCTGTGCGTACGTGCCGGTGGTATATTGGTTCGCTGTGAAAGTGCCGCAGAGCGACTCGTCCGAGGTCCATCGACCGTGGTCTGTCAGACAGCCCAGGTCGGCATAGTCGCCTTCGTTCCAGCGTGTGCGGAGCTGGCCTTTCCCGGAGAAGCTCTTGGAAGGTACGGGGATGGCTGCTCCCGCAACCAGGGCGGGTATGGAGAAGAGTCCTACTAGGGCGGAAAGATACATCGCGACAGTGCACTATGGAATAAGATGTGACTGACAAGAGAAGCGAGAACTTGAATCCCAGACAAGGCGAGAGACGGACAATATATCTGTCGCCGGTGTCTAGGGGTCATGTGTCTCCGGGGGATTATGGGGAGACAGAACCCGGCTTACAAGTTGCTTTGCAAGACCGAATGTGGGATATGACAGCCATCGCCTTCCCAACTGGCAGCTAAAAGTTCCCGATACCAATCTCTGTTCGACCGTGGACATGACCCTTCCGAGGGACTAACGCACAGTCGTACAAATTAGGTTGTTGCGGAAGGTAGGTTCGTTGACTTAACCGATCGAATCGAGGAATGCGCCGAGACGCATCGCAAATTGAATACCCCGCGTGATTTTGTGACTGGGAAAGGTGAGTGAACAACCAAGCTTTGGGGTTGCATCGACAAACGGAGGTCCAGATTTCTTCCTTCTATATCGGGGCTAACTGTGTGATGCCTCAGCATTACTAATGACTGGGGGTTTCCTGCGAGATCTGGAATCGAGACACCAACTTCCAAGCTCCAAATCCGGTTGCGCGTCCTGGCTTGACAGACAAAACTGGAACTGCTTTCGCTCTCCTGTGGCCAACAGGAATGGGACTCTCGGGCCGCCGGAGTTCGGAGGATCTCAAGAGATGGACATCCGTACTCCTTACATAGGTGCAGCAGAGGGCTATTGTTCTGCATCTTCAAGTTGGTCAGGCAGGCCATCTTCGATTCTCAAAAACCGAGGGTGGAAGTCAAGGCATCGTTGGATTATCACGTTTCATCGCTGCGCCTGGCCTGGGCAATTGAGCGTTATCCTCGGTAAGATATGTCAGCACGCTTCTGAAAGGTGCTTTTCCCCTGACAGTCAGCACTCAGCAGCGATGTCTCGTCACAATCACCCCTTCAGTCGTTAGAGGGGACACCAAGAACATACCTGGAGCTAAGAAGCTTTGGGAATGGGGTCGGCAAGCGGACCGCAGCGGATCGCCTGGAGTGCATAGGGCTCCTTTTCCGGAATCTTACGCCCCCGAAGGGTCTGGAGAGGTTAGCCTTACGTCCGCAGCTGGCCCGAGGTGCCGACGACACTGCCGCCAGACCCGGGCCACCCTCTTCCTTCTTGCTGTGGCCGATTGCGTGTATCCGGTCGCTGCCCATGTCGCCAGGCATTTGTTTGACAGTGCAGCTCGTGGCCTATATGGGCCCCGTTACGCGCCTCCGCCCACTGCGATGAAAAGTCGCACCCTACCAGCACGGGGATTGAAGCGACGACGGCAGGCATTCTTGATTATCGACAACCCAATTTCCTTTAGGCGCGAAAAAGCGTGAGCGCCTCGAAATACGGAGTATTTGGTCGCAAATGAGACTTTGTCGCTCCAAATGTCCGAGAGAATGACGAGCGCCACTGCCGGCACTGCTCTAGCCTCAATTGCTCCCTTTGGGGATGTGAGGAGCTTAGATGAACTTGAAAGGCGGCCCAGGGAGATGGGATGATTTCAATCAGAGCACCCAGCTTCCATCGCCGCACGCATAAGCGGATGGATCTGCCGGATGCTCACTTGGGTCGGCTCGGCTTACCACCCCCAAGCCTCGGGTTATCCCTGCAAAATGGCTAATGCACAAGTACAAAAGCCGGCAAGGGTACGTCGTTTAAGGCTTGGACGTCTGGCTAAATCGCCGCTGTTGGCACCTGGTAACCCGGGATACGCTTCACTGCGTTGCATCGTGTTGGTCGAGCTGCAGATATTGGCCTGGTTTGGGTGTAACTAACGTTGTTCCCAGCTATAATCCTGGGCTATCACTCATAATGGCACAACGCCAAGGCCTTCAAAGATTTTGTATAAGTGGATGTCGAGAAAGCGTTGGACCGCTGTCAGCAAACCCCTCACGACTGGACTTTCCCGCTCTCATAGTTCATCATGGCAGCCAGACTCTGCTACCATCTCGGGCTTTGCCTTTCGCTTCTTGCAAACCATGCCTTTGCCACTTCAGAAAATGGCGGTGGCAACGAGAGCGATGTTTACGACTACATAGTTGTAGGGAGTGGGCCTGGGGGCGCTCCCCTTGCGACCAATCTTGCCAGAGCCGGCTACTCTGTTCTTCTTCTGGAGGCTGGAGACGACCAAAGCGCCGACATCTCGACTAGCATCCTCTCCATTGGCAGGGCCACAGTTGCCAATCGCTGGGACTTCTTTGTGCGCCAGTATTCGGATGACGCTCAGCAACTGAAAAACAACCACCTCACTTGGCGCAGGGCCGATAGCTCTCTGTGGGTTGGGAACGGCAGTGCTGCCCCTACCGATGCCACTCCGCTCGGAGTCTATTATCCCCGAGGCGCCACCTTAGGCGGCTCTTCGGTCATCAATGCGGGCGGTGCCGTCCTGCCTAGCCGCCGAGATTGGGACCATATTGGACAGTTGACCGGCGACGGAAGCTGGAAGTAAGTTTCTGGTCTTGCCAGCACAGAAAACCGGGGGTGACGAGCATTAACGTGGTCGATAACCAGTGCCGATGCCTTGCGACGCATCTTCCAGCGGATAGAAAACAACCACTACCTTTCCCAAGGAACCCCTGGGCATGGCTTTGATGGATACCTAGATATCGTTAGCAATGATGGTGACGTCTATGCACGTGCTCCTGGCACCGTTGGAAGTTTTCAAATCTATGATCTCGGCAGTGGGTGATAACCCTGCCGACGCCGTCGCCATGGTGGCCCGAGACTTGAACAACGCCAGCCCCAGTCGCGACACTACGCAAGGACTCTTCGGCCTGCCCTTCCACGGCAACGAAACCTGGGGCCGGTTCAGCGCCCGCAACCTCGTCCTCTCGACACTCGGAGCCAAGACGCCCAGCGGCCGGCCCCGCTACCCTCTCACTCTCAAAACCCACAGCCTCGCCACGCGCGTGCTATTCGACAAGCCTCCCCGCGGAGGCCGCAAGCCCAAGGCCATCGGCATTGAGTACCTGGAAGGCCAAGCAGTCTACCGCGCCGATCCGCGCAATGACCCCTCCTCCACGGGGACCCTGCGCACCGCACGGGCCCGGCGCGAGGTGATACTCTCTGCGGGCGTGTTCAACACGCCGCAGCTGCTCCTTCTCAGCGGCATCGGCCCGCGGGCCCATCTCCAGCAGCACAATATCCCTGTGGTCAGCGACCTGCCCGGCGTGGGCAGCAACCTGCAGGACAACCCGGAGCTGCCCATCGTGGGGCTGTCACCCAACGGCACCGACGCGTTCGTCACTGCACCGTTGCCCGGCGATCCGACTTGCACGTACGGCTTCCCGCCGGACGTGCCTGACCCGTGCGTAGACGCTTGGCGCCGCGGAGAGGGGCCCTACACGCGCGCCGGGCCGAACACGAACGCCTTCTTGCTGCGCACGAACCACTCGACCAACGGGGAGGTGGACGTCCTGGTCTTTTCGCTCGCCAACGGCGCGTTCCGCGGCTTCTGGCCCGGCGATGCCGTCTCCAACATGCCTCCGGACCCGCCGGGCACGTTTGGCATGTCGCTGGTCAAGATGAACGTGCAGAGCGCCGCGGGGACGGTCAAGCTCCGCAGCGCGGACCCCAGGGACACGCCCGTCATCAACTTTGAGGTGCTGCATGGCGCCGGAGGGGAGGCGGATGTGGAGGCCCTGGCGGACGCTGCCGAGTGGGCGAGAGGGGTGTATGGCCGTGTCGCGGCGCCCGTGGGGCCCATGGATACACGGGAACCGCCCTGCTCTGGTCCCTTGGGCGGTGCCTGTCGGGAGACGGATAAGAACTGGGTGAGGCAGCAGGCGTTTGGGCATCATGCTACGAGCACGTGTGCGATTGGTAAGGATGGGGATCCGATGGCCGTGTTGGATAGTAAGTTCCGGGTGAGAGGGGTCAGGGGTTTGAGGGTCGTGGATGGGAGTGCCTTTCCTAGAGTACCGGGGGCGTTTCCGGTGCTGGCGACTTTCTTGATTAGTGAGAAGGCTTCGGAGGATGTTTTGGGTGATGCAAATAGGGGGGAGGACTAAAGGCTATGTGGTGCTACTGGGCAGGATGTCCTCTTCGACGCGCAGAACAAAAATGAATGCTGAAAAGCATCGCACACTACTCGGAAGTAGCGCCTTGTTGTTATACACTCGATCCATTGTCTCTCACTCTTCAACGACACCTTGATGGGCAGTACTGCCGCTCGTAATCCAGGCCCAAGTCATGGTCTGCTTTCACATCTAGGTATTTACCTGGTACAAATGGAACAAGATGCGGGACGGCTCCTATCACCCGCTGGCCGGCCACCTAAGCACCCCTCAACCCCTCGGTTCAGCCCTACCGGCAACCCTCCGCATGTCACACGGAATAAGTGCCGTCTCACACATCCCGCAGGAGGAAGCCGTCATTCTGCAATGTCTGGAACACCCGGGTAGGGTCATACTTGGCAGCAATGGACTTGAGTTTCGCAATGTTGGCGGCTCCGTAGGAAGCGAGCGGGTTCTGTTCGCGCGATGCGTCGTTCATGTAGAGGAAGTCGACCGCGAAACCCCGCTCCCGGCTCAGCTTGTTCCAGGTCTTCTCCGTTTCTATACTCACGCTGCGAGCTGCATCGTCGTCGGCGGCATTGGTCCAGTCGACGAGGGTCGTCCAGCCTAAAGTAAGTACAAAGGGTTCGTTAAGCACTTATACGAAGTAACGAAGATACGAAGAGGAAGGAGAGGCTGATCACCACCCACATTGAAAGTCCTCAAGAGGCATGCCGGGCGGGTTCCCGCCCTTGTTAATGCCCTGCTGAACCAGATTTCCTGAGAAGGTCTGGATCGTAAAGGTCTGGTTCGCACCCGTGGCTGCCCTCACCTGGGTCGCCTGCTGGACCCAGCTGTTGTATACATCCGTGTAGAGCTTGGCATTGATCTTGGATGAGGCCGCGCGGTAGTCATGGCTAGTATGCAACCGATGTTACGTTAATCACGCTGCAGAAGTTGACGGCGGAGAAGAAGACCAAGAATCAGCTCACCGCGTAGCATCAGTGGCCTGCGTCGCAGAGGCTATCTGCATGAACTGCCAGACGGTAGTATTCGTTGGCGGCACGACAACGGTAAGCGGCGATAGGTTCTCAAAAGGGGCAAACGCTGCGGGCCTGCTTGAGGCGGAGGCCGAGTAGAGCAACGCCACCAGGACAATATCGAGCGAGACTACTACACTGACGGTAGCCTTTAAGTCTGGCGTCGGGCTTTTCTGGAAAGCGGCGTAGGCATCGAACACGGCGAGTACCTGCGCAGGGGAGAAGGCGAGGCCCTCAACCCACACCTCGTGAACAGGGACAGTGTAGAGCTCAAACGAGGTTACAATTCCTGGGTTAGAAAGATGAGCCATTCTGCGGGGTTTCGATTAGGGGAATGCGGAAGGGGATCCGTACCAAAGTTGGAGCCGCCGCCTTTCAGTGCCCAGAACAAACCCGGGTTGTTGGTTGCCGACGCTTGGACGACGGACCCGTTGGCGAGAACCACCTGAATAGGAGGAATAGTCCCGTCAGGAATCATGAGAGGATTGGTTACGGGACGCTTTCGACGGAGCACATAGAATAGGGGGAAAGTAAATAAACACATGTACTGTACTGTACATACCTCAAATGTCTTGACATCGTCACAAGCCAGGCCAAACTCTGGCGAGAAATGGAAGTAACCCCCTGGACGCGGATCAGTCAGTCAGACAAACCACATCTTTCTTGAGAGAGATCAACGCCCACGGCCCCCTACCACAGCGGGAGTCTATAGGGGGGGGCATTGAATGCCAGGGCCTAACATTGAATGCCCCAAAAGTGTTGCATGCCACTACAACATTCAATGCCACTACAACATTGAATACCACGACCATACTAGGCCCTGATTAGTCGGATTGGCCAGAGCAATTGATCTAACTAGTCGGACTGGACCCACCACCCACCAGGTTACGTGACCCCCATACGTGCAACTACGACTACTACAACCACCGCAACAGTACAATTGAAGCTCTTATAGCCAGATCCTCCAGGGAGTACAAGGCAGGGCAAAAAAGAAGCAAAACCTTGCCTTTCGCACAACTGCAATTGATGACTCAGCAAGCACGAACCAGATCCTTGCCCGAAGTTTTGCCGGCCAAGGACATGTTCCCGTTCCCGGAGTGGGACCAGCTCCGTAACGGCTGCAAACGGCGCCGGCGACGGAGGCCGGAAGGCGTCGCCCATTTTACTTCATTCACACCCCATTAGGTCTTTCAGCTCGCACCCCGCGCATTCGCGATGGCGGTGCATTTTTGGCGCCAGGATCCCGTTCCCGGTTCGTGGACGCGAACCAACTGCGCCCGACCCTCGAGCCTCGGCGCTGGCCTTGCTGGCCTTGCTGGCCTTGGCTCGCTCATGCTGTCGTGGCCTCCCTCCTCTCCCTCCAAACCCCTGAACTCCCTTCCTCCTCACCTTCTCGTCGTTCTTCCTACTCCTAACGCAATTCTCAACTCACCATGACGGTACAACGACAGTCGCGCTTCTCCGGGGTGGACCAGGAAAGGGTCAATACGCTCCTCCAGGCTTACACGGTTAGTGCTATCGAGGAGGAGGGTAATGGGAAGCCCTTCGTTGCTCCGGGCACAAAGGCGTAGCGCGATAGAATATGGATAGCCTGGACCGAGTATGTCTTCTTCCCCTCCTTTCCAGGCTTCTTTAACCCAAACAAATCTCGATATAAAGCCTGGGACAAATGTGCTGATGTATTGCTAATTTCCATCATTCCTTGAAGTTTCTATGAACTTACTAGGAAGAAAGAAGCTGCAATGAACAGGTATAGCGCTCTCCGAATATATGTAGCTTACTATCGAGCCCTAAAACTGATGCTAACTAAGTGAAGCTGTGGTAGTTTCGACTCCTACCGCTTCTAGGTGGACTTCGCCTAGGATCCATCAAACTCAAACCTTCTAGCACCGGTCTAGACCTTTCTATACAAATATATGGAAAGCTCCTACAAGGAACGTGTCGTGCTAGGGCCTGAGGAGCGCGCTTGTCACGAACAGACCTTACTGGCGGCCAGGCATGGTCACAGCCGCAGCGCGGGGAGCCGCGGCAGCCAATCACTCAACTAACCAATCAGAATGGATCACTAGGGAAGGAGAGTGAGCCAACATAAGGATCACTGGGATCACGAAGTGAGCCAGGTGAGCCAGCACAAGGATCACTGGGATCACGAAGTGAGCCAGGTGAGCCAGCACAGAGATCACTGGAGCAAGGAGTGATCCTCAAAGACAATCATTAGTATATTAGATAGCTAGCTATTCCCTTGGAGGACCTGCCAGAGGTTCTCCAGTAAGCAATGCAAGCAGTTGTCTTTACTACTGTGTGAACACTTGCTTGTGCACTTGTTGTAGACCCTTTGGCTCTACCGAACCTCACCCCGTCTAAGTCAACCTTCAGTTTGAGGAGTCCCTTTCAGTGGTAGGGGACCGAGATTCGTCACAATCCTCTAGGGAGTACAAGGTAGGGTAAAAAAGAGGTAAAAGAGCTAGGCACTCAATTGCCGACTTTGCAATTAAATGCCCAAATTCTAGACCAACCAAACTATAGATCGAACAGAAGAAGGTAAGAATTAACAAGCGGATTTGTTACTTAATAATTGACTACTTGGCCATTCGCTCGTTCATTCAAGTTGGGATCCTGTTCTTTCCTTGAGGTTATCAATCGCGAGGGAAGGAAGTTGCAAGTCGTGATGGTAATCGTCGGCTTATAGTGGTGGCCCACTGAAAGCCACTAGCGGGGGCCTGGCATTGAATGTTGATGTGGCATTGAATGTTGACTTGGCATCGAATGCCCGCCATTGCCATAGACAACATTGAATGCCACACCCTACATTTTCCCGCTACGGTATCCACTGACCTCCAAGAATGAGACCCCCGACCCCAACCCCCGGCGATCTGGCGCCAATGACGGTGACTTTATGAGCATCCAAAGCCTCAATCACATTCCCCCACTTCTGCCCGGCTCCAACGGTAACCGTAGTAGCATCGCTGCTGACGTTGATGTGATTGAGCCGCTGGAGGTCGATGAGGATGCCCGGCGCCGCAACACTGGACCAGCCCGGGTTCGGCGAGTGGCCTCCGCTACGGACCGAAAACTTGACACAAAAGAACTTGATGATCTTGAGTGTGATGGACACGTCCTTTGCAGAGTTGGGAAGCACGACGCACGCTGGTGTTGCCCAAGTAGTTGCCGGCCTGTCGAAATAGCGGGTAGCGACTGGTGTAAGTCCATGTCTCAAGCCCAGCACTGGAAACCCAAAGGTGACTTTGCTAAAGAAAGGTTGAACGGAGATTCATACCAGGAACTGTTGATAACTTGCGTCAAGTCATCTCCGGTGATGACCTCCTCAGGCTCGAGAGCAATTCGCAGGGTAAGGCAGGCCGGTGAGATGAGGGCGCTGCTGCTCTCGGTTGATGAAGTGGCCTCGCGGGACGCCAAAAAGGAGATAACTTCATGATCCTTCTCGAGTGAGGCCCTGAGTTGACTTGCCTTGTGGTCTGGCAGCTTCAGCGAGTCAACGAAGTCGTGCAGGTTCATTTTGGTCATGGCTGATTGTGGTGTGAGTGCAAGAAAGCTGGCAGAGAATTGGTATTAGTAGAGCCGGCAACACCTTGATATTCGTGTAAGTGGGTGCGATGATATTACTGTTGAAAGTCACAACGACAGCCACCAGAACAAGGAGCAGCAGCATCTTGTTTTTATACTTGAGTGAACCTGCTAAAAAGCTGTTGGCAGGTCGGTAGGCGGATTTTACGGGCGCTAATTTCACCGACAACAACACGGTCACGGTGAAGGAGGTGCTCCGACGTGGAGGCGGTTACAGTACTACCAAGTAGTACCCGACTATTGAGCGGCAACGTAGATCGGTTACATATATGCTGTGCTTACTACCGCTGGCCCCCAAATTAAAGTACCAACGTCAAGTTGTATGCACAGGGGAGTGGGTATCTGGGTTCAAACCGGAAGTGCCAGCTTCTAAACACCTTCCCAGAGCAGATAGACGCGTGTCAGCATAAAAGGTTGTTGGTGATATACGCTTGGAGTAAGCACTTACCAATGTAGTAGTGTTATAACCGTTCAATCACGTTCTCATAATGGGTAAGGATTCAACAACTTAGCAACAACTGGATTTCCGGACCTCCATTTTACCTCTCTCCTTTGTTGGTTTATGTCCGCGGACTACCGGGATTCCTCTAACGCCGTTGCCGGTTCACGGTCTCAGTTATACCTAGCAGAGGAAGGGGGGGTCTCTGTCCGCATGTTCTGTCTCATGACACTATAGTCCGGCACTAGCCAAATTGAACTTCACGACAACATTATGGTACCTAGCCGGTGTCATTATGTTTCCTAGCCGGTGTCATTATGTTTTCTAGCCGGTGTCATTATGTTTATATAATGGCAGATTTGGCTAGTGCCGGACTATAATGTCATGAGACAGAACATGCGGACAGAGACCCCCCCTTCCTCTGCTAGGTACAACAGATTGGCTTACACCGTGACAAGTATCTCACTACACCTCCGACCTGAGCAAGTAGAGTTCGCCATATAAACGTTAAGGTAGTCAAAATCATACCATCGCTATGTCGGTCCGGTAAAAAGGCCGAAATCTCAGGAAAACCTGTAATCTAGATAGTGACATAATGTCGATCATTAGGTAGGTAGGTCTTAGGTAGTATGGGTGCCTTCATGTTCGCCTGTACCAGACTTAACTTGGAAATGTCAAAAATATAGAATGGATTTTGGTATAGAAGAGTCTCCGATATCACAGCAGTGACAGCATCAAGTAGCGACGTCGTATCATAAACCCTACCTCATCCTTCACTAAACGTATTGAAATCTTTTTAAAAGCCTGAGGGAAGCGCCTGAGCTCAATACTCCCCTAGTACAAGCTGGACTAGCCTACCTCGGATGTGAGAAAGCTCGGTGCGTTGACGTGTCGAGTATATATTTACAAACCAGTTACTCCTAAGCCCACTGGAATCCTACTCAGTTTAAAATCGAAGAGACCGTATAAAGCTACCTAGTACCTACCAATGGCCATCCCTTTGTCACGGTCACTACGCCATTTTGTCAGTACTAGTACCTGGCAGAGAGCAGATGTTTCTTCCGGCACAACAGGAGTCCTTCACTGCAGTGGCACATTTCCTATGGTGGGTTGGCTGCAAAATGCAGCTGAATGCTAAACATGAGCGTACTGCTGAAGATTATCTTGCGTTCAAGAAGTTGAGGGATGTGTATAGCTAGGAGTAGTAAACTATCACTGTTATCATCCCCACACTATCTCTGCCGGTATGGTGAGGCCCAGGCCAGTTGACCCCCAACTTATTAGATGCAGGCCGGTGCAGTACAGGAGTAGGAAACTGTACGTTAAGTGAACCTTATATGCTAACTTTATTCCTATTGTGTTGCACTCCGTTAATTGTTCTTCAAACCTGAGTCATTTCATCACGGTGGAAAACCATTTTATGTACAGTACAGTACCTCTAGCACTACCCCTTTTGTTGACCCAGTATCCTATCGATGTCTTTGGGCGGTGTGCTGCGGTTTCCCTCGGCCCCCCATGCCCCCCACTGTAGCACAGTGCACCCCGCTGCCCCGCACCGGATTCAGGGCGACAAAGGGGGCATCTTTAGGCCCGACCTTCCGTCAGCGGCTCTTATCACGGTGTGATGTGTCCTGGGAGTGTCGCTCCGCCACCGCTAAGTTATTTTCTTTGCGGCGGTCAGTAAAGACCTGGGGACCCGATGTCATATGATGGCTCGGTTGGCTACAGGTAGGCAGCCGAGCTGGCCGCTATCGGGAGCCGTGAATTAGTTACCTGCCCGCATCCGCTGAATGTAGCATTAACCACTGGGGCCGCTCATCACAACGGAATTTAGCGGGGTCCCTGCATTGGCAGCCTTCAAACGAGCCGGTGTCGCATTAGGTAGATATTTTCGCCCATCTGGCGTCGCAAGATCCATGAAGTGGTAGCTCCCCAAAATACAACTTTTGCGACGAAGACAGGCTGTTTCCCTCCGTCGACCTTCCGCTCATACCTACCCAGAGAACCGGATCCTCGGCTGGCCGACACCGCCCGCCCTCGCTCCGCAGCGGTGCAATGGCCGAGCCAACCAACACGCCCATGCCGGCGAGCACCCCGGTTCCGGCGTCAACCCCGCGCTCGTCTTCGCCGGCGCCGCCAATTCCAAGCTTAACACCCGAGGCAACAACAACAACAACAACGATCGCTTCCCGACCCGCGCCGTCAGTAGAACGGCCGATTGTCCTGCACATTGGCGACCCGATCAAGTACAACCCTGAAACCTACGCCGAGTTCAGCCAAGCTTTCCATGTGATCCGCCCCAGCACCCGCGAGCGCGAGCGGGGCGAGTTTATCCGGGCGCTCAAGGAGCGGCGCTGGGGCGATTTCAGCGCCATCTTCCGGCCATTCTGGGGCACGGGCGGGGAGATGGGCCGCTGGGATGCCGAGCTGATTGATCTGCTGCCGGACTCGGTGCGCGTGTTTGCCAGCGCTGGCGCGGGCTTTGACTGGGCCGATACCAAGCTGTTGGGAGAGAAGGGTGAGTAGTCGAGCCAGTCCCTGCTGAAATGGCCTGCCTGCCCCGCACCTCGCTCATCATTGTACGGTGAACAGGCATCATCTACTGCAACTCGGGCCTGGCGGCCGCCGAAGCCGTCGCCGACTTCGCCGTCGCCATGGTCATCTCCACCTTCCGGCACCTGCCTTGGTGCATGGGAGCCGCAACCCTACCCTACCTCTCCTCATTATCCAACGACCCGTCCACGCACCAAAGAGCACGAAAGGCGTTCCAAACCTGCCACGCGCGCGCCACAGCCGCAAGCCACACGCTGCGGGGCCACGTGCTGGGCCTGATCGGGTTCGGCAACATCGGACAACAAATCGCCGCAAAGCTGGGGCACTCGGCCTGGGGCATGAAGATTGCGTACCACGACGTGGTGCGCAAGCCGGCCTCCATCGAGGACTCGCTCTCCGCCACCTTCCACGCGACGCTCGACAGCCTGCTGGTGTCGTCCGACTGTGTCGTGCTGTGCACGCCAGCGTCGGCTGACGGGAAGCCGCTCATCACGGCTGAGACGCTGCGCCGGTTCCGTCCGGGAGCGCGCTTCGTCAATGTCGCGCGGGGGTCGCTCGTCGACGAGGACGCGCTGGCCGACGCACTCGAGGCTGGGATTGTCAGCGCGGCCGCGCTGGATGTGCATGCCGATGAGCCGAGGGTGCATCCGCGGCTGGTGAGGATGGCGGGGTTGATGGGAGGTGATGATGAGGAGGAGGGGGCGGGGTTCGCAGAAGGAAGGCATCCCGGGAGGGTCATGTTGACATGCCACAATGCCGGGGGCACGGTTGAGACGCATGCCGGGTTCGAGGAGCTCAGCATGAGGAATATCCTGGCTGTTTTGCAAGGGCGCCCGGCGATTACACCGGTAAATCTGCAGTACTTGGGCGCCAAAAACTGAGGGGCGCAGGATTCGCATCTCGAAGGATTGAAACTTGTTTTAAGGGAGAGCGGACTGCATGATGAGACATGTTTTTGCTTGCATATTTCAGGGGCAGTCGGCAATGCTTGAACGGGGGATTTCGCAGGTGTTTGTGCGCATGAACGACGAGCATGGAAATTTCAGCGAGGCGAGCGCTGACAGCATCGTTGTTTTCCAACTCATGAGTCACCAGTAACTTACCGAGTAACGTTGAACCTTTGGGGCGGGTTAATATCCAGTCACGAGAGGAGCCGCGATGCGGATGCCGCTGTCCACGCACACGATACCGAGTTGTAATGGCATGAGGATCATGTTCGCTGCGTTACCCAAAAAAAAAAATATCGCTAGAGGATACATAAAATATCTGTCGCTTGGGCTAGACGAGATAAGAAGCGAAATAAAAGGAAGCGTTGAAAGGAAACAAGACATTATGATCCTTGGACCAGCCACCAGGGTACTGTCTGGTCGTTGTGGCTCGGCATTGAGGTCTCGTGCTGGCGTTACAGTCGGAATCAGCATCAGAGATCACCTTTGCACAGCCGAATCGGCCGCCATCTCGGCCGGGTTGCCTTGCGCCCCGGATACCGCATTTGTGTCCAGTTCCGACATGTGCTGGTGCGAGGGGGGATATGGATTTCCGGGAGGCGGGGACGCCCCGGGATAAGGAGCATATCCGGCACTCGGCGGTGTATGACTGGGATGCGGCGCGTACTTTATTGCCGCCTCATTTGGTGCATAGTACCCTTGTTGCGGATCGTAGGCACCTGGCGCTGGGGGCGTGGTGCTGTTGACTGGGGCTGTCATCATGGATGGGCTGAAGTAGCCGGCTTGCGAGAGCGCCGGAGAGCCTGCCGGGTTGTAGCCAGTCTGCTGTGTCATGCCGCCCGGGCCTGGATAAGAGGTATCGGCGGGCGCGACAGCGCTGTAATGAGGGCTTCCTGCTTTTGGGTCCTTCTTACGTGAGCGGAGGAGGAAGAAGGCGATTGCACCGGCAATGAGCGCGATACCAGCCACACCACCGACAACGCCGCCGACAATGGCGCCCACATTGGTACCGCTATCGCTGGGAACCGGCGTGATCGTGGGGGCTGTGGCGGACGGGTCGTCGGGAACGCTGGCTGTTGAAGATGTAGTAGATGTGGTAGAGGTCGACTTAGTCCTCCCGTCGAGCACAAACTGAGGCTCACTCAGCATGGTGATAATCGACTGGGCCGTAGAGCATCGGAACATCGACCGCGCCGACGTTCCAGACATCTCAGGCCAGATATAAGTGATGCAAGCTCCAATGGACGATGTCATGCTGGGATTTCAGGTTAATGTTGATGGTCACTGCTCAACTCGGCGCAGGCAGCTTACCAGCAACCCGTCTTTGGGCCCATGCTCTCGCAGTAACCATTCAGGGAGGCTTGGTAGTCGAAGCAGACAGTAAAGAAATTTGTTGACGCGCCGTTTGTGTCGCAAGCGACAACCTGATCGCTGTTGGTCGCGCAGGTGGCTGATGACGGGCATATGAATGCCGCCGCTGGGTGGTAGACACACGGTCAGCGAGACGTGCGCGAGCCATGTGCGCACCCGACGTCAACCACACTTACATGGTGTTCCTGCACGCCATCCGCAGGTATGGTCATCGATCCAGGTGTTCTCGGACGTCTGGCGCTTCGCCCTGATCCACTCGTTCCTTCTCCTGGCCAGCTCTAAGGGATTCATTTCCGCCGCGATAGGAGGTTCAGTCGGTTTCGGTGTCCATCCTGTCGCGCCGTCTGGCCTCGATGCTCGAGTTTGCCTCGCGTGTATTAAGTGTCCTCCCCGGCCCTCGAGTTCCCGTCCCATAGACCAGTCCGCTGCGCTCCCAATGGGGCCTGACGCCGCCAGAAGCACAAGAGAGAGCCGCATCGCGAATGTCGAGCAATCGCGCCTGGGCGGATCAGGGTTTGTCGTGTTGCAAAATCCAAGGCGAGGTCTGTTTGCTCGTCCCCGCTCAAGCTTCTCAAAACTCCCCAAAGAGATCGAATCCTAACTGGCGATAGAAGCGTGTACGGATCGCTATCAAGCGCCACACGAACGTGTCTACACAGTAGGCCAGCAAAGGGGAACGAAAACTCTGGCAGAGAAGAAAGATGGGGAGAACCGACCGGGGGGATACAAGGCCGACGGCCCTATCCATGCATCGCCGTGGCTGAGCTAGCCCAGCGAGGAGCTGACGGGGGTTTTCTTCGTTGACATGGCAGGGGCCCCAGATAGGAATGGCGGCACTCGTAGTGCGAGAGTGCGGATTTTTGAGAGGCCCAGCAGTCGAATGAGATGGCCATTTTCCAGACCCGAGTTGCCTGCTAGCTTGGCCTTATCATTTCCAAGCGCTTATGAGTCCAGAGCTGCCCAAGCTCTGTTTCCAACGAATCGGCGACTGCAATGTAAGTTATTGTGTAAGTACACCACATCAATTAACTGTATCCGTACCTGACTGCGATTGCAGAGACAGATAGATGTTCCTGCTGGAGCCGCGAGCCGCCAGCCGCGAGACACTCGAGAGTCGAGACGAGACCACACATTGCTGGAAGCTGGGCGACATCCACTCCAGGCGTAACCCTTCCTTTCGGTAACGCCTAACGTGAGCAGCCCTGAGCCATTCCTGATGCAGGGGACTTGTTCTCCTCACTCAAAAATAACCTGGGAGTGGAGCCCAATAAATTTCCCGCTGGCCTATCCGCTCGACGCCCTCAGTGGGAAGACGACCAGTGAGCGTCAGCTCATGCTTCAGCCCCGCCAGGGGGGGAACAATATCGCTCCGACCGAAAGCATGCCATGAAGTTGCTGCGTGGCGTGGTAGCCTTGATCAATTACCCCTATTCCATGGCTGAAGAGGCAAGATATGTAGAAGTAATGAATAGCTTCTTTGCCAGAGGGAAATAGCCAAAATTGCCAGGAGAATGGATCAACCTGAAAGTTTGGAGTCCAGACAAGTTTCTGAAGTGTGGGGCTCGAGAGGCGGCATGGGCGGTTGAGAGCAGCCCAGCCCCGTGGGATCACGCTAATTAACGTTAGCCTTGTGGAGCCACTCGTGTAACAACTTACAGTACGATACGCGTCTTATACTGGACTGTCCGTACTGATACAGAACAGTACTAGTGTATGCACTCGTACAGTACAACCCCGGTCGCGCGAAGCTTGCCGACTATTGCCATCATCAACTCAACTCATCAAGTTGCTCCTTCCTACGGATGCAGGGAGATGGAGATGCTGACGCAAGAACAGCAAGAGCATGTGGCGAATGGGCCTTGGGTCATGGCCTCATGAAGTACTTACTATACAATGGTATCCACAGAATGCTGTAACCCCGCTATCCTACATCTAGCAGGCATTGCGAGCACGATGATATAGGGGTATAGTAAGCAATGTAAGAACAATCCTCTGAAAAGGCTTCACAACAAGGCTACTTCATCAGTTACCTATGGAGGAAGGCCGCGATGAACTACATAACCCTAACTTTTGCCTTACTGATCGTCGACATTGAGGCTAACAATACGGGCCTTACCGGTAGATTCCCTATAACTGAGACGCGGGGTTTTACGTCTGGACAGTGCCTTGGCTTCCATACGTGCACATTTATCTGTCGGTTAACTCGTCAGCCACGTCCAGTTGCTTCAAATATCAAGACGTCACTCGGAAACTAGAGTTTCTCGAGTTTACAAACCTTCCTCACAGTGACAAAACTCTCTGCTTTCGCTCTCAGACATGGTTGTCAGAAACCAGCATTTGTTCTTGCTGAATCATACTCACGGTATGATTGGTGGTGAAGGACACTGTCCCCACTCTTTCCCCATCTCCCACGCTCAGATGGATGGATTGATGGAAAAGGTTTTGTTTTGTGCAGCATCCAAATTGTCAAATCATGACGGTGCCGAATCCGGCAACGGTGCCCTTCCCTTGAGTTGCTTCTCAAGGTGCTCCTTCAACTCAAAAACTTGCCAGCCTCAGACGTCGAAGCAGTGGTTCAGGACCTCAATCAGTGAGGTGTAAATCTGAGGCAAAGCTCGCACAAAAGAGCTTCATCCTCCTCCAGTGTGGCCGCAATCCTCGACCTAACAATTTCTACCCCGCGATCCAAGCGCACCATGGCGGACCCCTGTCGCATCCTGGTCATGGCCAGCGGCAATGGCTCGAATTTCCAGGCTTTGATAGACGCCGTCAACGACGGGCGGATTCCCGATTCCAAGATTGTCCGCCTCGTTGTGAACCGGGCAAAGGCGTTCGCAACCACCCGCGCGGAACGTGCCGGCATTCCGTGGGAGTATTTCAACCTGATCGCAAACGGGTTTCAGGCAAAGGGGGAAAAGGACCCGCAGAAGATACAAGAAGCACGAGATAACTATGACGCGGCGTTAGCCGAGAAGCTGGTCAAGGGCGACTTCAAGCCCGACCTTGTGGTGCTTGCCGGCTGGATGTATGTGTTTGGCAAGCGTTTCCTCGACCCGCTTGACGCCGCTGGCATCAAGATTATCAACCTGCACCCTGCTCTGCCCGGTAAGGCTCTTGTTTGCTTCTCTACAGCGTCGTCCCTGGTACACGACAGTTGACAAGCTCTAAAGGCAAATATGACGGTGCCAATGCTATTGAGCGGGCGTTTGAGGATTTTCAAGCAGGCAAACTCGAGAACGGCAGGACGGGCATCATGGTTCACTACGTCATTGACAAGGTGGATAGGGGGGAGCCCATCTTGACAAGAGAGATCGAGTGCCGGCAGGGAGAGGATCTGCATCAGCTCGAGGAAAGGATACATGTCCACGAGCACGAGCTGATTGTGGAAGCGACTGCCCAGGTCGCAAAGGAGATTGTTGCTAGGAAAAGGAAGACGCAATAAACCCCTTTTTTCGCCTCTGAAGCCTGCCAACAACATCATGAGTCAAGAGTCCTGAGTGCTCTTCAGACGGCGAAAGCCTTTCGTGGCCGACAAGTGCGGCCCCAACAGAGTCAACAGCGTCCCAAAACTTATACCTCGAGCTTGCCGGTTCGTGGGAAGATGGGTTTGCGAAGTGATTGAGACCTGTGGGATTTTCATGATGGGCTTGAATGGGCTCCAATAGGTACTATGGAAGATGGCGAGGGGACTAGGTAAGGCGAGAAGTACTACGGTACAGAAGATCGTCTCCTACGCACCGAGTACGAAGTGTAATTCGCCCAGACGCTTTAGTACATGCTCTACAATGAGCCTACCGGCGGACTTGCGGAACAACTTGAACCGGATTGTCCAACGCCACACACAGATGCCTATAGACTAGGTCTCGCGGTTCGCACGCCACCCTACCATGATATGGTTTGAGCTCGTGATGTATCGTGTGGCCGTCATTCGAACTGCCATTGTTGACAGTCGTATCATTTGACAGTAATTTCCTTGACTGCTTCTTTGACGGCTTCCCCCAGATTGGTCAAATGTGCGGAGAAGGTCCGCGTTTTGACCAGAGCGCCAGTATTGGGGTTCGGGAACAATACATAGGCCACACTGCCGCTGGATACAACCTGCAAGTGATCCAGCTCGAGCATGCGGAGATGCAAACCGGGCGCCTCGGTCAGCTTCAGCAAGAACGTACTCCAGGGGTTGACCTTCCGATCAAAAGGATCTGGCTTCGGCAGGCATACCGTCCCAAGGCTGAGCCAGCGCAGGGTTGGGCCGTACTTGGCGGCGAGCCTCAGCAGGGTCTGAGACCGGCAGAAGAGAGGACCCAAGTCGAGCCGCTCGAGATGACGAAGTGCTGTTGGAGGTGTGTCGAAATGGTTGGTTGGTCTCTCGGTCTCTTCCAGGGCCAGCCAGCTGAGGAATTCTTCGATATCTTTATCAATATCAAAGCCCGGGAGACTGGCGGGGGAAATATCAGCTGTGATGCCTAGGCGGAGCCAAGTGAGATTTCTCGTAAGCGACAGAAACTTGCGAACCATATCATAGTATCCGCCTCGGACTCCACGCAGTACGAAGTGGAGCGACCGCAACCCCGAGAGAAGCGGCGTCACCGAGGCCTCGAGGGGTGGTGCAATGGAGAAGGCGTGGTCAGTAAGTCCGCACCGTCGCCGCGACGACCAACTGATAGCAGCCTCAATGGATTGAGGCCGTGCCTGCGCGGTAGCTAAGGCGGCAATGACAATTGAGAGAAGCTGGTCTATATAACCTGGGTTTTTGTCCTGCCAGTTCTGGAACACGTTCATGCTTTGTCCCGAAGGTGCGCCCGCGACACGACAGTCGAAATGTCCAATGCTCACGGCGTCAAGGTTTGACAGGTTACCAAATGCCTCTGCTAGCACGTCGCGGAGGGCACCTGTGGTCATCCAGCTGTAGTGATCTGCCACTCCAAGATGCATTCGATGCTTCTCCTCAAGATCATAGCCTGTGTTTATGAACGGCCGTTCAGTCGAGATGAGTACGCGTCGGAGACATGGAGACAAAGCCGGATGTTTGGAAATAGCGAGTAGGGTTTGCAGGCTGTCGGTCGTCACCATGCATTTCTTCGTATGGAAGAAGGTATGCGAAAAGAAGTTGAATAGTTTGTGCTCCAAAGTCTTGCACGCCAAACGCACGTTGCCCAGTTCGCTCGGCAAGAGGAACGAGGCAATATGAATCAGCACCTCTGAAGGCATCCGAGGCAGTCTGGAACCGAACTGGGGGTTGAAACGGTCCATTGTTCTCGTCATGGCGGGCCGCAAGTTGAGTGCAGCGGCTGGCTGGTGATGCGTGGCGAATGGGAAGGTACAGGTATTTTGAAACGCCGGAGATGTGAAGTCTTTGTGAAATACCCTCAAGTTGTGGGATGTGTCTGAGACTAACCCTTTCTCCGAATATGCAGCGGTGAACTTGAAGTTAGGAACAGGCTGTTGGGGAATTGCATTCTCAATGGGCCTAATTTTTGGTTCCATGCCATGCCTGGTCCAGATCGTCGAGATGGAGAGTCTTGTGTGCTGGAAAGTGGCGGCCGTTTGTTTTCAGAAGGATGGTTGGCCCCCGTAAAAGGATATGGCTGCCTGCGAACTTTTCTTACAAAGCAATAGGTATTAGGTATAGTACATACTCCGTTGTACTGAACGTATCCGTACATATGAGAGGATTGACCGTTGGACATCCTTACGCGGTGAGGTCGCTGCTTTCCCTTTTAGGCATTATGAATGAGTCCTACAAGGAGATTCAATGCGCACCTTTCCATATTGTTTGATGTGGAAATGACGGGATACTAAGGTCAGTTCAACGTGAAATTCATCTTCACCGCAGTCGGTCTTGCACTCCGTTTAGTCTTGATAATCCAGCTATCCCAGATTGAGCGATAGAGTTGGACCGTGAACGGGCTCGGAATCCAATCTGATTTGGCAAATTGTAACTGAAGCTGTCCGCCTTTGGAAAGAACGCCTCACATTCCGTTGTTGCCATGGCAACGGGCTGCATCTTGTTGGAAGTGGCAGGAGCAATGGCATCAATTTTGTCGTATTTTACTGTGGTTCGAGCTGGGCACTCCAAACTTCAAGTGGACACATTCACACTTCCAACCAGAAATAGACCCGTATCAATCCAGGCTTTTCAATATCCCAGCCACACACAAGATAGCACAGATTTTTGCTCCGTCCCTGGCAATCACCCCGACATCTTCCTACTTCCCGTTCACCGACGATGACTTGGCCGTCCAAACCGTTTGGATATTGCACCAACCCCTCAGCCCCTCCATTCCGGATTCCGCACCAATACCGCTTTGTTTGTGGCCGCTATACGGGGCCAGCGGGCCGACCGACACGAAGTGGTTGACCCAGACGCTGCCGGCCTCGAGGCGGCGCGCCGTGCGCTCGGCCCTTGCCTGGTCGCCCCCCCAGACGGACGCGCCGAGCCCCATCTGGGTGGCGTTGGCCCGCCGCACCACGTCGTCCTCGTCGGACCACTTGAGCATCGGCACGATGGGGCCAAACTGCTCCTCGACCACTATCTGTGAGTCCTCGGGCGGGTTGTCGATCAGTGTCGGGGCCAGGAAATAGCCGCCGGCATTGTTGTTGCCAAAGGATGAGCCGGCCACCGGAATGGCCTTCCAGCCTTGCTTGTCGATCTGCGAGTAGAGGCCCTGAAGCTTGCCGAACTGCATGCTGTTCTGGATCGGGCCGATCGCGGCTTCGGGGTCGTTGCTCATCCCCATCTTTATGGACGACTTTATGAAGTTGGCCACAGCGGCGACGAAGGTGTCGTAGATGTCTTCGTGCACATAGATGCGCTTCGCTGCCATGCAGACTTGGCCGGTGTGGATGAGTGCTAACTGGGCAATCTGTAGTGTCAAGTGTTGGCGGGAGCTTTGGTACGATGACGGGACCCCTACGATCTATGGAGCGAGGTCACTTACCATAGGGGCTACCTTTGCCACGTCCACATCTGGGTAGATGATTGCCGGGTCATTGCCGCCAAGCTCGAGAGTAAAGCGCTTCAGGGTCCCGGCGCATGCTTGCATCACCTTCTTGCCAGTTGCCACAGACCCGGTGAAGCTAATCTTAGCTACGCCCGGGTGGGCTGTGAACAGGGGACCGAGGGACTCGTCACCGCTCAGAACATTGACCACACCTTTGGGGAACACCTTGGCAGCGAGCTCGCCAATCTTGAGGGCGGTGTTGGGCGTATATGGCGATGGTTTCCAGATGAAAGTGTTGCCGGTAAGCAATGCCGCCGACAGCTTGATTATACCCAGCAAGGCCGGAAAGTTCCAAGGGATAATGCCCACACCCACGCCAATGGGTACATGGCGTACGGTCACGACTCGCTGACCGTGAGCACAGATATCCCATATTAGCTTCCTCATATTCAGGCGGCTGGAAGCAAATGTAATCAGCAAGGGGCACAGATCAACGTACCTCGTCTGTCTCTTCAACCTTTTCCTCTGTCAGTCTGAATTTGCTAGTACCCCGAATTTGGGCGACACAGCCCAATATTTCCATGGTAGCAAGCTGCGGAGGCTTGCCCGCTTCCCTACCGAGCAGCGTGATAAGTTCCTCCTTGTTAGCATCGACAGCATCGGCGAACTTGGAGAGGTAGTCGGCTCGTTCGTCTTGAGAGAGCCCACTCCAGGCCGGGAATGCAGCCTGTGCCGCTGCTACGGCACGGTCAACATCTTCTGGCGTCGAGAGGGGCACGTCAGGAAGTGGCTCGCCGGTGCTGGGGTTGATGGCGTGGCGTGTTTGGGCCGTGGTCGTGAGTTCGTTGTTGATCACATTGCGGAATATCTACAGGGGCACAAAGGGGGTGATTCAGCAATTTTCCAGCCGGTCAGATCTCTTAACGGTGTCATTGGCCGCGCACCTCAAAGCTGTCAAGCTTATAGTTCTCAGCCGCACCCATGATTGAATCGTAGGCGTTATGATAAGGTGTCTGATGAGACTCGGGCTGCCGAAGTACTAGTACGTGGATATGAGGAATCGGACAACGGGGAGGATACAGCAGATGGGTTATGAACAAGCCAGCTTCAAGAACATACCACTTTCAGGAATCAGGAGAGGTTCGATTATATAGGTAGGTAGGCAGCCGGCTACTACTAACCGACCTTGAAGCCCGCTGCCACCCATCAGGATGATATGGATCAGGATCCCTGCTGGTCCTCACATGCAGCGGTGAGCGAAGAGCACTTGTATGTACATCGCATCCTGTAATCCCACCTTGATACGTGCTGGTATCTGCTCCGTGTTGTCTCCCGGCCGTATCTCGTAGCGGTTGGAGCGCTGGGACCAGACGAGTGCCATGCAGTTGGTGGTATGCAATGCAACCAACTGTGCCTTGTACTTTACCCGCCCTCGGCCCCCACCACGAACACAGGCATGTGAAGAGCTTCATGTTAGTAGTGTGTATGTATGGACCGTCTGTTGTAGCACACATGCAGCAGACCACATGCACCGGAATTGCTACTCCTACCGGACGGCATGATGAAGTGCCATCACGGAATCCGGATGCTCCGGGCTAGCCACCCCGAGCAGTGCAGCACTCGCCAGCAGCCAATGACTGCTGTGTGACCTTTCAGTTCCGGAATCCTTTCCCTTGCAAAGATCACGCCACAAGGTACTACTAAGTAGTACAAGTAAGCAACCCCGAGTGCCATGGCGCAGGACTTTAATGTAGCCCTCTAGACCGGATATCCTATCCAAGTTCAACCCAATAAGTAACAAGAATCATCCAAGATACCTACCTTAGTAATGATATGCCCGGCGATTCAGTCTGAGGTTGGACTTGACCACTTGCCTCCGGTACTGGATCGTCCTGGCTAGCCTGGTTGAGTGTCAGTCGCGCGCTTAGTTCTTCAAGGAAATGGAAGGTGATCCTTGATCCTCGAAGCTACATGAAAGCTCCCGCAGGATCTGAAGGCAGTCTTACTCATCCATTTTGTCCCTGGCCCTCCACTCCCCATTGGACCAAACGCTCTGAGACCCAACGTAGCCTGTAAATGATCCAATCCCGTCATATCTGCCGGAGCTCTGGCTGTCAACACCATCTGGGGCCTTCATCACGATGATAAACCCATAACGTATTCGCCGGGCTCCCGTCCAACCTCGGTAACGCCGTAACGAATCCGGGAGTCTGATTAGTGATAGCTTTCTCCGGTCCACGGTCCAGTCGCCCATTTTCGTCAGCACCATGCAGGCGCGCAAAAGGTTGGGTGGTTTCCAGTTCTGCTGTGCTACCAGCCCACCAGACGGCCTAGTACATGTATCAAAGGGGAAGTACTGTACAACGTAAGTAATGGAAAGTGGCATGCACAGGCTGCATATCAGCTTGCGGTGTTCACAACCGTTGATAAAGTTCTAGATCTTTCGTCGGTCAGTCCAAAATACTAAGTAGCAGTGTTACTGTTTGAAAGGGGGAAGTACTTTGCAGCAATAGATGAGCATCATGATACCACCGTATGGCTCGTATGTGTATGAGATCCCGCAAGCCAACGTAATGTAGGTAGGGTAAATCAAGGAGCCTGGTACTAACAAAACATGCGGAAGGTTGTATATCTAAAGTTGATGTGTTGGGGCTTGTCCCGTAACTGTTCGGTGGAAGTCGCGACTGTGTTAGAGTGTTTTCCTGACTCCTATGGAATTGGACGATTTATGCCGCCTTTGCATTGGGGAGAATTGTTGTCGACTTTGACTGAAATTAGTATTTTTGGATCGAAAAGCCTGATGGTCAAGCTTGCCCTGAGAATGCTAATTGCACGAAGAGGGATGCGCAATTTTACCATGTCGATTCTCATTCCCCATTACCTGTACTCCCGCCGTAAGGAGTAAGGAAAGTACGGTGGACTGGTGCTGTGGAACCTCAGTACCTCCTTCCCCGTACGAGTACCTTATTTATTCAGCATCCCAGCCCTGGAGGGGCAGTCAGCCGTCGGGGCCCTTCAACCCTCCAACCACCAACCAAACAACAATATCACAATCGCTTCTTCAGCATGTTCTTCAAACCCATGGATCCGGGATTTAAAGCACCGCCAAGTCACAGCGGCGATCCCATCGGGAGTTTTCCCTGGCCTGTCGGTGCCGTTACATAGCCTCGCCAAGACTCCTAACCCCAGTCACCGTCTGTGCAGAAACCGCATCATGCCCATGGTTTGGGTTTAGCATGGAGTTCTGGCCACACCGATCGGCCTGGCCAAGGCCCGGGGAGATCAACACTCGGACACTTACACGCCATGACCGACACGACCACTGACACGAGCCAAGCCTCAGAGTTCTCGTCAACAATTTCGGTCAACAGAGTTGATGTCTTAACTGTCCTCACTTACACTCTTACGTCTCCGCCGACTCTCCTCGAACAACACCAGACTTCAATGTGTCCACCGGGCAAAACTCTCTTCGCTTTCCATGGCGGAGCGTTCTCACCTGATTCCCATCACCGAGCGTGCCGCGTTCCTGGCGCGGGTCCATGTCGGCACCACCATTCCGCTTCTCGCCCTCTGTCTTGTCCCCTTCATCGCCCGGATATACGTTCGGGTATGGCCGGTATGGAGACTTGGAGTCGATGACTGCTTCATGGTGGCCGGCCTGGTAACTCCGCCGTCTGATCTTTGCTTTGGGATGGGAGCCGCTACTAATACTTCCCCGGCCGTATTGCCCGTCTCAGGTTTGCGCAATAGTCGATTGGGCCCTCCTTGAACCGGAGCTCTACCTGCAGCCCCAAGCGATCACCATCGAAGAAGCGGCATTCGCGGCCAAGCTCGCCTTTTTCGCCATCCCCGTGTGGTGCACATCCATGACCTTGATCAAAGCCTCGGCCGTTCTTACCATGCTCCGCCTTCCTCTGACACGAACCTCGGTCGCCGTGCTGTACTCAATCGTGGCTGTCCAGGGCACTTACTGGCTGGCTGACGTGGTCTATGCCTTCGCCAAATGCCAACCCGCCTATCTCGCCTGGAGCATAACCGACCGCGAGAATCATTGCCCCAGCGAACGGACCGATATCCTCGTTTCCAGCATCGGCTCGGCCATCAACATCACCACCGACATCATCATCTCCATCGCACCCATGCTTCTCTTCTGGAAGTTGAGACGCCCTTTGCGCGAGCGGATCCTCATATGCGGCCTGACGGGCATCGGCCTCGTCGCATCATTTGCTTCTGTGCACAAAGCCGTCATCGTGGGCCAGTGGGCCAACGTGAATGACGACAAGTGGGAGATGTCCATGGCAATCGCCACCTGGACCATCACGGAGCAGTTTGTTTCCGTCTTGGCTGCCTGCAGCCCGTCTCTCAAAGGGCCAATTGAGCGCCTCTTGAACAAGTTCGGAATTGCGCTCGTCGAAGATAGTTCGGACATATCTTTTGTGTTCGTACCCTCTCCGACAAAAGGCGAGGGGGTAGCGATAGAACGAGAAAGACAGGAGCAGCACAGGGGAACCTAGGTTGTATACTGCTACAACTCGTGATACTGCTGTGGCAGGCAGAGAATTTCGAGTGACAGGCCTCCTTTCCTGGCCCCGAGGAGTCGGTAGGGCAAACATGAAGCAAGGTTCACGGCGACTACGCCGAGAACCACCGCTTCGTATGCACTTGAAAGCCGCAGCCCTACGCTGCGCGGCTGGGACAAAGCATCGATGATGGCGAGCTAGGGACCGGGGCAATAGGGCTTTCACACTCAATGTCACAGACCGAGAGGCTTAATCTTGGCCTTGGCCCAGCCTGCCGGTCAAGAGTGTCATTGTGAGACGACCACGTCGAAGTCCTTGGGAAAACCGGTGGCAGGGTGAGTGAGAAGCCTACAGTTCTGATCTACCTAGTCCCTTCTAATAATCGACTGAACGATATTTAGGTAACTCAGCATCCTGCAAGATGATGCAACGCCAAACGCCAAGGACAGCAGCCGAACCACAGCAAACTCCCAACCTTCAAACCCACCTTCGGATTGAGAGGCAAGAGTGCCTCTACGGGTATATGCCACTCGCAGTCCCATACTCACCTGCGATACATCACCCCTTGATAACCGAGTTTGTCTCCAAGTCTGTTACCGAGGTCGACTTGTCCTTACAGAAGCTGCTTCCTACACTCTCCCCTAGTTGTTAACCCAAGCTGAGATTCCGAGAGCCACCTTGCAAGCCGCCCCAGGCGGCGACAGTGGCATCGACAAGGGTAGAGAGACATGAGAGACAGCCACAACTCAAACACAACCATCAATCCCCTTGTGGTGAGTTGGCTATCACGTTCGGCTGTAAAGGAAATCATTGACACCGAAAGGTCACCGGCTCGATTCCGGTCGAGGGGACTTCATTTTTGGTTATGAAATCACTGATGGTTCGACTACGTTGAATTATGCACAAGGATACGGATAGTGGTCCAGTATCTACATGTATCCTTCCGAGCTAGGTACCAGGCAGTGTGCTGGCAGTATCCAGCCCGTTCTCGTGTCACGGCAGCCTCCGACTTTACATCCATGTCTATTCCAGCGGTCACTCGCCAAGTCCCCTGTCTCCCGGGTCGGTATTATTGCAACTCCTAACGGTTGTCGATCCAATTGGTGATTCTTGTCGTGCGGAAATCTTGGCTGCCGCTCGGCAGATCTTGCACTTCGGCGTGTCTTCGTCCACCCCGAAACAAGTTTCAGAGGCTCAAAGCCGGCGTCGGTGAACCGACACTGTGCCTTAGCCTGAGCTTGAGCCTGGTGTCGAATCGGCTTGGGCGACGTCTTAATTGCCGGAGCAAAGTCAACAACAGTCTTAGTCTTAAAGCTATCATGGACTCACCCTTGTTCTTGTTACCAAAATACCAGGCATCTTCTGCTGGCGCGCGTGACTGTCAGTGCCAGCTGACGCATTTGAGTCGAAAGGTGTCGGTCAAAAATCGTAAATGAGAAGCCGACGACGAAGTATGCCGTGGGTAGTTGATCTCGTAAAACCCATCGCTGTTCCTGTGCGTGCTTTCTTTCCAACCCCCAGTCAAAGCTGCTTGAAAGACCGGCGAAGCTTGGATCAAATGTTTCGACAGACTTGGAAGCTGACTGGGTCGCCCGTTCGAAGAAAGTCGTGAGAGGGAGAAGAAGTTCGCGGGGTGGAGAGAACCGGTCACGGGGAGGAAGAACAAGGTTGTGCGGTGAGAGCAAGGCCGTATGGACACCTTCGTCCTGGAAGCAACCGCCCCATTGACACCAAGGCCATCCTGGCACATGCAAAGCGGGAGGATAATAGGTCCTTCATGCAGGCTGGGCCAACTTTCGAATCCCGGCGGGGTGCACGCTGCCCGGGTCACCTGTCCGTCACCATGTACCGGGCGTCGTCGCGGGCTAGCACTGCGGTGATGCATCCTGCGACGTGACATGCTTTGTCCTTGGGATGATGCATACATGGCAAGGCATCAAATGTTCCTGCTAGTGTTGCTCCGAGTCGTACATGGCCTGGAAGGCATCAACCTTCCGGGACACATGGATAGAGTGATATATAAGAAGAATGACGGACCCGACTCCATCTCAATTTAGTGCCATAAACAGCAGGACAATGAGTATCACAAGATGCAGGCTGACTTTTGGTGGCGGGCGGCTGAGCCAGGGAAGAGCAATAGTCTCCAGTCCTTTCCCGGGTCCTCGTCGCTACGACTGCCCCCCTGCTCATGTCGTCTTCCGAATCCGCAATCTCGATATAGGTGTAGCTACCTAGCGCTATCGATCTTTTCCTGTGGTATGGCTACCTCGATTCTAGCGCCTGTAGAGACACTTCGGAAAGATCCCGGGGTGACTGGTCGTTGCATATGTGCTGAGCCGAGACGAGGTGCGGGTGTAGGAGCGGTAAGGTAGCCGGACCCGACACAACGCCATTAGAGTCGTCAAGCTCTGAAGAGCAAGGGGTATCGGAAAGGTCTGACAAACTGGAGAGCTCGGTATCCAGTACAAAGTCTGAACGCCATGACCCAAAGTCAATGGCGTCTTCATCATTTTCGCTGTCCATTGCGTTTTTGTCTCCCCTCGGGGCCCTATCCACCTTCATTCTCGCAGTGCGGGCATGGAGCTTGATGCCTCTTGGATACAATGATTGTATCTGCACGCGCCTCGGCTAGGGCAGAGGCATCTTCCTCTGACTGCCCTTTGGGCTTGTTCAATCCAGCAGTTGGCGACAAGATCCAGGCCGTAGCCCGCTTCAAGATAACCGCCTAATCGAATCACCTCGTAATAGTTGCCCACCAGGTGCGGGACCACCGCTGACCATTCAATCCATGAGGAAAACGCGCCATCCGCGAGGAATAGCGGCCGTGGCTTTGGTAGTCTTGTCCGACACCCATGGCATGATGTTCCGTTTTGTGCCAGGAAGGTAACTCTTGACGCTGTAGTTGGATGATTCCGAGAGCGAGGTGGTTGTGACGCCAAAGTCCTGCAGCTCTTGGTGTAGCAATATGCCCATCGATGACGAAGTGGCATCCAGACCTTAAGACTAACCGTCAGTAATAGGATATTCAAGAGGGAGATATGCCAAACCTTCTGTATATATCTCAAGATGGGTTGTTGGTCATTTTCAGATAATCAGATTTCAGGGCTTCCTACGCCCAGCCAGATTCTTCCTTCAATCCAGCCCACAGTATCTTCTTGAAACAAATCGACGACGCCGTGATGACTATGGATAGGATTCAGCAAGATCGTCGCGCGGCGGCTTGACACTCCCGGGTCGTGGCGATGGAGTTGCGGGCGCGGGGGCGAGCTCTCCGAGGTAAGTGGATGCACCGGTGAGTTCAATGAGAGGATATTGACGACGATGTCAACGCTCAGCTTGCCAAACAGACACGGCGGGAACGGCGAGCTCTGCCGGGTCAAGGACTGTCATTGTTCGCCATGGCAACGGGGAGAACTTGCTTAGGGGCGATTAGTAGGAACCCAGTTTCAGACTAGACTATGCCTCTGGCTCTCTGACAAAGGGGCAAGATGGGTCGAAACATCTATGGACAGATTTGAGTGTAGGTATATATACTTGTTATCCAAGGCGAGAACTCAACGCAATTGCCTGCTTGCTACTATTCTCCTTGCTGGTTGCACTTCTCTCGTATATAGCTTGACTACCTGATTTCCAAGAAGCCAGACAAACCGGCGTACCAATCAGCATTGTTTGTCGGCCAGCCCGTCATAGTACCTATGTGGCTGGTAACTCCAGTGTTTGTCTGTTTTAGCAAGCCCAGTAGCAGCTTCAAACACCAAATATCCTCTCTTGCACCTAAATGCGCAGTTAGATCTGAGAAGAGAGTAGCCAAGTCCTCTCATCCGGGTTTCAGTGCCGAAATGCTGACAACAGCAGTAGGAAGCACCTACGGAGATGTCGTGATAACCAAGACTTCTGTGTGCTGTTAACTTCTGACACTCACTGACGGCTGACTCAATGGTAAAGCGGCGGCGATGCAATCACAACAGTTTGCTTCATGACGCCATCAACCCGTCTAATACCTTGACCGGCTCCACAAATGCTAAGCACAACAGTATTGCCATCATGCCATGATACGAACACAAGGAGAAGATCCAGGCCAAAGTGGAAGCCCTGCCTGACCGACTGAAGAAGCCCCGGACCGAGAACTGGCGGGGAAAAAAATAATAAGAGACAGCAAAACAGAGGGGGTATCTCAGACAATCCTAACCCGACAACAACCTGCAGATGATGACCGTTCCGTACCGTACCGTCCCGAGCTTCTCCCCGTCACTTTTGAAGAGAAGGGCCGGGGCACGTCACAAAAGTAGGAGACCTACACCTCAAACCTCAAAACACCCTGCGCACCTTCTCAGCCCTGCCCGCCTCATCGCTACCCCAGCGATCCTCCCACAAGCCCGCGGCCAGGTAGCGCCATCCCATCGGCGAACCCATCCCCCAGCGGTTCTTCATCTCGGCCAGCGTCACGGGCTCAATCAGCTCATAAAGCTCCAAGATGGGATATCCGTACTTGGACTGCTTCAAGCCCTGGTTGAAGTCGTCGTTGCCGATCCCGAAGGGCTCGGTGGGCACCGAGCCGGGGGTGTGCCGGACCGTAGGCGGGATCACGGCGATGTGGCTGCAGTGGATTGATTAGCTCATCATTGATTCAGGGTTAGGGTGGGAAGGTATTGTATACATACGTGATGGCCGATCGACCCTGGCCTCCCTCACGGGTCTCGTAGAACCACATACGCGTGATTCCATCGCGAAGTCTGTACTTGCGGTATTCGTGGTTCTTTTGCTGGCTGGCAATGTTGGCGAGGTGGACGGGTTTGATGGCCAGCAGGACGTCGGTGTCGACGCGCTCAGAATTGGGACTGCTGCTCGGCGGGCTTGACTTGGGCTTGGCAGGCGACGCGATTTTGGTCTTGGCCGCCTTTGGCGATGTCTTCTTGACGCGATGAGTCTCTTGACGAAAGCAGCTGTTGATGGTGGTCTGCCGTAGGGCTGGGCGTGAAGGTGCAACTTTTGTAGATTTGTATGATGCGATTTGCAATATGTTGTATTGTGGAAGGAAGAGCAGTTCAAGTTGCTGGCCGTCTTTGTGTTAATGTGTTATCGTATGTATGTACCGGTACCGGGTGATGCGCGTCTGATCAATTGACTGATGAAATAATTAGTGACAGGGAAGCTAGGACCACCGCGCCGTTAGCCCCTACCTAACCACTTATTACCTCATCACTCTTATCAGCTGTCAGTAGGCACCTGTCCCACAGCACCATCCACTTTGAGCTTTCATGTGAGAAGGTATCAGGCCTGGCGTCAGATGGAAACATTTACGGCAGCAAAGGCACATACGCATCTTAGTTTGCCCAAGCTTAGAGCTCATCTTGTAAGCACCTCCTACGCGCCGCCTCTGATCCACAGTGCCTCTTTGTCGGAGAGCTAACCGTGTGTTGGTTGCTTCTGAGAGTTGCAGGCTTCTGATATTTACACAAGGGACCCTCGAACAAAGAAGATTCCCGGAAGCCGCGACTGATTGCGAATCGCAGTTTCATCGCGCAGGCAGAGTCAAGTCTCAGTACTAAGCTTGGAGGAATGCCATGGCTTCCTCCAGCCGTGGTCCTCACCGCCAGCACCATTCCTGCCGCGTTGGGCCGTTGCAACTTCCTGGCCGCAAACCCGACAGACCTGGTTGAGGTTGAGAGGGGAAGGGGCAACTGCATGGTGTAACGCTAAAGTCTAGTCAACTGTTTGTTGCTGAAGCTGTATGTACGGCTAGCTCCCTCGGATTTCTGGCCCGGTCCTCAGCCCTTAGCATCTCACCATCATCAATCTGGCCTCTTTCACTAAAGGTTGTCGAGAGGGCAAAGAATCGGCCGGGCCCAGTCTCTGACCAGGCACTCGCTGCCCGAAAGCTCATGGCCATGCTTGCTCCTCTCGCTGAGGAATCGGATGGCGTGGGCCCTTCTTCGTCGGCGTCTTCTCCCATCAATTATCACGAGATCCTCGCTGCTACAAAGGACCTGTTGCTGTCCCTAACCCCAAACAATCCCATCTACGCTGCCTTCCACGATGACCAGGTGCATGATCCGCTGGGAGCTGGAGCCTATGCCTTCCGGCATGACCTCGTTGAACCTATCCTGCTGGAACTTGTGAGCGACGAGCTCCTGAGCCGCGACCCGGACCTCACAGGCAAGGTTGAACGAGAAGCCAATGGGAAGGATTTGGACAGTAGCAGCACGACTGACGGCGACTCGGAGGAGAGACAGGTGAAAGTCGACAGGCAGCCCCCTATTAACGTTCCAACCCGCCCTATAATCATCCATGCCGGTGCCCAGCCAAATAATTCTCCCCACTGCGGCACATTGGTTGTCTTCTGTTACGCTTTTGCCTTTGCCCGGGCAGTACGGGACCGTCTACAAGCCCAGACCGCCGGCACTCATCTCGATCCGCCTCCCGTATCCGTCGAGATAACATTTGTTGACACAGCGCCGGTCGACGGCGAGGGTCTCGAAATCAACGGCATCCAATACCAGAAATCATATCGCGATGTCCCCGGCGCTCTCGAGACCTACATGGGCGACTACCAGGAGGTCCTCAGCCTCCTAAGCACGTGGTCTTCCATTCCGTTCACCACCACCTTTCAATCCCACTTCTTTTCCCATCCCAGCATGCCATCTATCCTCCGCTACGTCACCACCCACCACTTAACCCTTGGCCGCCAGCTCTCCCCAAAGCACGGCAAGCTAGCCCTTCGCGCAGCTTGTCCGGTGGCGGGCTGCTCGCTGGCCGAGAAACACGGCCGACTAAACACGTACCACCCTTCTTCCTCCACCGACACAGAAAGAATTACCCTCCACTGCCCGCGCCACGGCCCGCACACGATCCGTCTCACCAACCCGCGCGAGGTGGCCCGGCTCGAGGCCAACGCGCCGACGCGCAACCTGCTGCGCAGCATGAGCCAGCTGCTCGACACCCGCGCGCACCACGTGCGCGTCACGGGCGCCGACTACGCGGGGACCTACCAGGAGGCGCTGCTGCTGCGTCCCTTGGCGGCGTGGTCGGCCCGCACGGGCCTGGCGGCGGGGAGGACACCGCATATTCTGTACGCACCCCTGGTGGTGGACTGGAGGGGGGCTAAGCTGTCCAAGTCGCTGTATGTAAGGGAAGGGGGGTATGATATGATGAAGGTTTTTGGTACGGACGGGCTGTGCAGCTATCGAGTGCTCAAGGAACGGGTTGGTGGCGGTGCGGAAGGGTTGAGGAGGGTCTGGAAGGAGATGGGGAGGTGGATGGAGGATCCCAAGAGGTTGTCTAGGGCGTGGTCGGTTGAGTATTTGGCTGGGGTAGTAATGGGCGAGAAAGTTGAAGATGGTGCTGGGAATGTGGACGGTGTTCACTGAATCTTGTGGGTTCAGTCAGGGCTGGCAGCTACGAGAGAGGCTATGATTTGCTTCGCGGACGGACATTGAGTTTGTTAGCAGGCGTTGAACGGCGTCTTGGGGAAGCATACCCCTAATTGGGCATAGAGAAAGCAAAGAGGGTTCCTCGGTGAAGCCAGTGCATCAGCTAACGGGTACCCGATCAACTTATCAAGTGAACGCAGGGCGAGTCGGGCGAGCCTCGCAGGACACGGCTCACACAATGAGACCGGAGTTTTACAATAGGAGACAAGACAGGGTATCAGAGAACGTTTCCGTTCCTTCAGGCGCCGCGAGGAGAAGGCGACTCAAGAAGGCGACGCCTGACCCTATGGTAACACAGATACAACCAGATCATGCCAACGGATCGAACCCGCTCTCGAGCATCTCAACAGCCTTCTTGGTCGCTTCATCCAAACTCTCTTCCGCCAGCCCGAGGACCTCGTTAGCCACGTCCTTGGAGAATTCCAACTCGCCTGCTCTAGCGCGCATGAAGTGCCTCGAATACATATTCTTTGCCCTGCCCGTGATGATGCCCTTGGCGAACTCGTCCAGTCCCTCCTGAGCCCGCTTCTCGGCCGGCTCATACGAGATAGCCCAATCCTCATCCGTCGTGCCCAGCACCCGGTGCAGGCTATCTAGCATGTCGCGCTGGGTGACCCTGAAGCTCCGAACATACACAGGCTCGTTCTTCCAGTCCTCCAGCGCGGGCGACGCGCCGCTCTCGGGCAGGTTGAGCAGCGCTGTCACGGCACGGCCACACATCTCCCACGTACTCACATTGAGCGCCGTCTTGCCGTCGTCGAGGAAAACTGCCTTGCGGCTTTTGATATCGAAGCCAAAGAACGCGTCGCCAAGTGCCAGGCTCCACTCATACCAGACGCCGCACGCCAGCGTGACGTACGACAGACCGAGGCTCTCGATTTCGGCGATTTGCGCCATGACGATGGCACCAAGGGGTTCGTTCGCCAGCGTGGGGTTGCGAATGTCGGCGCCGTAGCAGTTGGGCATGACGTACGGGACGCCCGCGGAGGCCGCTGCCTTGACGAGCTTGCTGTGCGTGTCCGGAGGCGCGGTGATGGCGAGGGCGATGATGAGAAAGTCCTGGCCGCGGAGAGCCGCGATCAACGTTTCCTGGTCGTTGTAGTCGACTTGGACGCTCTTGACGCCGTTTGGCGGAGCACGTTTGCTCTCGGCACGCGTCAAGGCGGTGATGGTGTGCTTGCCCGTCTTAAGAAGCTCAGTCACAAGTGCTTGGCCGATGTGTCCAGTGGCCTATTGATCGTTAGGGACTGAAACTGGCGTGGAGCTGAGTAGAATCGGATCGGGATCCCGACAGGAAGTGAGGCACGGTAGGAATGACTTACGCCAGTGATGGCTATCTTCTCGAAGGTCTTTGGCGGCGCCATGATTGACTTGGTCTCGAATGCTAAGCCTGAAATGCTTGATCGGTGATGGAGGCAGGAGAAGATGCCGAGATTACCATCTTATACACGACGGGCCTGTTATACCGGGGAGAACGAGCAGCCCGGCGCCCGAATGTGTTCCGCAAGGATCATCGTAGTCGTGGGTATTGCTCCTGGTTGGCGGCAGACGTTTAACCTGAGCGACGACAATTGGGCCGACTCGGCGTGATAGTAGTCCCGGCGAGTATGCGACGAAGGATCTGGGAGACGGGAATAAAGGGTCGAATCAAGATAATCGTGGTCTACTTCTCTATATACCCAGCGGAGTTAATGGAGTTTTGCGGAGATTGGGTTCATATCCATACCAGAGAGTCAGAGACGCTCCTATTCCGTCGGCTATAGCACAGCCCACGGATCATGGATGCTATGCACATGGCATGATGGCACTCTGCTCTCTCTGGTCGTGTCTCCTACTCGACGGCGTCTATGATATCCCTCTATGGCCGCCAGCCCTGCCTCTGCACGTATCGGGCAGTGTCCGTAGCAGCGGGAGAAGAGGCGGGTAGCAGCGGAGGTCGGCCTGTCATAAGATTTCGATCAGTTCTGGGTTGTGACGTGCACTGAAAGACGCTCTATCATGTAGCCTTAACCTAGTTGATATCAACTAACATACCATATGTATCCGTACTCGCATCAATCTGCAACAGCACAAGAGCTGGATATGGACTAGGTTTGGTGCCTCGACCTCTAGCTAACGAGGTGTCACTCACTACGTCAGGGCATCAGCGAAATGACCATGCAAAGATTAACCATGATTCAGTATATATGTGTGAACCAAAAGTGTATACAATGTTGTTGCGTTGCCAAGAAACCCCTATCCATGACTGTAAACAAGTAACGCCGGCGCTATGCATCGAAAAGACACATACCAAACCTCCTTAATCGCATTCATACATTACAGCGCCATGTTTACGAGTATGAGTAGTGTTGCTTCGCGTGCATTGTTCCCGGCATAGACCAATTCAACGAAGCATGTAGGAGAGATCAGGCAGGTTGGCGAGGATGCGGCGTGCTGCCTCGTCGTCGTTGCGGTAAGCTGCGTCCACCGATGACAGCTTTGGCTGGTCCAATACCGAAGACTTGGTGCCTGAAATGGAAGAATCTGCTTGAATTGTTGATACAGAGGCGAGCATGGGCTTGCTGGCCAAGGCCTCCAGCGAATTGCGCGCCCTAGCGGAGTCGCCAGCGTTGGAAGACGGTTGAACTGGGCCCGGTTCGAATATCGACAAGTCAACGGAAACCCATGCATCGTCTGCGGATCCGCCAGGGTTCGCTGCTTCGGGAGCAATGATGGGTGCGGGCGTAGCTGTAGTCGAAGGAGCCGGACGGATGGCTTGTTGTGGAGCTGGCACGGGTGCGACTGTGAGTGCGCTGCTCGAGCTGTGAATCTGAGACGCGGCTGGTTGCAACTCGGCCGGGGAAGAGACTATCTCACCCCACTCTTCGTCTATATCGTCGTTTTTCACTTTATCGACAAAGGGGTTTGAAGGGATCGGGGGCACTGGGCCCTGGGTTGCAGTAGGTTGTGTTTCAAGGGCAAGTCCTTCCCTTGGCTTGTCTGGAACATACGGCGTGGTGACCAGGGAACTAGAGGGCACAGCGGACGTCGATACTGGCGGCTCAGGGGTGCCGGATGTATTTGTTACGCTTTCAGGGATAGCAGGGCCGCTCCAGGCGAATACTGCTGGAAGTTGGCCCGTACTACCCGATGAGCCATGCTTTGAGCCTTGCAAAGTCTTTTCGACGGGATTGTCAAAGCTTCCAGGGCGGCGTCCGGCGACATGGGAAGACTGGTGTGATGGCCTTCTCGAGCCACATACTTTCTTGCGGAATACGGCATCCAAGGCAACAGGCTCAGCATTCGAGTCCCAACCAAACATATTCTTCTGGGTCTTCGAGACCCCACCTCCAAGGGCAACACGCCCTGCGATGGAATCTTCTTCCATCCATCGGCGCACGATTTTGATGGTTTCGTCGTGAACGATCGACGACGGCCACGCTACTCGTCTGTACGAATCGTCGTCTCCGGCATTGTGCCTGCGAGATGACCCTATCCGGGAGACGCGGTACCAGGTTTTGCGCTCCGATATTTCAGTAAAACTATCGCGTATGATATGATCCGGTATTTCAGGGCTAACATCGTTGTGGATGTTTGGTACCCCCGTCGAGGCTGTCTCGAATAGCTTTCCAATTGCGTCTAGGTTCACAACAAAATCCAGGAAGCAAAACTTGGCATTTGTTGACTCGGAAAGGGATGAGCGTCGTGGTGAACTCGGTGATGACACAGCTGACGCCTTGGGAGGCGGTGACTCCTCTCGTGGCTGGGCTTCTTCTGGCGCGTTGACAAGTGTCGATGGTTCATCCTGGCCAGCTTCCTCGAAGTCACCAAATTCCCCCGCATCGTCTGAAGCGTCTCGTTCGCCCAAGCTTAATGGGCTTTTACTGCGGTTCCGCAAGCTAGGGAGGCACTCTTGGCTCGCCGCCCGAGCAAGCCTGTCAAACTTGACGACGAGCTCTTGAACCTTCCCAGAAGTCTTACGGGATTCCGGTCGATGTATGCTGCGTTCATCATCGATGGACGTATTCGACGAGTCCTGTCGTTCTTCCTCTTGGTCCGTGTTGTCGTTGGATGCAGTGGACGACGGATAGTCCTTGTCCTGGGCCGCCAGTTCAACGCTCAACCTTGCCACGTCAAGGTTTGTGCCGTTTTCCTCTTTCTTTTGACCATTAACGGCTGGTATCGAATCCGAGGACAGGGGACCGACCCCTGCAGCCGTCTCTTCCGGAGTCGCCGTATTGTCCGAGTCTGACCTATCCCAAACTCGTTCAGTCTGCATCTCAACATCAACTTGCGGAGTGACCGTAGGCGACGTGTGAGCGGGCGATGCAGGGTCGACCATCAGACGAGGGGTCGAGGCACCGTCAATTGACCCTCTGCCGGAAGGAAAGCCGCTCGCCCAGGGGTCCGGAGACGGCTGTCGAAAACCGAAGCCATTAGCCAGCCTCGGGTCTGCAACATTTCCAGGCCATGCGATTGGGCTTGCCTTGCCAAACACGTCGTCACGCGTAGGTGGCGTCAGGCTTGAACTCAAGGCACCCCATCCGCTCGCCCAGCCCGCTTGCGCTGCTGGCGCGTCCGGAGCCGCCGCCCAATCCCCGAATCCACCATCGCTCCCTCCCCAAGGGGACTGTTCCAGGATAGGAGGGACCTGCGGCGAGCCGGAAGCCGAAAGGAAGGCACGCGGCGGAGGGGCAAGACCGGACCTTGCAGACGACGAGGCCGGCTTTTGATCCTTGTCCGAAGCCGTCGTGGCCCATGGTGAGCCCCACGGATCGTCCATCGTGTGTCGCGACAATTGTCATGTTGTGGGGTTGGAGCGCTGTTCTTCAGCTCTGCATGTCGTCTGATGAGAGAACGAGTTCTGGGACCTGTCAGCCCAGTTGCCAGGTTCGCGTCGCAGAATTAGGCAGCGGAATTGAGCGGATGACGCGGCCGTCACAACGACGCTGAGGAGCTTCGGTAATGCGCAGAATCAGCAGAATGGCAGAGCTAAATTTGAATCGACTCGACGATGTCGACACGTCTGGGTGGCATTTTCTTCTGCATCCCTCCTTTTTGACCAGTGATGGAATTGCCCTGCTTGGACGTTGGGAATTGAGGTGCCCCTGGACTGGCCTGGAGGTTCCACAAGCCGTCTTGGCTCCTCGGGCCTCTTGGCTCGTTTCGGCCCATTCTGGGGCCGCTGAAGCCTGAAATAGATCCAAGTCTTGAATTTCCCGGACTTCGATGCTGCTTGCTCGAGTCTCGTTTTCCTTCAACGCTGCCTTCAAGACGGAAGAAGCCAATTTTTATTCGTCTTCCCGTAGAGATCCTCAACCTTGCGCAGCCGAATGAGTTTACTGTGTGTGGCATCAGCTCAATCAGGTACTTGGGCTACTCACAGCATATCTATCCGCGGGGATAGAGCGATGTCCCCACCCGCGTTTGCTGATAAAGCAGGCCGATAATGGCCGATGGAGGGGCAATTGTTGAACTCGAGAACGAGAGCCAAAATTCGCTACTCAGAATCTCTGCCCATATAGCATCATCTCGATCCCCTTGAGAGACGGGTTGCCGGTGGAAGTCCCAGAAGCACTGTTCCTATTTCCGTCGCTCCAGTTGGGAGACTCGGAGCACCTGCAACCATGTCACTCTCCAAAGTCAAGCACATCGTCTTGGTTCGTGTTCTCCCTATCCTTACGCTTGGCCCGCTCATCGTCCTCTCTACCATGCTGATGACGAGTTTTCCAGGTCCTGTCGGGCAAAGGGGGTGTTGGAAAGTCATCTATCACGACTCAGCTTGCGCTCTCACTGTCCCTTGCCGGCCACTCCGTCGGGGTGCTCGACGTAGACCTCACTGGCCCCTCCATCCCTCGCATGTTTGCCATCGAAGATGCAAAAGTAACACAAGCGCCCGGTGGGTGGCTCCCCATCCTCGTGCACGACGCCGATCCGTCTGGGGGAATTGGCTCTCTTCGCGTGATGAGCCTTGGGTTCCTCCTACCTCGGCGAGGCGATGCCGTCGTCTGGCGGGGCCCCAAGAAGACGGCTATGGTGCGCCAGTTTTTGTCAGACGTGTTCTGGGACGAGTTGGACTATCTCCTCATCGACACGCCACCCGGAACCAGCGACGAACACATCTCCCTGGCCGAGACGCTACTGCAGAAGGCGCGGCCGGAGCAGCTTGCCGGCGCCGTTGTCGTGACGACTCCGCAAGCGGTTGCTACGGCCGATGTCAGGAAAGAGTTGAACTTTTGCACCAAGACTGGAATCCGCGTACTTGGCGTTATTGAAAACATGAGCGGCTTCGTGTGCCCCAACTGCAGCGAATGCACCAATATATTCATGAGCGGTGGAGGTGAAGTAATGGCAAAGGATTTCAACGTCCGGTTTCTCGGCCGTATCCCCATCGACCCTCAATTTCTGGTATTGATCGAGACGGGTAAGACGCCAAGATACCCAGAGGGCACAAAGGTCAACGGACAGGATATCTCGACCCCTGCAGGCGAAACCGTCGCCGAGGATGGAACACGAGACTCAGGCCTCCTGGTACACAAGTACAAGTCTTGTTCACTGGCCCCAATATTCAACACCATCACGGCCGATGTCATAAGTGCAGTGCAGCAGGGGGGTGGCAAGGAGCGTTGAGCCTTTTCCAGAGATTGGACCGTTTGCCCAACCTTATTGGAAGCCGAGATCCCCAATGGCACCCGCGCTGCCATTGTCTCGGCTGATGAGCCGCTCGACGGCAGTGAAGCGAGCCTCGCCAGCAAGATGCAACTGCACGAGGCATTTTTTTGGCCTATGATACCCTGACCGGAAACATGGCATCTTGGGTCGACCAGTAAGAGCCTGAAGTGTTACCCTTAATCAAGATTGGGTCGACAGATTTTTAACGCTCAACTGCAATGCAGGACAATCTTCTCTCCCTCCATTGCTCTGATCCAGCCGTGTTGTGCTCCCAGCCAGCAACCTAACGAGCTAACCAGAGGTTTGCACGGGCACAAGCTACCAAAATAGGTGTTTGACATTGGCAAATGCTTGAACAGTTCCGTCATAGCTTCTATGACACTCGGGCACTTGCCATTTTTGTGCACGCTTTTAACGTGGGGTTCATCGCGTGTGGTGGAACGCGGTAGGGGTTAAAAGTGCTGTACAGCACTGTACAAATACAAAGACTACCGGTAGAGACATTCAGGTATCTTACATGAAAGTACTCCGTACCCGAGACTTAATCGTCAGTAGCGCAATACCTGGACGGTTCGCACTCTTGCGTGCGAGCCACTCAATACTTATGTAAAGTACCTATCTTGGAGCTTTTTCGTCGAAGTGCAATGTTTCTGGACGCTTATCCACGACCCAACTTGGCTGCAATCGATGTTCATACTCACAGGCGGAATGTATTGTACTGTGCAGTACATAGGTATGGTCCCTGCAGTGGAACAAGTACACACAGTACGGATCAAAGCTGTTCTTTACAGTGCAAGGGAAAGCCCCACTAGGTGCGACACTTGGCGTCCACAAATTTGGTGCCCCGCCAAGTTGTTCCAATCCCAACCCTCCATGAATATCAGAAATTTCGCCAACCCGTCACCGACTTTACATCTTCACATTTGTCTCTTTGGCTGCCATTGTTGCCATTTTCAATCTGGAACGCCATTGTCATAGCCTCCACCTCCCAGGCAAATATCAACAGCCTCGGATACGGTTTCAGCGTCAAATCACCGTGATAAGATTCCCGAGAGCTATCACTGTCATGTGCTAGAGCAAACTCCCGCTTTCCAGTCCGCGCACTGCTGTCAGGTTTGCTCTTGGCATACCTTATTCCTTCTCGGTCTTGTCCCCGGTCAATGAGCCCTATCGACCTCCTCCGCTTCCTTTCCAAGCCGGCAAAGTACGTGGTTCATCCACCGAGCGTTGGTCGCTTTCGGGTGGTTGCTGACCTTTCTGCTTCACAGGCCTCGATAGCACCGTCCTCACCAGTCGCTAGCCTAGCCTCCCTTGAATCGCCTAGCCTTCTTCTTCCTTGGTTGGCTTTATTACCATCATCTTCCCGATACTCGGTTCCAAGTATCGACCCAATTGCAACCACGGCTCACTCTAAGCGCAAGCCCAACATTCAGTTCTCAAAGCTCCTCAACCTCCCGCTTCGCGCCCGACCCCCATAACGTCCCTTTGGAGACGTTCGGCCATCTCACCTACGCACTGTAGCTGGCTCCGCCAGCACTCAATCGGACACCACTTTCCTGTGGGCCTACTCTCTCAGACGGACGCCGCAAGGTTCGTTTGAGTGGCAGCTAGTGTCCCGCGGACGCTTCCGTTATAGCTCGCACGACCAGAACCCGTCTCCAACTGACGATGGTCCATCCCACTCTCCCGGACAACTACACTTTCTCGCCGTCGGAAGGAAGCCTTCATCTGACCATTAATCATGATGTCGCCGCTGACCTAGACTCGACAAATGCCTTTGAAGGCCCCGAGAAGCTTCTCGAGGTTTGGTTTTCGCCGAGCTCAACTGCCCTTCCCCCGGGCGTGAAGGAAAATGGTTTGAAGGCTGTCAGCCCCTCCACGTGGGAGGGCATGTTAGACCAAGTGAACTGCAAAGTCCTTTCGATCGTCAAATCGGATCATGTCGATGCCTACCTTCTGTCCGAATCCAGCATGTTCGTTTTTCCGCACAAACTCATCCTCAAGACGTGTGGAACAACCACCCTGCTGCTTGGCCTACGCCGCCTCTTGCGCATCGCTGCCGTGGACGCCGGGTTCCCCTTTCATAATGCCTCGTCGCTGGATGATATCCACGTCGCGGCAACGCCGTACCGTGTGTTCTACAGTCGCAAGAATTTCCTGTTCCCGGACAGACAGCGCGGACCCCATTCGAGCTGGAAGGAGGAAGTCAAATTTCTGGATGATACTTTTGAAAACGGCAGTGCCTACATGGTTGGCAGGATGAATGCGGACCATTGGTACCTATACATGACGTCGCCGACCACCACCACCCTGACTCCCCCTCTCACCCCTCGCTCCGACAGTGGTGGCAGTCCCACTCGCAGCATCAAGATTCCCACGGGAATCCTCTTGCCTGTCAGTGGATCCGTCGATGTCGATGCTGACGAGACGCTCGAGATTCTGATGATGGACCTTGACCCGGAGCTTGCGAAGCAGTTCTACCTGGCACAGGCGAGTGCGGTCGCCAGTGAGCGGGTACCTTTGCAGGCTCAGGAAGCCCGGCGTGTTGCACAGGAGAGCCTGGGTGACATTGACGAGCAACGCCCTGGTGATGGAGACTCAGCATTTGATGTCTTCGATAACGGCGCCAAGTCCGATATTCCGGGAACTCCGGCTGCAGCTGATGAGCAAGCAGCGATTGAGGGTCTCACCACTGAAGGCCACGCGCTGGGCACTGTCGTGTCAGACACCTGCGGCCTATCCGAGGTGTATCCCACTTCGATCTACCGTGACGCCCGCATCGATGCCTATCTGTTCTCACCCTGTGGCTTCTCCGCCAATGGTGTGGTTCCTGCTCCGGCTGCTGCGGCAGATGATAGTAATGCTAAAGCAGCGCACTACTTCACTGTCCATGTGACGCCGGAGCCCATCTGCTCCTACGCCTCTTTCGAAACCAATGTTCCAGGAGGCCAGAATGGACGCAAGACTTCTGACGTTATAGACCATGTGGTCGGCATCTTCAAGCCCGGACGGTTCACCATGACTCTGTTTGAGGCCAAGACCAAGACTGTAGATGATGAGAGCAACTCACCCGCCACCCGAGAGGCAAGCCTCAAGCATCGCATGGACTGCATCAAGGGTTACCGGCGCATGGACCGCATTGTCCATGAATTTGATGACTACAACCTCGTTTTCCGCTATTATGAGCGTGAGGGGTGGGTTGGCAATAAAAAGGCGATGGTTGGTGAGGATCTCTAAGGGCTTATGCCAATGCCGGCCAGGAATGCAATCAGGTTACGAATTATGACCCCTTTACATGATTTCTGCTTCTTTCCCCCCTAAATTTGCCCCTGTCCCGTTTCTCCAGCCACATTTTCTTACTGCTTTGTGGGTGTGGTTGACATTTTGGTGGCTAGTATTCAACTCCTTTTGTCTTGGTTGACGTTGAATTGATGCACTCGTTTCGTTTTCGATAGTTTGCAGCAGGTGTGAAGCCTGTGTTCTCTGCGAGGCGCCATTCCAAGCGTTGTCACATTCCAGTCTTCCGCCTCGCGTACCCGAGCGCCCCGACCTCGCCCCAGAATGCTGTTAACCACATTGTAGGGGGCTAGCTGTTCACCCCACTGCAGGTTTTCAGGTAATCCGGCCAGATCCAGTTGCTTTTGGCCGTGCGTGGTCGTCATGCCTCCTCTTCTGGCTGTGCTTGATTCACTTCCCTCGCCTGTTGGGTACTCAGATTCTTGGAAGGATGGATTCCCATGCATTTCCAAGCTCTTGTGACTAGGCTACATAACATTATCCCTTGCTCCTCCCTAGGAGTCACCGGTTTGTTTCGCAACCTCGGACACAGAAGGCGATTTCAAGGCACTGAGTGGCCATGCCTCCGTCGGTTTCATACACCGAAAGCCATAGCTACGAAGGATCGCCCAGAAGACAATGGCTGCCTCCAGCCGTCCTCGTTGCTTTCTGTTCCCTCGGCGTTGCATCCATAGTCGGAGTTTCCATGTCCGCGGTGGTGTTTAGTAACGCCGAAGACCTGAAAAAGCCCGGAAATGCTGTGGCACAAAGCTTCGTTATGTTTGCCGTATGTTTCATTTCTCTCTGACCCAAATACAGTAGCGGCCACCAAAGTGGACTGTTTGTTTGCTGACAATACATCCATATTGATCCTGAAAGTCGATCCTGTCACTCTCCTACCTTCTTGTCCATGTATTCGCAGCCCGCAAAGGCGATGGACTCTACTTCGACCCTCCCATACCGGCATTCCGTCACCAGCTCCATGCCTCGGCCATCACCATTGCGAGGATCGCGGCAGCTATGTGGGCCAGTGCGGTCATCGCCGTCGCCATTGCATTATATCGCGGACACAGCGGGGGCGAGACCATCCGCCTAATTGTTGACATGTTCTCCTCCGCGACAGGATTCCTCTCCGAGTGCGCGATCCTTTCCGTCGTCCATTTAGCAAACCGCCCGTTCGACACAACGTGGATCTCGCCTATGTCGTTCGACGACTACGCCTCCACAGGAGGTGTATTGGACGTTAGAACAAGCTCCCTCACCATAGGCTCCGGCAACACTGGGGTATCTGGCAGGCTTGGCGGAAAGCAGATCAGTAATGTTACTAGTACCATGTCGCCTGGTAATATCAGCAGATCGACATCATCCAGCCAGTCACGAGCAAAGAAGATGGCACAAACGAGGCGATACATCATAGACGCACCCGGGTCCGTGGTTTTGACCCCTGTCATGCCCCAAAAGCCAAAAGCAACAGCGAACAAGCAGACAGGGAACGCGAGGGACGTGGCTAATCCTGAGGACGACATATTGGTGGAACCTCTGGAGTCCGTGTCATCTGCTGCTGCGGGGGCTAAGGACGGTATAGACAAGAGTAGGGTATCCATCGTGGAACGACCCATTTCGCCCGACACGGTAATCTACGTCGGGCCGAGCATTCCTCAGCGAACAGCCAGGTCGGGTGACGGCAAAAGGATTTCTCGCCCCGCACGCCGCCGGCCAGTCAACAGCCCCGCCGGGCCGAGGGCCCTGAAGAAAACCGTGGGTCAGCCGGTATCTCTTGAGCGGACCCCGGAAACGGTACAGGAGGCCCAGCCTGCTCCACTCGAAACTCCCGCTCCGCCGCCGACGCCTCCTCAGGCTTACGCTGTTCCCGGGGCGTGGCTGCCTCAGCCGAGTCCGGAACAGGAACTTGTCGGGTGCGCTTGAAGGGTCGGCTAGATTATAAGGAGCTCTTGGACTGACCATTAGACTGTTTCCCGTTTTGCCTTGCCCATCATTCATCCCCATGAGACTGTTGGCTCCACTACCGCTCATTAGGTACCCGCTGGATTGGTCTTCCTCACTGTGTCCCTTTCACATGCCAGTGGCTTTATAGTGGACTATTGATACGACATATAGATTGTCTTTTGGAATATGGATTGAGACTGACGTTTAAACGCCAGCGCGAATCTGGGGTCTAAAAGGAAAGAAGAGTTGGATCATTCCGTTCGAAAAGGGGGCTTACTTCAAGGGTGGCTTTAAGTAGTACTACCCAATATAAACTCCAAGTCTTCTTTACATGAACCTCGCTACAGTGCTGTTGATTATGAGGCGAGTAGTTGGGACTAGCTAACCCAAAGTCGCCACTTGCCGCGAAGCTTGAAGTCAGACTAGCAAAACCGCAACACAACACAGCTACCGCCAACATCTCTACCTTAGACGACCCGCCTTGTTTTACCCGTCTCTACTTCATACACCCACCCGCTAACAACGACCGAATCTGAGACCAGCTTTGACGCCCTCAGAAACTCAACATCCGCCTTAACGGCCTCATCGAGCTCGGGAAAAGGCAAAAAGTCAAGCTTCCTCTGGTGAAGCTCCTCAACGGCTTCCGCACTAATCAATCAAAAAGCACAAGTCAGCCTCTAATCGCGATGAGATATCAATAAAAGTACCAAGTACCAAGTAGGTAGGCGTCCTCAAACTTAGGTAAGGTAGCAACAATCCCACCCATCAGACAAAGGACTCGGCACTTCTAGTAGACAAACCAAGAAAGAAGACAAAGCAAAGCAAACTCACCCCAGCTTCTCCCCGACAATGCGGTATGCATCCTCATTCTTGAACGTCAGCATGCCACATCCGGTATGCTTCACCACCACCACCTCGTTGGTGCCCAGCAGCTGCTGGCTGATGACGATGGAGCGGAGCGCGTCGACGGCTGAAGCGCCGGCCTTTTGTTGCGTGTCAAGTTAGCAAGAGTTCGGGGTGTGAAGGGCCCGTTACGGTCCCGTTTTGCCAGGGAAATGTTCAAGCTATGCCTTCTTTTATGTTTGCATACCCCTTTCCCTGTCTCACACAGTCACAGTTAGGGATTCAGGGGTGAGGTGCCCGTGAGAGTACATGGCTACACGTAGGGGTAGGCAAGCCCATGGCATACAACAGCGAGGATAATACAAACAACAAGCAAAACGTAGAAAGCATACATTACGAACAACGTGCGCATCGCCCAGCTCGATGCCAAAGGCACGCGCGGGATCAATGCGGGCGTCCATGCAAGTGAGGACGAGGTATTTCTTTGCGGGCGGGAGGGCGAGGTGGCCCTGGGTGAAGGAGGCCGAGTAGCTGGCCGATGAGGCTTCGATGTTCTTTTGGATGGCCGTCATGATGGTGTGCAAGTCTGCTTTGCGAGTTCAGACGGAGCGAGTGTGAAGTATGTAAAACGGATTGCCCCTCAGTCCTCACTGCAGGAACACGCAGAATCAGGAGTATGAACTCTGAAACAGATCTCGCCTCATATCCACGACCAGGATGAAGCGGCAAGTCAAAGAGAGGGAAAATCTTTGGTTTATATACTTCGTATCCGTACAAAACTATCCAACACAAAGAAGCGATAAGGTACAGTACCATGGCAGATTCCCCGAACGCCTGGTTTGCCGCCAGCACCTCCCCGCATGATTACCAGAAATGCTTTGGGGCATGGCTTATTTGGGTAACCGTGGTGCTCCTCGCAACATGACGTGCTCGCCATTGGGACCTCATATGGCCCGTGCTATCCCCAGATCGAGCAGTATGCGGTTGCATCACAGAGCCACCGCATCTCGCCATCTGGATGATCCGCGTCTTTCCAGCTGTTGATGGTGGGCGTGCTGGAGCCTGTCTGAGGGCAATCCAGAGCCTCCCGCTCTTGCGCTTGGCAGTCGCTTGCTATAAAAAGGTGCTGAAGCCGTGGGCGAGAATTTCTGCCGGGAGATTGTAGATAGTAGTTTGTAATGTACAGGTAGAGAAACAACGGAAGCCCGCATACCGCCGGTTCTACGTGTAGTGCGACCCATCGATGCGGAAACTCCGTAATGTGCTTTGGAGGCACGAATCGTGGCTCATTGACTCCCATCGTCCCTTGCCCGCTTCTTTCCCTGTAGACGAGCTATGAGCTTCTCCTTCTCTTCTAGAGCACGCCTCTCCTCGTATTCTTGAGCCACCGCGTCGTTGCGCTTCCCGGATTTCTTATCAACATAGCTGTTCATCTTCTCCTTGGCTATATCAACCGTGGATGTGAAGGTCTGGTACAAACTCTCAGCCTTTGGCCCGTTTGGTTGCTGGACCTTGACCCTCGGTGCTTGCACATCCAAGACGCGGGGCGCTTCCCAAGTCGCCGCTCCAACCTGTCCGGATTTGACTGGGACGGGTAATGGCGTCAGACCAAACCAACGCCGGAACCAGTTCTGATGTGTAAGGAACGTCTGGAAATAATGCAGAGCCGTGGTCACGAAGAAGTAGAACTGTGTGCCGGCAGGCAGGAAGACCGAAACCGCCGTGGAGATGGGCGGCATGACAACAGCCATAATCTTCATCACCTTTTGTTGCTGAGCGGGCATGTAGGGGAGATTAATCTGATGGAGCAATCAGCAGCTGGAACGGGCAAGAAGCGCACGCACGGGGGGGGCCAACATACCCTCAAAGAACTAGTCAGAACAAGGCCTGTCATGATGGGCAATATGAAGTACGGGTCCGCAACGGTCAAGTCAGTAAGCCACAGAAAACCACCCTTCTCGAATGATGGCACCGGCAGCGCCGCCATGCCACTGAGGAGGCGAAACATGCCGATACCAAGCGGAAGCTGAATCAAAGGAGCCAAACTCTTCCAGCCCTTGTAACCCACTTCCCTGTTCATGCGCTGCAATCTCACTCGCGCATCGACAGCGGCCATATGGTTGCCCCCAGCCCAGCTCGCCATCATGGCAGTTTTCGCCTCGTTGTAGCGCGGGTCCCGCAGCAGCTGCTGCAGCTTCTGCGCGTTTTCCGAAGCGTCCAGTGTGGGCTTGGCAAGGACCGCCCTGATGCCGACGGCCACGATGGCGATGGACGCCCACCACGGCAGGCCGGTGTAGACATAGGTCGACTCAAGCAGCATCTGCATCAGCGACGTCGGGCCCCAGCCGTAGTCTAGCCCCAGTGTCTTGAGGAAGCCGATCTGTTCGGGTATGTCGAGGAGATCGCTCCCTGTTAGACTTACGGGCGTCGCCGTTACGTCGGCAAGCGCCGCGGCATTGGCGGGCGCGTCGGACGCAGCGGCGGAGGCGGCGGCGGGTAGAGCAGCGGCGGGCTGGGTCGAGGCATAGCGGGCTTGTCGGAAGGGGGCAACGAGGGGTTGTGTGGCTGCAGCGAGAACCAACGGGCGGTTTGTCCTCCTCGAGGCAGTCTCGGTCTTGCCGCGCAATGCTGTGCCGAATTGTTGCGACAAGGCCCGACTTGAAGGTTTCTGGATTACCTGGATATCTCTGGTCAGGTACAGGGAGAGGAACGGATGAAGGAACGAGTGTGCACATAAATACTTACTGCTTTGGACAGAGCTAGTAATGGCCGTGACTGCCGCAGGCCTCTGCTGGGAAGCATCTTGACGTCCGGTCCTCCTGCCTTGACAGGATTTGTACCGCTGTCGTTGGAGAACTTCAAGTTTGAGATGTTGAGTCGGCCAAAAATTCCTACTGTAGGAACCGCCAAGGTCCCAGGATCTTGGTTCGGCGCTCCGACCCGCTCGGCTAACCTCCATCTTGACCCCGATAAGATAAGCCTGATGCACAGCCACGTGCACTAGCTCTTTGTTGCGCCTGCGCCACGAATACGTACCTTTATCATTTTAGCAGAACCATCCGGTGACCGTGTTGGTTCGAGAGCTCCGCAAGCCATATCGTTGTCGGCTTTGCAGCTCCGTGGACTACCTGGAGTAGAGCTAAGGTAAGCACTGGGAATGTGAAGCACCGGGATGCAAAGCGAAGAGCCGTTCAGAGCAAAGGTAAGCTGGAATTGAGATTGTCTACAAAATGCTAATCCAACCAGCTGTTTCGCTTTGTCCCGGTTCATATGTGTGTGAGATGAGCGCTCCATTTGCAAGGTATGTATACATGTACCTTCTTTTTCGTCTTTCCTCTTCTCCCAGAGACTGTGTAAGATCCAACAACCTCGACAGCACACCTGCGCCAGCAGCATCTAGGCTGGCTCCCTCGGCCATGAGCCCGGATGCCCTGAGTAATAGATCCAACCAAAGGCTTCTGGATCGGCTGGCTTCAGCAGGTTTATTCCAGACTTGCTAAGTCATCGAGCACTGTATCCCTCCGTCTCGGCTTCTCGACCGCCTCAATGCCAGGACCGATGGAATGTGCTTGTTGCCTCGATACAGGGAAGACCTGGGACAAATTAGCAATTGTAAGCTCTGGGATATTGCGTTCACGCAAAAAAATGCTATCATCTAGCAATGCAGGGGGCGGCGCACCCGTGTGTTTGCCCACCCCAGCCTGAACGCAGTCTCGTGAGCGAAGAGCTCGCCCCACCCCATCATCATCCCGTTGATGAAGGGAAGCAACAGGTTGATTGCGGCGCCGCGGAGAAGGGACCAGATGGTAGGCGGCTTGTAGAGAATGACGGCCGGGGACGACGACGAAGGCGGGGAAGACCCGGAGTAGTGCTCGCTGTCGGACGGGATTGTGACCCCGGACTCGGCCATGGGATTTGGTGGCTCGTCTGATGCCATGATGCGGCGAACAATATCACTGAGTAGGCGTAGAAAGCGTAATGCAGCGCGGCAACACCAAGAGGTTCACGCAAGGTGTTGACCGCAAACGCTGACGGACGGCAGCTCTTCGGTGAGTTTCGGTGAGCTCGAGAGACCTGGGCGGAGGTTGGGAACCGAAGGTAGGCTGAAATCTGATCCTAGTCGTCGGCTTCGGTCGTTCGGGGGAGCTGTGGCAATATGGCTCGAGATGGTGGAGGAAGTTCGGTGTTGCGGCGCATATGTTTGCTTTCCGGTGAGGTGTGAGCTGGGGAAGGAGGAATGTAACTGAACCGAAGTTGAAAGCGGTGCTCTGTGCCAAGTTGAACGGACTTGGTACCAATACCTCAGTCAGTCCGTAGATACCCGGCCTTACTGCCAATCTGGGGCATAAATATCGTACCGCGTTATCCAAGGGTGTACTATGACATTCTGCAATCCATCACATAAGCCAACTGCAGCTAAGAGGGGTGGGGATGGCAGGGCAGGGGTACTGATGACGCGGGGCAGCAGTCGCCTACAATCGCCCAAGTTTACATCGCCCTGGGGTGCCTAAACTTCTTAAAGTTTCGAGAAGTCCGCTTCCTTTCACAAACCTCCTCCATCCGCCGTCAATCGTGCACTCGATCTGTGCTCTCCTCCTTGCTTTAAATTCATTTCCGCGACCTTACAACGGTCTAACATGGCGGACCACGATACGCTCATCAGCAATTTCTGCGAGTTGACGGGCGCTTCAACCGAACAGGTACTTCTTGCGACTCCAGCATTCCAAACGTCACGGCCACTTTCTAACCCTCCTAGGCTACCGAGTACCTCAGTGCGAGCCAGTGGGATATCGACTCTGCCGTTACGTCATATTACACAGACATGGATGAGGGTGGTCCGGCGGCCCCAGAACCAGAAGCCGCGGGCGCCGTTCCCGGTCCGGAATATACTGGCCCACGGACCTTGGATGGCCGTCCCGCACCTGAATATGCTGGCACTTCCTCGGCCTCTAGAGCCAAAAAACCACAGAAACGGACAGGCATTGCCACCTTTAGTTCTTTAGGTGCTGGGCATAGTCACGACGACGATGACGACGACGACGATGATGAATACGACGACGAGGAGCGGCGAGACATGTTCGCTGGTGGAGAGAAGTCAGGTCTGGCAGTCCAAGATCGGCCGGCGGCCAATGATCCGAGAAAGTTGATTGGTGATATTGTGGCCAAGGCGAAAGCGTAAGTCGCAGCCCGCTTCGGTTCCGGTTTCCCTCTGACATTGGTTTCAATTAGGAATGCGCGAGAGCCTGGATCTTCGAGCGCCGCGGGCCCCTCGAGCTCCCGTTTTCGCGGAGGGGGTCAGACACTTGGCGGTGATGGCGTAGAGAGCCGCCGGATACCCGACCCGCGTGGCAACCCCATTCCGACCGTCTCCAACGATGGCCCCGTGCAAGAGCGCACCCTCCATATTTGGAACGATGGCTTTAGCATTGATGATGGCGAGTTGCGTCGCTTTGACGATCCCAACAACCGCGCCGACTTGCAGATGATCCGAGAAGGACGGGCGCCGATACACCTGATGAATGTAAGGCTGGATCAGCGGGTGGACGTGAAGCTGCAGCAGCACAACGAGAATTACCGCCCTCTCCCCAAGGTCTACCGCCCATTTAGCGGCGAGGGCCGCCGTCTGGGAAGCCCCGTCCCTGGTGAGACGGCCCCAGCTCCGCCAGCAGCCGCTCCCGCTACTACTACAAGCACGAGCTCCACACAGCAAGCCTCAGCCTCGACAGGTGTGGACGAGTCACAACCAACGTTGATGCTCCGCATCCAGTTGCCTGATGGCACTCGCCTCCCTGCGCGCTTCAACACCACCCAGACGGTTGGTGATGTCTATGATTTTATCCAGCGCGCCTCCCCATCTGTCAGCGGCCGCCAGTGGGTGCTTTCCACAACATTCCCCAACAAGGAACACGAAGACAAAGGGTTGGTACTGGGCGAGATGGCCGAGTTCAAGAGGGGTGGGACGGCCGTGGTCAAGTGGAAATAAGCTGCTGAGAATGTGGATCTGAGCTCGAGGCGTGGCTCATGCATGCTGAGCCGGTTCGGGGTGCTGGGCTGTATAATAGCATGAATGGGAGAGATGAATGACAATGGCACAGTGAAATCGCCATGGTTCAAGCCACGATGCCCACCGTGACAGGGATGCTTTGGGATAGATTTCCAACGCAACTCAATAATCGCTATGCCTACCCGTCCCAACACTAACCAAATATACAAGTTCCCTCATGCTACCTGTATCCGCCAGCCTTTTGAACGCCTATAAACGCCCTTGCTCTGGGTATCACAACCCGTTTCACACATACATCAGGTACAGACATTGCCCGTCGTTTAGGTATCAGTCAGAGGGCGCCGCCATCCGCCAGTCGGCAGCGTATGTGCTAGGCGTGCCCGCAATCATGTGAGGCGAGCTCATCACACCGCCGGCACCGGGAATAGAGGCGGCAGCGGGCACGGCGGGGCCATCAAGAAATTTGAACCATGTGCGGGCGGCAGCGACGTTGAGCTTGGCGCTGTTGAACCTGGCCTCGCCGGGGGGCATGCAGACGAGGATGTAGGTGTTTGTGGTGAACTTGGTGGCAAACATGCTGAAGGTGGTGCCCATCTTGTACTCAAAGTCGGAGAACTGCTCGGCGTTGCGCGGCGTGCCCGTGTACTTGGAGCACGTGTGCTTCCAGCTCTTGAGGATGTTGCTCATGCGCTCGAACCGGTCCCCGTACGGGTTGCGGTCCCCCTCCCGGCTGGCCCACTTGGACACTACTAGGAAGCTGGTCCGCTCGAAGAGCAAAATCTCGTCGGCGTCGATGGCCACCCCCAGGCTGGCCAGCTGCGTTTCGATGACGGCGAGGTTGGGCACCAGGTCGTGGATGATGGACGCCCAGGCTTTGTAGAGGGATTGGTCCCATATGGAGGTGGCAAAGAGTTGCAGGTCAATGTCGGGTTCCAACGTGGGAGAGGTCATTCGCGGGTGTGTTGGTAGCCTCTGTTGTTGTTGGAGCTCCGGCTTCGCCTTGTGCATGATGGCAACCGCCTCGGCGGTTTTGCGGCGGACGAGGGCCGCTCGCTGGTCAAAGACGTCCTCGCGTGTAATGGGCTGGACGAGATCCATCTTGTGGATCAGGACAAAGACCTTGGCTTCGCGGGAGTACTGGACCAGGGCGCTGATGATGTTCACGTAGGTGGCCAGATCACGCTCTACATCACGGCTCTCAATGTCGAAGACGTAGATGAGCACGCCCACGTTGCTGAAGACGTGGGCGCGTTGCTGGGAGAGGTAGTTCTCCATGAAAGCTTCCTGGCCGCCACAGTCCCAGAGATTCAGGGTGAGATTGCCCAGGAACTTAACGTGGGACAGATCAATGTCGATGGTGGCGCCCCTGTGCCGGGGGGTCAGTAGCCAAGATCAGAAGATCCTCTGCATCCCAGGAAAGGGACAAAAAGGAGGACAAACTTACAGCCTCCGGGTGTCTCGGGCTAGGTAGTTGCTGAATATTATGCTGCGCATGCTTGACTTGCCCGATCCGCTCTTGCCCATCAGCAGCACCTTCTGCTTCTTGACCTTTTTGAGCTGCGTATGAGCGGCGGGCGGCCCCGATTCGCCAGCCGAAGGGGCCGCTGACGGCGCGCTCGTCGTCTCGAGATCGGACATGATGAGCCGTCAACTCATCAGTGGCTCTTATCTGTCTGAGCCAGAGAAACAATACATGCGCCAGACAAAGGGCGGATGTCGCACTGTTCTTGTTCGCACTGCAGGTGAGGGAAACTGTGTGGAGAGCGACGGACTCACCTGGAATGCCTAGTGTAGGCCCACTTCCGAGGCATGAGCATGATGCTAACCGATCCTGGAAGGGCGGTGAGTCGTCTTTGACAGACTCATTGACCTGCACCAAGGTGAAGGGTTAGGGTTTCCTAGGGTACTTTCAGCTGTTCGCATCACTCAGTGCATTTCAACTGAACCCTTCTTTTCACGAGTCTCGAGGCTCGAGCAAACTCTCCTCTTCACCTCCCGGGTGTTCTACGCATCTAACTATCTACTAACGTATGTGATCCTATCATGGCTGATGCGCAATGTATATATACTGACAAACTTAACAGGCTGCTTTGGCTGTGTAAACCATTTGCGTACCTTACATCGCTTACGCCGAAGTCTCACCATAAACGTTTAAGTTGGGCAAGATATGAGCCATCATGCTGCTGGATATCATACAATGGCCCATGCCGTACAGAAGTATTGCCCTGGGTGCGCTCATATGGGAGGAGTAAGCCATTCAAGTGAGAAGTTGCAACGAAGGGCCAGACATTCTGCCCATGGGCCATGAGGATTGAGGAAGAACTTCACCCATGCGCCTTGGTTATCTAGGAGGTAGGTTCAACCTATTCATTCTTCCCTGCTTAAGGCAGTCGATCGCACCTGCAAGATATCGTGCGACCTACAATAAGTTGCCGTCAAACATCGGCCACCGGCCAAGCGGAGACCGGCAACGACAAGTCGACGAGCCTACGAGCATTTCAGCAATGCCGAGCCCTTCGGCAAAGTATTACTGGTATTCTTGATTCCCGGTCTTTATTGCACGCATAAATCTTGCTAACAATCACACTATTCGCAGGTTACGACAATTGATCTCAGGTTGTCCGTGTTTGTGAGTCACGAACAATATGTCCAGCATATTGTTTTAGTCTTTTGTCCCATTGAAACAATAGGGGAAAAGAGCTCAACTGATGTCTTGACTGTATTACAGCCTTTTGACTCTGCCATACGTGGCAATAAAGGGCTGATGACAACCCGGAGCACCTGTTGAGCCAGAATCCCGTCTATATAACTGCCACTTCACGAGACCAACTCGAGCTCTCAACGTTTGCTCCTTCACCAACACACAGCCATCTTCCAGCCATCAGTGTGCAACATGAAGAACATTCAGCAACTCGTTCTCGCCTTCCTCGCAACCTCTGTTCCCATGTTGGCGTCTGCCCACATGGAGATGACCGACCCGCCCCCGTTAAGGTCCAAGCACAACCCCAACACCGGGCTCGACGGCGTTGACTACAGCATGACGTCGCCGCTCGCGACCGACGGCAGCAACTTCCCCTGCAAAGGCTTCCTAACCCTCCTGGGAACGCCCAAGGGCAAGCCCGTCGCGACCTGGACGGCTGGGCAGTCGTACAGCTTCACCATCGCCGGCGGAGCCCACCACAATGGCGGGTCGTGTCAAGCCTCGTTGTCGACGGACGGGGGCAAGACGTTCCGCGTCATACACAGCTATGAGGGTGGCTGCCCAGGTCAAGGAGTGTCGTCGTTCAGGTTTCGAGTGCCTGGAGATACCCCTGCCACCGAAGGGGCCGTGTTCGCCTGGACGTGGTTCAACAATCTGGGGAACCGGGAGATGTACATGAACTGCGCCGTGGTCAACATTGTTGGCGGTGGCGCCGGTTTCGGAGCAGAGAAAGTGGCATTTGGAGGACGGCCGGGCTTGTTCATGGCCAATATCGGCAACAACTGCAAGACGGTCGAGACATACAACGTCAAGTTCCCCGACCCGGGTCCGGATGTGGACTCCATCGGGAACGTTCATCCACCGGAGGGAAGCTGTGGAGCCGGCCTATCTTCGGGGTCCGGCTCGGGTTCGGGGGCTGGCACTGGCACTGGCTCCGGCTCCGGCACCGGCACCGGATCAGGAGACAGCACTGGAATCGGAGCCCCTGGTCAGACCCAGACCTCCGTTCCTGGTGAAGGCACTGGCTCGAGTGGGAGCACCGAAGGTGAGACACTCGTCTCTCATGCCCCTGCGGCATCGACCTACTCACACAACTGTCAGAAGACGATTCCGCCGCCTACTGCCCAGACTAACACGAACGGTGAAGGTGCCGGCCGGGGACCCGGAGAATGGACGCCGGGAAATGACTGGCCAGATTGGTTTCAGTCAGCCGGGTCCATGACATTTCTTCCTGCTTATCTCGTTCTCGCAGTATACTTCGGTGCAGTTGCCTTTTCATTCTTGATTTCCGGATAAGAACGAGATGCGATGAATAGCGCGCTCGCGACAATATTTCTCATTCCAATACCAGCATAGCGATTAGATCGGAGACTTCACAGTCTTACTGCCTCAACAATATCAACATTTCAGATAACAGCTTCTTCGTATTCCTTTGTCCCTCAACATCAGTAGGTAATCAGTGATTCGGGCCTGGGCCATCCCCCAGCGCCGACTTGTTACAACCCGTATGGTCTGAGGGCGTCCCTTACAAGTTAATTGATGGAGGCAATACTTCCCGAAACTCATAAGATCCGTGATGCTGCTCCATGCTAGGAAGAGGAGGAGAGGTTCATGGGCCAATCCTGGGCCTCCTGGCTATCTCGATACCAACAGGTAGTCGGTGACCCACAACCCAGGTAGGCGAAAGAAAAGAGATGCAAATGAGGTCCGTGAAGGTTAGTTACTCAGGCCAACTGCTTATCCCTAGTATAAGTGTAAGAATGATGTTGGCCCAGGCTCCACACCGATAAATCCAGTACGCTAGCATCCAATTTGCTAGGCTGCTGCGCGCCGGTGACATGCATGCAGCGTGTGGTTTGGTTGCGGACCCAGGAAACTCGCACGCTGGGGTGGAAGCTTCAGAGAACATTTTGTGGTTGCCTGTGGTTGGTGACGAGTTAGCGCTTAGGCGGTTATTGACGCAGATTGGGAAAGCGAAAACCAACCAAATCAGATTCCCATTGCCGCTCCGACACGACACATTCACCGTTCCCCCTAGACGCGTCCTCTCCTACCAATGAAACCCTAACAGGATCCATCTGCATGCATGGGCGAAGCACTCCAAGGCTTTGATGACGGCCATTTCATCGATGTTCCATGCTGCTGGGCCTTTCGATGATGCGGGCCAAAAGGTCCAACACTGTCATTCAACAATGTTTCAACCCTTGGAACCTGCAGCTTCGAAGGGTGAAGCGATTGAAATGGCCTCCTTTGCCCCATCGCTAGCAACCTTCACCCATCATCACCACCGATTGAGTCTTTTGCATTCGCGCCATGGAGAACGAGACCAAACAGGCCACACGGCTCCTCCAGGCCCAACGAGTGCAGGATCGAGATGAGCAGGCATTCGGCTGGATCCGAAATCGCTTCTCCTCCCAAGCTGGCACCGAGTTTACCTACCGAGAAATCAACAAGGTTCTGGCCGAAGTCGTTGAGTCGAACGGCTCGCTGGGTGTTGTCAAGGCCTTGCTGGCTCTTGGCGCCGATGTCAACTTCGTCCGCCGGAGGAACTCGAACACGTGGAACAAATTCACGCAGCGAAACCACCAGGGTGAGAGAAGCAACCTTCTCCTGCGAGCTACAATCCGCTGCCGGCCCGAGACTGTCGACGCAATTGCCGCCCACGCCGATCAAGAAAATCTCGACAGCGTCCTGCACCACGCCATAGTCAGGGGCAATCTTGCAGTTCTCCGAGCTTTACTCAACCACGGAGCAAGCCCGGTCCAGCTGCATGACGACTTCCAGAATGTCGTCTTCAACGATCAAGTCGAACTGATCAAGGTTCTCTTGTCCGGGCACCACCTGCCTTGCCTGGCTTGCCGTTCTACCAGCCTTCGGATTGCTGTTGAGAACCGGTCGCTCGAGGTCCTGCGTCTGCTGCTCGATCACTGGGCCGACGTCAACTACGGAGATGCAATCGCATTGATACGGGCCGTCGAGCTTTCTCGTCCAGATATTCTCACTATCCTCCTGTCCGGTACAGTCCGGCCTTCACCCCGATCCCTTGACGCCGCGGTGGGAAAGGTTCAGGACCTCATCGCCGAGAAAGATAGTTCTGTAAACTGCCAACTCCTTGAACTATGCTTGGAGGCTGGTTCCACTGGACCGGAAACGACGCGTCTTATTACCCAAGGAGTACTCCAGGCTGTCAAGCGAGGACACATTCGTCTTTTGGATACGATTCTGCGATACAAGAGACTACCGAGCCAACACGAAGCCGTCGCTCTAACCGAGGCAGTCCGTACCGAGCAGCTGGATGTCGTTGCTAAACTGTTGGAATTCAGACCATGTCCAACGAGTCTCACTCTTGCCGTGTCGCAGGCGCTTAGCGTTAGCGACAGGCTTCGATATGAGACTGTCAAACTCCTAATCGCGGCGGGCGCTCAGGGAGCTTGTGTTGCCGAGGCTCTTGTCAAGGCTACGCACTGTCTCGTCGCCAGCCTCAAGCGTGGCGACAAGAAGAACATTGAGCGGGACAATGGAATCTTTCGCCTTATTCTCCGCGAGGGAAAAGCAGATGTTGATTTTGGAAACGGCGAAGCCCTCCAGATAGCCGTCCGAGCATCATGTCTTGACATTGCCAAGGAGATTGTCTCAAAAGAGCCGTCTCCTGACTCTCTAGGGGCAGCACTGTCTTGGGCTATGGAGATCCCAAATGCCCAGACGAAACGGGCGCTGATTGAGTTGCTTCTCCGTCGAGAGGTGAATCAGGATGCCGCTGGCAAGGCACTGGTTGGAGTTCTAAAAGGGGACCCTGGAAATACGTGAGTAACCTAAGGATGATCTCGTCCGTGTGATGAGGTATGCTAACTGCAAAAGGGCCCTTGTTGAGTTGCTTCTCACTCGCTCCTCTGTAAACTACAACAACGGGGAGGCTTTCATTTACGCCGTGCGAAACTTCCGGGCAGAAACTTTCCACCTGCTTCTGAGCCAAGGTATCGGATACAAGGCGCTGTTCACAACCCTCCTTGAGGCATTAAAAGTCCCAAGACCGGACAGAAGACTGCTGCTCAGTGAACTGATAAACCGGCTGCAACTCGATCACCTCAACACAGCGTTGAAGCACGTTGTGCTCGAGGAGAATGCTGACCTGCCACTGGTGAAGATGCTCCTTGACTCAGGAGCTGAGCCGATGCATGAGGATGGAGTATGCATCAAGCATTCCGCCTCTAAGCTCGATTACGAGCTTTTGAGTCTGCTCTCCGAAGCCTCGGGGCCTAATGAAGGGATTTACACACAGGCTTTCGCGGCCATCATCAACCGCGGAAAGAAGTGGATCGCTTTTGAGCATGCTGAGGTTGTGGGAATTGTGGTCCGATACGGCGCGTCGCGCCAGATCTCCAGCAGAGCCATGGTGGACATTATCGACCACCTCGTTTGCCAGCCGTCTCAAGAAGACTTAGCTAAGGCCCTTCTAGATAAATTGTTCGCTGCCGGGGTGGATGTTAACCACGAAAACGGGAAAGCGGTCAGCATCGCCGCGAGCCGAGGCGATCCCCGCCTCCTTGCCTACCTGCTAGCGAATGGTGCTACTTCGTCGACGACCACCCTTGCCCTCACAGCAGCCATTATGGCCCATCACGACGAGTCCGCACTTTTGCAGCTCATTGACATCTTCGACAAACAACAATCGGGCGTCCCGGACTTCAATAAGTCCATACCTGGCATGCCACCGCCGATCTTGCTCTGTCTAAAGTCCTACGGAACATCGGTACCGATCCTCGACAGGCTGGTCAAGGCCGGGTGCCACTTAGAGGGAACCATTCCGATGCAGATTTGCTCCCCCAAAGTTGTAGAGAAAGAAGGAGAGGTGATCGACCCAGGGCTGGAGCCAGCTTCTGTGCTCATGTGGGCCTTACTTCAAGAGGCCGACTTCATAAGTGTCGAGGTTCTGACTGCTCTGCTTGGCCACGGAGGTAAGTTCTCTTTGGGGAAGTATCACTGAGCATCCAACTGATAGGTCCAGCGGATTTCTCGTACACCACGCCACGGTCACGGACTACGCCGTTATTGCTGGCAGTGAGATCCGGGCGTACTGACGTGGCAAAGATTCTCTTGGAAGCCGGAGCAAGAGTCTCTGCCAAGGATGCCTTCGGACACTCTGCACTGTTCTATGCTTCCCGTGCAGGGAACGTGGAGTTGGTTGCGCTTTTGTTGAAGAGTAAGCCCATTGTGAATGACGGTAGCTTGCACGAGGCTTCGCGGGGCTTTCACGTCCAAACGATGAAGCTCCTTCTCGACGCAGGCCATGACCCCAACTATCGATCAAGCAAGCACGGGGGACGCACGGCGTTGGGCGAGATGGCGCTGAAAGCTGTTGTCCCGCAAGACGCTGCGATGGCAGAAGAAGCCATCGATCTTCTTTCGGCTGTCGATGCCAGCCCGCTTCTAAAGGTCCACGGCAAGACCGTGATCTTTCTCGCCCTAGACAACCGGAACAACGAAATGATAACGCGGCTCCTGCTGGATCGGATGCTCTACAAGACGCTGAACAGTCATGAAAACACGTATCAACAGGGCATCTACCACTACTCTCCAACCATGTATGTCTCCAAAGGTATTTTGCTTGGGCCGCACCCTGAGAGCCTTCTCCAACTCCTGCAAGCCCATGGTGCCGAAGATCGCTTCTACGCCACCATGGAAGAAACCCAACCTCCAGACGCCGCCGGCCTCCCGGAAGAGATCCGCGAGTTTGAGCGCGAGCGGCGGGCGCGCGAACGGCAGAAGCGGCTCCAGGAGGAAGAGCACGCAGCCACACTTCGGCGGGAGCGCGAAAAGGCGCAGACGTACCTGCAGCTCCGCGACGAGGAGCACTCGATGACACTCCGGCAATCGGACGAGCTCTCGCAGCAGCAGCGCCGGCACCGCGGGCTCGACCACCAGCAGTCGCTGCAGCTCAAAGCCGAGGCGCACCACGTCAACGCCGAGATCCGCACCAGCGAGGCGAACCTGCACTCGAGCATCCGCTGGCAGCGCCACGCCGACGACCTTGCCATGCTCGCGCAGAAGCGCGAGGCGGACGCGGCCCACCGCCACCAGGCGCACCTGCAGGGGCTCGACGAGCGCCGCGACAAGGCGCGGGTGGCGGACGAAACGCGCGAGCTCCGCCACGCGCGCAGCCTGGCGCACATGCGCGACGTGCAGCGGCAGAAGTGGGCTGAGAAGGAGGAGCGCAATAGGCAGCAGCTCGAGTTTGAGAATTTGAGGATGGTGCAGGAGTACGAGTACCGGTGGAAGAAGAGGCACCAGCTCGAGAGGGAGAGGATGCAGGAGAAGGAGCGCATGCTGGCTGAGCGGGACGGGAGGAAACGTGCGGGAGTGAAGGAGAAGCATGAGATGAAGATGACGGAACTTCGCACGCAGAGGGGGAATATTATTGGGCAGGTTAACCTGGATGAGCTGAGGAGATGGCAGGCGAGTCAGGGGCAAGGTAAGGATTTGAGTCAAGGGATGGGTTTGACGCAGGGTATGGGGAACAGGGTAAAATTATTGACGACTTGATGTGGTGTTTTGGTTTGGATGCTACTGTTGCTTGCGTGGAGTTTCGGGCAATTGGGAAGGGGACGGGGTGATTGTTGTTTTCAGGGGTTGGTAGTTGGCGTTGGTTGCTTGGAACTTGGAAGGATAGCCTGGTCTGTGTTATCGACTTCAGGGCGCTTACAGTTTCATCACGAGAATGTCTTTCTTCAGTTCTCGAAAGCAAGAATTAGTATGCCTGCTGTCCATTCTCATTTTTTTCAATTTCCAGTTGAAGCTCGCGCACCTTCACCCTTTCAATATTCGTTCAGCAACTATGCACATATGTAGTAGGCCAGATAGGGGCTAACCAAGACCGCTGTGGTTGGCCTGGCAACAAGGGGTTCCGAGGTATCCGTAAATGAGTTGAGTTTCGTCAGGTCAAATCCATACGCTGTTCCTCGTTCAATGCAGTTTGCTCAGATACTCTAGCCCTCCGCGACTTCTAGACAAGAACTTCACTGCTTCTTGTTTTTGGCATATATAAAGTTTGCCGCTAACGTTCCGGTCAGCATCCCAGGAAACACCTCATCTCAAGACAGCAGTAGAGCGCGTACCAACAGGAGCAAGGCCGTTCTCATCAGCCCATTCTCTCACGCCCTTGGTTTCCCCTTTCTCAGTATCGTAGCCCCAGTGCTTCCTAGCCTCGGGCTTTGACAAGTGCAGCTTGTCGGTCGTGCCGTTGCCGGGGACAAATGCCAGGAAGACATAGCGGTGACTGCCCGTCTTGGCGGGAGGCGCTGGGGGCTTGTAGGGCATTACCTCCTCCACCTTGCTCAACCCGTAAGGGCACCATCCGCTGGAAGCAGTACTAGGATCGGATGGGATGGGCTTCAGAGTGGCGGAGAGTATCCAGTGGCAGAACTCGGACCATTTCGGATCGTCGCGAGAGGGAGCGTCGGGATCGGTCAGCGTGACGACGTAGGTTATGCTGCTGCGGCCCTTGTCAGTGGTGCAAGCGCCCGACTCGGGAGAGGCCTTGGAGATGTCGTGCAGCAAGATGACGGGCGGGTCCTGTAAGCGCTTGGGATTGAGCGTGTTGCCGAGGGAGGCGTGTTTCCCCGAGGGCCACCTGATGTGGATGGACAGTGAGGGCTTGAAATCGTCGATTACTGAGGTGGAGGTTATCAGTTTGTGCAAGGGCAAGTAGTAGATCCAGGGCGTTCTGTGAATACCTGTAGGAATGATTTCGGCCTTCTTCAGTCTGGGGCCAGATGTCAATTACCGGTGTAGAAAGGTCGAAGCATATTGCACATTTGGTAAACACGTACTCGTCTCGGACCTCACTCGCACCCTCTGTAAAGACGCCCGACTCAACGAAGTCCTCGGTCAGAACATGCTGCTCATAGTTAGGCTCTCGGGGATGTCCCAGCGCAAGCGGCACCAAGGCCACAAGGAGTAAAAGAAGACTCGATATAGAGGGGGCTGCAGTCATTTTACACGCTGCGTGGATACTGTTCATTAGAACTTTTTTCGGACGTGAGTTATGAATCTCGATGTGCTTGATGGGTGAAATCCTGGGAATGGTGTCCAATGAACCTCGAACGCATTTTGAGTCTGCATGATGTCATTGGAACCTTAAGACGAGCCAACCACTTGACAGTTGACACTTCGTGGTATGTGAGAGGGATGAGAACTTCAAAGTCACACAAAATTGATTCGCATGCAACGGGACGGGATGCTAGGTATATGAATCTAATTCAAGCCACTGGACTGTTGTATGTAGCGCGGCAGTCGCAGTGCGGTTCGTTTCACCTTCTCCAGGAAGGAGCGGCAGCAACCCGCCAGTGCCAGTGGCAGTCTCGCGTTTGCTCATGCGGATTGTTGTATCCCCCCATTGAAGTCGACGTTGATCGCTACCGATCCTTCACATTCATCAGTTAGGTATGGTGAGTTACCTGTGTGCTCCCCTCACCTTACGTCAGAACGCCCTGAACTGGCTCGATCAGCGCCCATTTCGTCATCATGACCAAAACCCACCATGATCGCGATGGACCGTGTACGAGCCGAATGCTAAGGACGCGAATACCCGCGACTGCTTCATGGAGCCGCGTGAGAGATCATGATATCTGTACGGGGAGGTCAAAGCTGTGATGTCCCATGAAGCGCCTCGTCACATTACTTCCATCATCACGACTGCTGGCGACCACAACTGCGTTACGCCCATCAACCACTAAGCCAACACATACTACTCACTATCACCACTTTCACATATATCGTCCGCCCAAACCCAAAATGTCGTCGCCAGAAGAAGCAGCAGCAGCAGCAGCAGACCCCGCGGTCCCCCTCCTCCGAGCCAACGTCACCCCGATCCCGCCCCTCAACGAATCCACCACCGCCCTAGCCACCTTCGCCTCCTGGCTGGTCTCCCAGGACACCAAGATCGTGCTCATCGGCGACGCGTCACACGGCACGTCCGAGTTCTACGCCGCCCGGGCCGAGCTCACCAAGCACCTGATCTCGGAGCACGGCTTCAACATCGTCGCGGTGGAAGCCGACTGGCCCGACGCCGAAGCCGTCGACAGGTACGTGCGCCATCGGCCGGGCCCGGGGCCGCGCGCGAGCGTGGGACCCGCGGGCGAGGCGCGCAAGGCCGGCCGCGAGCCAGCGTTTATGCGCTTCCCGACTTGGATGTGGCGTAATCAGGAGGTACAGGGCTTCACTGAGTGGTTGCGCGCTTGGAATAAGAGGAAGGATCCCAAGGGTGCTGAGGCGGTGGGGTTTTATGGTCTGGATTTGTATAGTCTTGGGGCGTCTATGAAGGCGGTTATTGATTACCTTGAGCATGTGGACAAGGACATGGCGGAGACGGCTAAGGAAAGGTATAGTCGTATGATGGTCTGGGCTGAGGATCCGCATGAGTATGGCTTGGAGGCCCTCGCGGCTGGGTTCAGGGGGTGTGAGAAGGACGTGGTGAGGATGTTGAGGGATCTGCTGGGGAAGAGGCTGGAGTATGCCACGGCGAGTTGGGACGGGGAGGAATTCCACAGCGGGGAGCAGAATGCACGGTTGGTCAAGGGTGAGTGAGTGAGTGTGTTTGTGTCCTTGGGAGGTGATGTGCTGACGGCCGACACAAAAAGACGCCGAACAATACTACAAGGCCATGTACTACGGCCGCGACGAGTCTTGGAATCTGCGCGACAGGCACATGTTTGAGACACTCGTGCGCGTGTTGAAGCATCGTGGCAAGAATGCCCCCGCCAGGGCGGTCGTGTGGGCGCACAACAGCCACGTTGGCGACGCCAGAGCTACGAGCATGGGCTGGGCCCGTGAAGAGCTCAACATTGGCCAGCTGTGCAAGGAGACTTTTGGCAAGACGGCAGTCAACATTGGGTGCTCAGGAAACACGGGTACGGTTGCCGCGGCCCGCCGTTGGGACGGCGACATGCAGGTCATGAAGGTGAGGCCCGGACTTCCAAACAGCTATGAGCAGCTCATGCATGAGACTGCGGTCAAGAGCTTTGTGCTTGACCTAAGAGAGGGACACTGCAACGAGGAGCTGAGAAAGGCGTTGATGAAACGCCGCCTGGAGCGCTTCATTGGCGTGATATACGCTCCGCAGACTGAGAGACAGTCACACTACTCATGGGCAGTGCTGCCTGAGCAGTTTGACGGCTGGGTATGGTTTGACGAGACGAGGCACGTCGGGGTGCTAGAGGTTCACCAGCCTCATGTTCCCCTTGAGTTTGACGAGACATGGCCGTTTGGTCTATAAAACTGCTAAAGTGGACTGAGGAGACTCGGGGACTCGCAGGTTGTAATTGTCAAGACGCACCAGGCTGGACTGAGATGCCCTTTAGTGGAGTAGGTTTGTTGTTCGGCACCCCTTGACAAAGGCTGGAAACTGTGGGAAAGGATGCCGTATGGTCAAGAGACCACTTACACCAATATTGCACAGTTGATACGTCATGGCCCCATGGGTTTGTGAGGTACCCCCTCCACGGACAACAGAGCGCGTCAAGTCCATATCACTGTGACCATGGTCATATTGCTCGGCTCGCGTAGAGTATAACTAAGCCGCACATCACAAGCTGTCAGTGACCAGACTCGTCTGCTAAGTATCAGAGTTAGAACTGACAAGAAGCTCTACACTCAGCATACCTACCAGTCCTAGTAGTACTATGGCCGATCCAGGAAACCGTGAGCGAGGCCTCAGAGCCGCGCTCAACAACCCGCGCGTATCAGAGCAAGCCAAGCAGCGGGACCGTGAGATACTTGAAGCCGAATTCGGCGAGCACATCGAGAGCCCGGAGCCGGCACAGACGGGCAGCAGACGCCGCGCTTCGGGCGGCAAGAAGAGCGCCTCAACTGGCCCTCACTCGTCCTCGGCCACAGAGGAGGCTCAACAGGGCTTTACACATCCTCAGGCATCTTCTTCCAGGATGAAAGCTAGGAGGGCTTCTAGTGGAGAGGGAGCACCGGCGGGTTTACATGAGATGACTGAAGGCAAGGATACGGGTAATGTGTAAGTGTGCTCCCCTAGTTCGTATCTGTGGGTTCGATACTGACCCGGTTGTTTCTCGGTGGGTAGAATTCGTGGATTGAAGGCTGCCCTCAAGAACCCGAACGTCTCTGAGAAGGCAAAGGAGGCGGACCGCAAGAAGCTGCGGGAACTGGGAGAGTCGGCTGACTGAGAATGCTCTCCGTGTACCACTATAATCCTCTGCCAGGCTTGATGTATGGTGTTTTCATCCCCCGAGGCACACAGCGCATACTGAAATTGATCATGATTGACCAGCCAAAGGCAACTTAGGTTGAGCTTCCCATTAAGATTTTGACTCAATGGAAGACGCTATCCATGCCAATTCTAGTTACACCTATATAAGTAAAGTCCCCCTTCCTACTTTCACCCCCCACGGGCAGCAGTACCGTAGTGAAGTAGTCAAGTGGTAGTCACTACCCACTACCCCAAGCCCCAACCAAGGCTCCCAGTTCGATTCACAACTCGAACATCCAAGCCAGCAGACTTGTCGACGACGACATATTCTTCCTTCGTGGTATCTTGCTGAACAGTCTGGCCAAGGCATTCTGGGTCCAGTACCGGCTGGGAGTTGCGCTCTCAGAGTACCAGGACGATGCTCGTCTATACTTAGGCGATGACTACAGTGAGCTGATCAACGATATAGTTCACGATGTCTGCAGGGCTCTCCAGAGCTCCGCACTCGAGGGCGAGTCGGTCGTGTTCACGCCCGACATCATCTCGCCCATGATCCTCGAGGAGTTGCACTCCTGGTTCTACACCGAGGAGAACCTTGAGGACGACGCCGAGGAGTTCCAGTTTCAAGCTGCGACCCTGGTAATCAACATAGTTATCGGGCACATTCAGTGTGCAACGGAAGACGCTGCGCAGACCTATGGAGGTATCGTGACGGCTGCTGTAGGTGAAGGTTACATGCTAATGGATTTCCAAGCCACCTACCTCGGTTACCAGAACATGTGTAACCAGCGACGCAGCGTCAAGCTGCAGACTAATCCGCCGCCTAAGAAGAATCCTAGCGATGACGACAAGGCGCGATAGGTCGCGGCCTTGTGGCTTCACCTTGAATTCGGCGACTGACCAGGGTAGTAGGTACCAGGCCCTCGGTGGATCGAACGTTCCGATGTCTTGTAGTTGATGCATCACTCGAGATCGCAGATCGGGATACCTTCCATATCTACTGCCGTCTCACCGCTGCCTCCGAGTCGGGTTCATTATCAATAGTGGATATTGTAGTTTTCGGGGGCCGGAGACTCTCGGAGAAGTGGGGCCGTGAAACCCGGCCGCTGCGGCGCCAGCTTAGGTAATGCATGCCGGTATGTCCGGCTGGCAACTTTCCATCCAAAAAACCTGCTTCAAGGTAGCTGATCATCCTGTGGCAAACAGAGGTTGCGCAACCTCGGGGCAACCTCTTCACCCTATACCATAGACAAGACCCAGTGTAATTCTTGATGGTTTTCTGAACAATCGGCCGGCCCACACCTGTAGTCAAGCTACTGTCGACGACGTCACATGAAATCATTGTATCAAGATGCGCCATCAATGCTTTGACTTATATTGTTCAATCTGCTCTGGAGTCGCAAATTAATTAAAGATAGCCCCGTTCTAGATAAGTTAACCGCGATTTACATCCGACTATGCAGCAACTTGACTTTTTCCACATCTGGACGCAGGAATACACCCCTGAAAACAACAACAACAACAACAACAACAACAACAACAGTAGCACTAGGTTACATACAAACCACCCGCCAACAGCAACGCTCCGTCGCAGAAACAGCTCGGCTACCACCACCACTACCACTAGTAATCGTACTCACAAACAGCCAAATTCACCAGCATGGAATCTGAGCTCCCCCCTAAGGAGCAGCTCGCTGCCCAGGCCCACGAGGGCCTCCCAATCACACAGTCCGCAGCCTCCGCCATCGCCGCTGCTGAGTCCGACATGACGGGCCGCGGTCCGATCAAGGGAGGCCCCGCCGCCACCGCGCAGAGCCTGCACGACCGTGAGGATAACTTTCTGGCTGTCGCCGGCGAGGTGGCTCGCAAACCGGCGGATCAGGTCACCAAGGAGGATGCAGCTAAGGTGCAGCATGTCGAGGTATGTCGTTTCTTCTTCTAATCCGGTCAATGTGGGATGTAAGCGTGCTAATCAGAGATGTACTAATATAGGCTCGTGCCCTGGGTCATGCTCCAGGGAAGGATTCGTTCTCGGCGACTGTGCAGTCCATTGCGGATCATAATGCACGGTCACACCAGGGATGAGAGGATGAAATTTCACGGTTTGGATGAGGGTGTTATGTATGGCATGCACTGGAAATACTCATAGAAGACGGCGTTGGGAAACTGTACCCCTTGTTTTGAAGCATTCATGTAGTTCATTAGGAGCTCAAAACGTCTACCGTGGTCTGGCCTTGCCGTCTATTATCATGTCTCAAGGTCTTTGACTCTAATTGTAGTTGTGTGAACGCTCTTTACATAATCGTCAGGCATATGCTCTCCTCACCCCACATCAACCTCTTAGAAATCTTCAAGCACAGGACTTCCAGTCCACCAGCGCCTGCTCTCCAAGCTTGTCTTTGACTATACGGTGAGCAAGGTCCCAGAGCGCAGAGCCCAGTTTCTCATCGGATGCCTGCGCCGACTCCTTTCCTGGCTGATCAGGGTCGCTAAAGTAGAAGCCATTCATGTTCTGCTCCTCAATTTTGGGATCCGTAAGAGCCCACAGGGCGCTGTACGACCCCTGCTTGACATCTCGCCCGAAGGCGAGCATGGCCCAAGTGAGCAGCTTCCCTGTCAAGCCTGGGTAGGCGTCCTTCCACTGCTGCTGCATCGCCGTGTTGACCTGAAATGCAGCCGTCAGTCCTGTTCAAACAGCAAATAAGCAGCCAGAATAACTTACCGCCCCTGGATGCACCGACATGGCATATATATTGTCCTGATTCTCCTTGATCACCTTCCCAGCCAAGCCGTACTTGGCAAACAGTATCATCGCCAACTTGGTACGCCCATACAGCTCCGTCGGGCCGATGCTAGAATCGTTGATCTCCTCCAAACTGGCAAAATGCACATTATTCGGCGCGGTGCGGTGCATCTCAGACGACTCGAACACGACCCTCGGCGCGGGGGTGCCCGGCATCTTGGACGTCTTCCTCAGGACCGGCCACAGCTGGTTGACGACATAAAACTGGCCCAGGAAATTGACCCCAAAATGTCGGTCGATGCCGTCGGCGTCGAGGCCGAACTCGTTGGTGTTGATGCCCGCGCAGAGGACGAGGAAATCGAGCCGGTCGAGGCTCTCGCGGAGCTGGCTGAAGACGTCGCGCACCTGCGCCAGGTGGCCCATGTCGCACTCGCGCCACTCGACTGACGCATCTGGAGATTCAGACTTGATGGTTTCTCGCGCGTCGGTCCCTTGCTCTTCCTTGCGGTTGACCATGATCACCCGGCAGCCCGCGTTCGCTAGAGCCCGAGAGATCTCAAAGCCGATTCCGAACGCCCCGCCCACCACTACGGCTACTCGCCCGTTGAGGTTGTCGGGTTGGACGGGCTTGGGCCCGAGGCCTGTGGTGTTCTGCAGGATGGACTGCATGGTTATGTTTTAGTACCTATTGTTGCTGCTTCACTTCAGTGTGGATAACGGAGTGATTCCAGTCGGTGCAGAAGTTGGAGGCCTTGATCGGATGGATAGCTAAGTGTAAGGTTCAGGGATGTAGCCCTTGCCTTTTTACTCGATTAAATGGGTTTGCTCTGGGTGTTGCACCGACTTATGAATCGTGACGTGTGGGAGGGCTGATTAGGAACCGGTACCTTACCTGTTCATGACATCACCACTCCGAACGTGGACTTCAGAGTTGTTCAAGTGTCGATCCGCCCACTAACGAATGTCCATGCTATTCCACCTGGTATGTGGCTAATTGAGAGCTCACTTGCAGCAATGCTCATTCGTACACTACTATTGTAGAATGGGTTCGGCCCTGTCTGAAATGTTGGGCTGCTGGTTCAACAAATCCGAGTATCGATGGATCGGACAGCGCGCTACAGGGACAACAGGATGCATAGCATCTCTCAAGCTCTTTGTCTCCTCAAACCTAAGGCGATCTACCCGTATGATATTTCAATCAATGTAAATGAATGTCACAAGACCGGAAAGACGATCTCCCACCATTACCGTACGTCCGTAAACCTTCACATTCCAATTGCGGTCAGGCACCCACATCAGTTCCCGTCCATCTCGGTAAATCCAGTCCCCCTTGTGATAGATACAGCTCGGTAATGCCTGGCCTCCGGAAGTCGTAGAAGAGTCTGGGGCTGGAATGGCGCTTATGGTGCCTAGGTTTGTCTCGAGATAGCGACCGTCCTCAGAAAAAACGATGTTCTCAACGGAACAAGGCAGCTTAACGCTCCACCTGCACCCGCCGGTGGTTAAATCCCAGAATCGGACAGTCCCGTCTTGCTCCGACGACGCAAGCGTCTTGCTGTCCGGCGAGAAAACTATTTCATGGAAGGATTGTTTCCAGTTGGGTCTGAGGATACACCGGCACGAACCCGTCACCGTGTCCCAGACTTTCACGATCGAAGGCCGACTCAGGCTGTCACATACTGAAGTATCTAAACCAACCGACGCGAACATCGTCTCGTCTGGCGAAAAGACTATTGCGGAAGTCACGGCCTGCCCTGTAGTAACGGCCCTGACTTCTCCCGTTGAAATATTCCAAAGTTGGGCGGATGACTCCGAGTCCCCCTCATACGTGCTTATGCGCACTGCTGCAACCATCTTGGCATTAGGCGATATGACTGCTACTATATTCCACGCTGGCAAGAGCTTGCGCAGGCGCACGCATGTCGTCAAATCCCAGACTTCTGTGACGCAACCATCGCGAAGATAGTAGCTGCTTAACACGAGCATCTTGCTGTTTGGCGAAAACGCCAATGACCAGAGCCAAAACCGCCGATCCGTATCTCCTGCCTCTAGAACGTGCAGGTTTTCACCTGTCGCTGTATCACAAACCACGATACCGCTTTCATTCACAAACGCCAGCATCTTGCTGTCAGGCGAGAAAGCTACCAAGGGGTCTTTTTCGGGGTAATAGTTGTCGGTTCCGAGGCACTTGTCGACGACCTTTAGAAGTTTGCCTGTCGCCGTGTCCCAGAGTCGGATAATCGATTTGACCCCTTTGTACTCTTTATCACTAGTCCAAGTAGTGTATACATTGACCCAATCGTAAGAATGCCGATTGTGTCTGGACACGAGCTTGTTGCCGGCGGGGGAGAGTACTAGATTTGTATCTCCGTCCCAATCCTTGCCTTCGCCCACTCGCTTGCTGTTGCGGTACGAGCACCATGTGCTGGACGTATCAAGAGGCTCTGTCATGGCCTTGATACACGGTAGCCTTTCCCTCCAATGCGCTTTGCTAAACTCGCTCGTTATAGGGCTCAACACGAGCACGGAGCTATATATCTGTAATGGAGCAAGCTTTATGAAGAATTCATAACCGTCGACGAATGCTTTGGCGTCTTTAAGAAACCCAACGAGCCGATTATTCAAACCCGATTGTGACTGGTAGCATCAGTTAGTACGAGGTACATGAAAGACATGAAGCTGCTAGCAACTTACCTTGATGCCATGGAGCAACTTTACTATCGACTCTGTTATGGGCCTGACATCTCCCATGAGTGACAGACTTTCAAGCCAGCGGAGGAATGACCCCGTTAGAAACTCGTAGGGGACGTCATAAAGTAGAGGCATTACACCCTGGCTGAGAAGATGGTCGGCCCACATGAGACAGGAGTATCGTAGCGGAGCGAGCGGGTCCGGGTGTGGCGGTGGCATGTCGTGTCTATAGCCGAGGCCGAAGCCGTAGATGTTACGTTCCAGTTTTGATATAGCATCCATGGAACGTCTAGCGATGGCGGCATGTCCTTGAACGACGTTGGTTGGGTGGAAGAAGCGCTCCAGGTAGTCCTTGGTCGATTGGCGTGTTAGCTGCACTGTCCCGTTTTCAATAAGCAGCAATGAAGCGCATCTCCTGACAACAATTTCAGGGTTGATACTTTGCGGCAAACCTGCGACGACGGCAAGTTCGGATAGGGACAGCGGCCGATAAGCCAGAGAAGAAGCCAACAAGACGCTCTCGCAATGCTCACAATCCTCCATCTTTCCTTCCGTCATCCTTGCCATCATCCGGCCGAATAGCTTTGCGAGTTGGCTCCCGTAGCCTTCCTCTACTTTGCGAAATCTCCGTTCTGCATCATACTGATCTGCATCTTGAAACAGCGAAGCAGCGGTTCCATATTCTAGCCACCTTGGCTAGAGCATCCCTTTCCTCTCCTTCCAGGTAGTCGTCATATCTAAGCTCGAATTCATAGTCATTGAGAAGAGGATGGATCTCGGAGCTCTCCCAGGTCCAAACCAGTAGAACATCAGACAGAGAACGCAGTGTTGTATCTTCATTTCGTCGCCATGGTCCGCTGTCTATGATCAATTCTTCCAGTGCCGGGACTGAGACCAAGATGACGGAAAAGTAATCGGTAAATGGTCTGATGATGAGAGATGTTGCTGCTCCGTCGATATAGCAAACCAGGTCACCCTTTTGAACAGCTTTGGGGGATGGCTGGGAGACCCATTCCTTCTTAGACCACGCCAAGGGATCCTGCGACGTAGGCCTTCGCGTGGTACTAGTAGTGGTCACTCGTTGTCCGTTGACAGAGGACACCTTGCCAACAAGACAACTTTTGGCTTTAATGATCGAGAACTCCCGATCGGGGAATGTGTCCACCACTACCCGGCCTCCGAGAAAGAACTGGACGAGTCGCCTGAGGACTTCCTCCCATGGTACGTCGTAGTCCGGCGATAGGCCAGCGGCTTGTAACGCACTGGGGGCATCGGAACTCATGCCGAGCAAGGCGAATACCTTATCACGGCGCTCCGAGGCCTCATGGGTGTGATACATGTCCATCAGCTCGCTGAGAGGGCGTATGCCCAAAGAGACCCTGCCTGAAGAATCAATCATGTAATTGGGCCGGGATATGGAATTCTTCATCAGGTATGTCACTGGACGTATCGGATTCTGGAAGCCTGGGTAGGCTTCGAGACCCAAGTGGAAGGCGAATCCGTCGACCTCGGTTGAGCCACACATTATGCGTAGATTCCGAGCCGCAGCAACCTCCTGCAGCACCTAGGCCCGCTCGTTTAGTAATTACGGCTGAGAGGATTGTCTGTATTGCATAACGTACCCAGATACGCCGAAACCACGGTCGCGCCAGAAGCCTGGAAACAGCTTCATGGCCGCTTTCATTATCGGAGGGAGTCGTAGTCTGGTCTCCGCTTGCCAATGCAGCACCGACTATTTCCTTCGATGCGTGATGGTCGCCAGGTTCAGCTTCTCCAAGCCAGACGATCACACGGTTCGCTTTACAGTATATCTCTGCCATGAACTGAACTTGCTGTCCTCGCTCTTCCGTATCTTCTTGGTCGATGCAGATAGAATCCACCCATAGCACTCGCCCGATGAAGCGATCTCGAAGTCGCAACAGTGCCGCGTATAGGTTTGATGTGATGGGCAAGTAACGCTCGCCTATGAAGGCACGATAAGGCTTGTCTGAGCTACCCCAGCAGTAGGATAGGGCCTCGTACAAACATGCCCTTTTTCCCGTCTTCTGGAGCGCATATTCCAAGAGTTGACATTGTATCGGAGCTTTGTCATCTTCGTCTGGAAGAAGGTGAAGTAGGCGAATATTGCCCGGTAACAACTTGGAATAATGATGCTGGCTGAGCTTGGGATCCTGGCGACGTACGACCTCGGAGACAGGCTTCGTCCCATCGGCTCGGCGATCGACTGATAGCACGATTGGCATTTGGGTGCCGTTGACAGGCAGTGGCATGGGTTCCTTTCCATGGTCGGCAGGCTTGAAGTGCCGGAAATCCTCGGACTCACGGTCCATGAGAGTTTCAGCCGTCTGAGGGTCAGATGCAGATTGTCCGAAGGAAGCTGCTTGGTGTCAGACGTGTCTGATAATGGACATTGGAAGCAGGCGTGATTATCTTGGATCAGTCGCTTCGTGTGGGCGAAACGGGAGCAAGCCCAGCACCTGGCCGAGGACTTGCGGCCATGGTTAGGTAACAAGACAGCCAGAATCACAAAACCCAAAACGCCACATGGTTTACGCGTCAAATCATGTTGATCCACGAGAGCGTCGAGAGGGGAAGCTGTGTGCGCGACCAGCCACACTGCCACAGGTCTCACGTTAAGCGCAAGCCAGGGCAGACCAGTTGATGATATCCCCTGGAGCAGCGTAATATGGGAAAGACAAATGAGGTTGAAAGTGATTCGGAAGTCGGAATGCCAGGAACCTTCGGTTGCGGTTGGTTCACCTGTCACCAAATGTTGATCGCGGCTGCCGCAATATGTCCTGTGAATCTGTGATACCCCAGTTAGCACTGGCGGCCAGCCGCTGACACTTCGGGACCACAGCTGGAGCCTGGGCCGCGCACTTCAAAAAGAATTCAGTCTTCAGCATCACAACTTGCAGTCGTGTTGGAAGTGCAACGTTATGCCACTGAGCTAAAAACTTGGGCGCCCACAATTTCTTGTAGACTTGGTTCTACACTTCAGCTTTTCTAACACACCTCCCTAGGTTGGACGATTTCTCATCGGCTGAACTGTTTTTCTAGTTGCTATTTTTCAGTTTTCTAGGCTTTAACCATCTTGAGCTTTTATCTTTTGTGCTCTAAAGTGGCGCCCGATCTCTGGTTCGAACTTACGACCTTGAGGGGTGGCTTCGCTGCGTGCGCGCCAAGCTCGAGCCGGGCTTATAACTGTTGGAAGTGCAACATTATGCCTAAAACCTTGGGCGCCCACAATTTCTTGTAGACTTGGTTCTGCACTTCAGCTTTTCTAACAAGTCGCTGCCCGAGCGCCTGGCCTTCCGTACCGGAAGGGAGGGGTCTAGCCAACCGTCGCTCAGCGGTTGGGAACTTCTTGGCTGTATTTTGATAGCCAAATTCGCGCTTATATAAGGTAGGAAGGACATTCGCGCATATAGGCATTGGAAACGCGCCAATTATAGGAAGCTAGTCGCCTTCGCCAAGCATTAGAGATTTCCTAAACGTTTAGCCTGGTTTATACATTCAAAATGTACTAAACTATATATTTATAGCTAGATAGGTGTCACGAACAGACCTTACTGGCGGCCAGGCATGGTCACAGCCGCAGCGCGGGGAGCCGCGGCAGCCAATCACTCAACTAACCAATCAGAATGGA